CAAGAATAGACCCAATTAATACACATGACTAATTTCAATGGGTCTACTCTGCATAATACCTAGCTGGGTACAGCCCATAGTCAGCTGGTTACCAAAAAAACAATTACATAACTTGGTAACCATTAAGAACTGGTACCTGAATTTGCTTGTTTTTCCCTTGTCATGTCTATTGGACTACAGGCCTATGGATAAGGACCGTGTTATTTGTAATTTATATACAGCACCTAGAACATTTCAGGCATTCCATGAATGAAAGAAAAATAGCAATAATAATATTGCAATAAAGGAATACCAAATAATTCTCTACATTGTGGGTTGTATCCAATGTGGTGCTAAGTTAAAGTCCCTTGGTACTGGAAGTACTGGTTCCACTGGCAACATGTTTTGTATTGTTTCACAACAAAATGCAGAAGCAGGTTGCTGGTAACTTTGCTGCACAACCCCATGAGTTGTGCAATGCGTTTCCTCTACAACTGTTGCGAACTGGATTCTTCCGCTGTGTAACATTAAAATTCCAAAAAAGTGAAAGGGAAAACAGAGAATGTTGGATACAGCCCCATATCTATCATATTTAAACAGGGCAATTTTATACTTGACTATTCACAAGTCAGCTCTACTGAGTTCACTGAACCTTACTAAAGAGTACAGTGGTACCTCGGGTTACATACGCTTCAGGTTACATACGCTTCAGGTTACAGACTCCGCTAACCCAGAAATAGTACCTCGGGCTAAGAACTTTGCTTCAGGATGAGAACAGAAATCATGTTCCGGCGGCACGGCAGCAGCAGGAGGCCTCATTAGCTAAAGTGGTGCTTCAGGTTAAGAACAGTTTCAGGTTAAGAACGGACCTCCGGAACAAATTAAGTACTTAACCCGACGTACCACTGTACTGCAGACAGGAAATGATGAGAAATATTAAGAAAAAATTAATGATAAACAGTTTGTATAGCATATAAGAGAAAGAGTGAGCAGATGTCCAGTCTTGCGTGTGTGTCTGATTATAGTTATGCTGGTGTTTCGTCCCAGTTTTCCCCCCAAACATAATCAGCCAGCTGGCTGACCTCTGCTACTCTGCCAAGCTAGCACCAGAATGAACTTGCAGCCAAGCAGTTTGGTAGGCCGCAAGAGCAGTTTACAGTTTTTCAGCATTCTTTTTTTATTTCTCATGCGATTTCTATACCACCATTCCCCCCCCCCAAAAAAAATCACACAGTGATTTACGACAATAAGGTAATCTAAAAACACAAGAAACAGAAACATTAAAGCAATAATCCTAAATTACACAATTAACCACATAATAAAAGTGTCTTAATCCATCAGCTTCTAAAAGTCTGAAAAAATGTGAGTTTCTACATGGCATCTAAAAGAACGTAAGGTTGGAGAAACACACATTTCAATCAAGAGGTCGTTCAACTGATGTAGAATCACCAGTGAAAGGGCCCTTCCATGGGCCTCCGCACAAACACACTTCATTTAATGCAGGGACCACCAGGTGAGCCTTTTCTGCTGATCCTAATGCATAGGCAGGTTGATATGAGAGAAGGCATTATCTCAGATATTTATGAACATGAATTAGTAAGCAATGAGAAGGGTTTCAGAGTTCACACTCTGTACAAACTGGCATGGTCCAACTCAACAGTAAAAAAGAAAAGAAAAAACGTTGGTCCATTAGCCCCTACTACTGACAAAACATAGCAAATGCATTCTCCATTTCTCTGAGCTACCTAGTTCCCATGGAAGGGAAGGGAAGTACTGTAATAAAGTGTGGAGGTGCAATTTTGGTATTCTGCTTCCTGGCTTAATTGAAAGACAAATTAAAGGACACCAATCATGGAGAAGCTACTGACTGCATCTCCTAGGCCACTACTTTCAGGATAACAGAGATTCTAGGGAAGTGGAAAGATAATCTTTTGGATTTTGACACAGACTTGATTTCTCCTTGGCCATGGTGGTCACTGTGCGGTCATGATCTCACTCCTTCCTCATCTAAGATCACTCCCCCCAGTTGCTCTTTGCTACTGAGGATGTCACATCCACTGGCCGCAATCTCACTATCAGCCCCCTCTCCCAGACTGTCACAGTCCCATCCAAAGGCTGCAATTGCTTTAAAAAAACAACAACAACAAGGCCAGGATAGAGAATCCCAAATGCATTGTGTATTCTGGATCTTCTTAGATGTATCTGTTGGCCTGCAGCCAAAAGCACTTTATGCTGCACTTCTGTGCAGTTAGCCACACTTAAGACCATTGATTTCAATGAGCTTAGGGGGTGAGATCAGGGAGCAGTGTACAATAATTTCAACTGCTACATTGACTGGATCAGGGGCCAGCAAACTTTTTAAGCATGGGGCTGGTCCACTGTCCCTCAGACCTTTGGGGGGGGGTAGACTAGATTTTGAAGAAGAAGAAAAAAGAACGAATTCCTATGCCCCACAAATAATCCAGAGATGCATTTTAAATAAAAGGACACATTCTAATGTAAAAAAAATGCTGATTCCTGGACTGTCTGCAGGCTGGATTTAGAAGGAGATTGGGCCAGATCCAGCCCCCGGGCCTTAGTTTGCCTACCCATAGATTGGGTGGTAAAATTTCAAAGCTCTTACAGTAGCATCAAAATGTAGATATGATATTAATAATGTATAAATATACAAACGTATGTTTAGAATCATGGGATGTGTGTGCACTTCAGGAAGCAGGCTGAGGCTCAGTCACTACAGGCACACCACATGCTGCCTATACTTGGACAGCTTGTCTGTAGATTCCCAGGATTCCCTAGAACAGTGGTGCCCAACTGGTGGGCCATGTACCCCAGAGGTTCGCATAACCCACCAGGGGGTCCATGGTACCATTCACATAACAAAAACCACTGAGATATAAAAAAAAATTCAGAAGTAGGGGGTGCATGGCTTGGCTTTTGAAAAACAGTACTTAGCATACGGATATGTAACTCCAAACAAGTGTTAAACCAAACCAAGGCTCATAAGTAAACAACAACCCATGGCTCAAGATTTTGGTTTGTTGGCAGTAAACAAATCATAGTAAAACTGATGGACATGGTTCACAGGTTCAATAAACCATGGTTTACCAACATGTGTGAACCAGGCTATTGAATCACCTTCCCAGTGGACTATAGACAGCACTATAGAAAGGTCACTTGCCAAGGAAGGAAGCAGATAAGTCAGCACTTTCCAAGAGTCATTATATATGTGCAGGCAGTACTCTGATTACGTGACACATGCTGATCCCTCCTCTGCTGCATTGCAGTACTTGAGAAGAGAGTAAACACGAGTCAGGAGGAGCAGTGAACAAGTGGCAGAGAGCTACTGGAAGACAGTGTAGCATGTGCCATGTGGTATGCCTTGCATAAGTTAGCCTGCTGCCATCAGGTGTGGTAGCAGAGGATGCTGTCCCATTACTAGTACTGAAGTAAGCTTCTGTACATGGGATGAGGGTGGAGCACCCTCTTGTCTTTTGCCTCAGGAACCAAAAGATACTGGGTCAGTTCTGCAAAGCTACCATTTACTCATCACTGTGGATGTGCAGACCTTACCCCTTGGTATTCTACATTATAGACCCAAACACCTTATTCCATCTCTACTGTTTCACATTCTGAAAGGAATCTTTCTTTCTTTCTTATTTATTTATTCTTGGAATAAAATGTTTGGATATTATATATCCCTCATGTACGTATACATCTCAAGACAGAAAATGTGTGTTTTATTATATCAACAAGACTCCATTTGAAGCAAGGTTTGTCAGAAGTGAGTCCCACAATGTTTTGTAAAACAATATACAATAAACCATTGGCTGCAGAAGTACCGAGTGGGATTTTCAGACAACTGAAAATGAATCTGAGTTTCTACAGGGTGTGTTTCAGTTTAATGCTGGAGACCGCCCCTCTTACACACACAATTTGGAAATAAGGAGAATATTTGAGCTACCTATTATTTTTAGCCCACCCTTCCACCAAGGATGTAAAGTCAATCTCCTGTGGCTGTAGTCTAGCTAACAAAAAGTGATTGGCTTAGAGTCACCTAATGGACTTCATGATTTAGCAGGTATTTGAACCAATATATCCCAGGTCCTCTATAATTACTTTACTAGCTATATATATATATATAATCACACACACTTTTTAAAGAAATTTACCTTCCACCTAAAGATCTCAAGACAGTTGCATACACTCCACCTGTGAGGTGTGTTATACTGATTGTGGGCAGATGAATACAGATCCCAAGTCCCTTCAAGTGAAATTCAGGCTGCAATCTCAAACACACACAGAGCGTAAGCCCCAATTTACTTCTGACTCTGACCTTGGCTGCTTCCTTTTCGCTAATGCATTCCCAATGGTTAACTGACACCTGTTTTTAACTCTCTGTGGGTGTTATTGTGTGGCTTTAAATTTTATCGCTGCAAGCAGTTTTGATATATTTTTAATGACGTAGTGGTGTATAAATATTTTTTAGAAATAAATAATTAAAAATGGGCGGCGGCGGCGTATCTTTTACACTCATTTGTTTTCTTTGTCCCGGCCTGTAATTGTGAACTTTGTGTACATTTGCTTTCACTTATCCCTTATACTTACCCTGCTCACGCCATCTCTCTTTTTTCCGCTTTCTCCTTCCTTTGTTGTTCTTGGACTTCCACCTTCCTTAATGTGGCCTCATACCTGTTGAGCGAAATATTTGTTTATTTATTACATTTTTATATACGGCTCTTCATCCGAGGATCACAGGGCGGTTTACTGCATAAAAACACAAAATGCGGGACATAATAATTATAATGAAAATACCACACACAAACACCTTCAGAAGGCCGAAGATTGTTCAACAGTCGAGGGCTGTTAAAATAACAATACTAATAATTTAAACAATACTAATAATCATTTCAAAAGCGAGACGCTGCGGTCGGGGGGCGGAGTTCCCTTTCCGAACACCGGCCTGGCAGCCCTGAGGAGACACCGCGCCTCAAAAGGCGAGGCCGCTGGGTGGCGGCGGCGGCGGCAACAGGCCCGCCCTGAGGAGGCGGGAGAGGCGGGAACGTGAGGGCACCAGACTCACCCTTGCCATCGGCCCCGGAGGCCGAGGCGCGCAACATGAGCTGGCGGTTGCGGCACTGGCGGGAGGCGGCGACGCTGCTGCTGGCGGCAGGCGGGCCGGGCGCGTCTCCCCCTCGGCCCGCAGCAGCGGGCGCCTTCGACTACGAGCTGCTCCTGCTGCGGCGGAGCGCGCGGAGCGCCTTCCTGCCCAGCGCCCACGTCTTCCCGGGCGGCGTGGCGGACGCGGCCGACTTCTCGTCCGACTGGCTGCAGCTGCTGCCGGGCGGGCCGCGCTGCGGGCTGGGCTCGGTGCGGGACGAGTGCCCGAGGGCGCCGCTCTTCGCCGCCGAGCGCCCGGAGCTGGGCTCGCCACTGCCGGGAGACGTGGCCTTCCGCCTCTGCGCCATCCGCGAGGCCTTCGAGGAAGCCGGAGTCCTCTTGGTGCTGCCCGGCCCGGTCGCTGATGCCGCCGCCGCCACGGCCGCCACCACGGGCCCGGCCCGCCTGCTGCCAGCCGAGCGCCTCCCGCCGTCCTCGGAGCTGGCTGAGTGGCGGCTGCGGGTGCAGCGGCAGCCCGGCAGCTTCTTGCAGCTGTGCCGCCACCTGAGCTGCGTGCCCAACATCTGGGCGCTGCGCGAGTGGAGCAACTGGCTGACCCCCGTGGGCCGCGCGGGGCGAGGCGGCCGCCGCTACGACACCGCCTTCTACCTCTGCTGCCTCGGGCAGGCGCCGCCGGTCGCCTCGCACGACGACGGGGAGGTGACGGCCTGCCAGGTGAGCGGGACGGGGACGAAGGCGGGGCCGCGGGAGAAAAGGCGCGCTCTCCTCACATGCTCGCTTCAGACATGAGGCGATTTTGGTCGTCGTTGTTATTATTCTTGTTGTTGTTGTTATTGTTGTTGTTGTTGTTGTTATTACTATTACTACTGCTACTACTGTACTACGGATGCTATTTTTCTAGAAAAAGAGGTGCTAGAACTCACCACGGACGCCTTCCCTTGTTCTCTTATAATGGCGAAGGCGCCCACCTGAGAGGTGCCAGAACTGAGTTCTGTGACTGGGGGGAAAGCCCCGACTACTACTATTGTTGTTATTTGTTATTATTGGGGGGGGGCAAGGCTCGCCATCTTCACATGCTCAATTCAGGCATGAGAAGTTTTATCATTTTTATTACTACTATTATTGTTATATTATTATTAGCCCAGTGAGGAGAAAAGGTGTGCTGTCCTCACATGCTTGCTTCTGACACCAGGCTGCTGCTATTATTATTATTATTATTATTATCATGGAGGAGGGGGGTGTATGCTGTCCATTTGCTTCCAACATGAGGTGATTTTTTATTTTTTATTTTTATTATTAGTGTGGGGAAGCACACTGTCTTCAGGCTGGAGGCTTTGCATCTACACGAGGGAAACATTTACTTATTTACGTATTAGATTTATTATGTCGCTCCGCCACGGATGTCAAGACGCTGAACAGGTCTGCTAGGCTAGGAGATGGTTACTAACCAGGGGGCCACTAGCCAGGAGAGTGCCAGTAAATTGAATGCCAGTTGCTGGAAGCCACAGGAGTGGAGAGTGCTCTTGTGCTCAGGCCCTGCTTTGGGGCTTCCCAATAGGGGCAGCTCCCCAGCCGCCGTGAGAACAGGAGGCTGGGCTCTGGATGGGCCCCCTTTGGCCTGATCCAGCAGAGCTCCTCTAACATTAGGCAGATTAGGCTAAGGGATGCTTACTAGTCAGTGGCCACTAGCCAAGAGGGTGGCAGTTTGCCTCTGGATATCAGGTGTCAGGAAGTAAAGGGCTGTTGTGGTCATGTGTTGCTTCTTGTGGCTTTTTCATTGGCATCTGGTTGGCCTCTGCAGGGACAGAATCTTGGGGTCAGATAAGCCTCTGGCCTGATCCAGCAAAACTCTATTTCTTGGGACTAGCCCAAGATCACTCAGCAAGCTTCATAGCTGGTGGGAAGCTTGAACCCAGATCTTCCCAATCCTGCTCTCTAAATAGCACCCTGCTGGCTCCCTGGCATCAGCATTCCCTTCTCTCGCCTCACATAAAATAGACATTCTCTTCCTTAGACTGCAAGTCTCAGCGTGCTTACCAGAATTCAAGGCCTGCATAGCACAATGGGATTTATGCTTGGTCAAACGGTGATGAACATGTTCAAAGTATGAGCCCAGAGACTGGCAACAAGTTATGGACAATGACCTTGGCCACACGTCGCTTGAAACCACACCCTTCTGGTGTGTCCCGTGTAGGACTGGCAGGATGCCAGGTTCAAGTCCTTGCTCAGTCCTGAAGCTCACTAGGTAACCTTGGGCCAATCCTTGCAGGTTTGGGGCAAATAGCAACTAGAGAAGGATACTTTGTAGCAAGAAACTATCAAGGAGCCTTGATCTGGATCAGGAGAACGTTTCAAATTTGGTCTACCGGGCCTTTATTTCTTTGTAATAGAAGCAACCGGTTTTAAGCATTTTTTAAAGAAGCACAAAAAATATGTTGTTTGGCTTTTGGCCTGACCAACCTCATAAGATTGTTGTGAGGGTAGTAATGGGGTGTGGAGACTGCTGCCTTGAGCTTTTTGGGAGAAAGATGAGATCAAGCTGGATAATCCATAGTGTAGCCTTTTGTAAAAACTCTGCGCCTAAATATCTTCTGACCTCTCCTTTGCTTTCCCATAGACCTGAAGGCACAGACATCACATTTATTTGAGCATTTAAAGTTGTTGCAAAATTGTATTTTAGTGCAGAAACAATTCAGGTGATTCAGAATATTCCTTTCAATGGGAATTCACAAACTATGGAGATCAGCTTATTCTTCATTCTTTTTCAGTGGTCAACGCCCTCAGAAGCTGTTGAACTCTTTAAGTCCCAAGACATCTCAATAGCACCACCTCAATTTTATGAATTCTGCAGACTCTGCAATTTCACATCACTTCATGATCTGCATAGGTTTGCCTCTGAACGAGCCTTAGAAGGATGTGAGCGTTGGATGCCTGTTCTGATGATTGCTTCAGATGGCCATATGCAGATTTTACCAGGTAGATCAACATGGCATTTGGATTAGTTATTTTAACAATGATAAGTTTATTTTCATTCTTTGGGAAAAACAAGTACTTTCAAATTCCAGTGCATATTATTAGGATGGTGTTTTGAATAAGAATTGATTTATTTACAATTTCCCAATAAAGGAGGTCTATTCTGAATTGTCTGGTATTAGCCACTAGTGTAATCTGTGGATCTTGTCTATTATTAGGCTTAATGCTTGCTTCTTGAATGATGTTATAAATATTTCTATGCAATTCTATGCATCTTTTCTCATAAGTTAGTCCTACTATATTCAGTAGGGTTTACTCCCAAATAAGTGTCCATAGGGTTGCAACCTTACTGTGCAATCCTTTGCATGTCATTTAAGAAGTAACCCTAACTAAGTACAGTAGGGCTTCTTAATAAATGACTTTAGGATTCCAGCAGTAATTATTTATCTGCCACAATTGTGAAACTAGTGTGGCTCCTTTCATTTAGTATCGTCAGTGTACTGACCTTGACCTCTGTGTGAGGTCTGCTACTGACATAGGCATTCATTTTCTTTTTATATTTTGCCTTGTTAATAGCCTTTTAAAAAGCAAGAAAACTCAGTTACAGGTTTAGCTACAACTTTTCATTACTCAGCAAAGCAGGCAAAAAAGAAAAAAAGGGGGGGTATTCAACCTTGAACCCTGCTTCTTCCCAGAGCTATAATAGTTGAGCCCCAGATTTTTAATATTTATATCTGGCCTGTCTTCCATGGTGGAACTCATGGCAATGTAGACAGAGTTCCCAGGCAGTCTTCTATCTACGCCAGAGGTCGGCAACCTAAGGCCCATGAGCTTCCTGGAACTGGCCCACGGCAGTTACGTAGATTGGCATGGGGATTCCGTGCTATTTTCTCACGGTGCCATTTTTTTTCTCGCTGCGGGGACCGACTTCCGAGTCGGGAGAGTGCCAGAAATAGTGTGTGTGCATGCGCACAGGCGCTCCTCCGTCCCGGAAGTGCGCCAGAAATAGCTTGAGCACACACGCAGGTGTGCACGCTCCAGCTCACCGAGAAGTCTAGCAGGGAGTGGACCGGACCGGCCTCAAAAAATGTTGCCGACCCCTGATCTAGGCACTAATCAGATCCAGAGGTGTTTAGCTTCAGTAAAGTGGATGCCTCATGTGTATTTAGATCATGCCAACAAGATAAGCAGGTAAACAAAAAGACTGGATGAGGTGGAGTATCAGGAAAACCCAGAACTGCCTCTTTGCTTTACTGGGGAATATAAATGTATATTATTCCTCTCCAGTTTATAGCTCGCAAACCCAAAAACAAATAACCTTGTCAGTTTTCTGTTTTTGGTTCAGCAGTGTTGTGACCATGCATGTAACCCTGTGTTCTGCAGATACTCTATCAAAGTTCCTTTTTGCATATACCGGTACTTCTTAGTCATGCAGAACTGTGCAACTGCTCTATTCTAACTGCAATTCAGGCAAACCAGGATTTTGGTTTATTTGAACTAACTGTACTTAGAATAAACATAATTTCCCATTTTGGGACATAATAGGAAAATGTTTTCTTCAAAACCATGGCCAGAGGCACTAAATTTCTTTTCTTCATCCATAGAGAGGATAGAATAGCCCAAGGCTACTTATCCTTGTAATTGTAACTCTCAGTATAGTATTATGTCTGAAATGAGCATATTTGTATGTGCAGGCTAGGCCTTAAAGCTCTTGTTTCCCTATAAATTCATTGTTCATAATATATTCCTTGGCACAGATAGAACAAGACCCACTTTATTAGTTCATTGGAATACTTGATTACTTGCATTCTTGTATGCCAAGAGAACCTTTATGAAAAATACTGTCACAAAACCAGTTTTGAATCTTATCAAGCCATCCAACAGCAAAATAGCTTAAAATCTCTAGAAGTACCTAAAATGAAGTTCACTGAAATACTGAATATTACATACAAATTTAAGTTATACATTATATTTTTTAGGTGATGAGCTATATCCAGAAGATCCCGATTTTACAGGAGAAAGAAAACCAATGTTGATGACAGATAAAAAGATTGAAGATCTGATGAAAGGCGCCAGTAGACTTCACCGGATAGTGACACAAGACCATAATAATGTTAATATCTATGTGAATATCCAGCCCAAATATAAACACATCAATCCAATAACAATGGACTTTAAAAGGGGGGAAAATGCAGATTGCAATAGTAAATTATAATACTTTAAAAATAGTTTACATATTTTTATATCTACCAACGCAATGGCAGTTCCTGAATAAGCTGCCCTGGGGGCGTCACATCTTGCTAAGCAACATGTATTTCAAACGTAGCTGGAATTAATACATTCTTGTGCCACTTTATCTACGTCAAGCCTTGTGTGAGTGATTTAGGCTTTCGTTTGTGTACCACAGTAATTATTTCCCTGGCTAAAATTTTGTGCAAATGTGCCAATTCTGGGGTGGACATCTGTCTGCTAAGAACTTGACCTTAATCTACACATTTATGGATTTAAGGCACTGAAGAGGCAGTGGAGCAATAGTTACCCATGGCTACAAAAGACCATTTGTCAGTATTGGGATAAACTGGTCCTTTATCAATATAATTCAGTATCTTGAACTATTCTGCTTTTCTCATTAAAATGTGGAGACACTATGGATGTTTACTCAAAAGTGATGCTCCCTAATTAGCTGGGATTCAAAATGGCAGTTTAGGATTGCAGCTTTACATGAGCATAAGTTCTGTAAATTCAATCAATAATGATTATTTTTTAAATATTCAGAAGCTCTGCTTTTGGAAGGCACTTTTCTAGACACACTAAGTTGCTAGTGCTGTCTAACAGCAATATAATTAATTCCATTATATGGTTGGGTTTTCAGTTTTTATATTTCAGAATGTCAACTGATGAGCATTTAAATTAGCATTTAAAACGCCAAATTGTAATTTATTTTTAGAATTTGTTTAAAAAATAAATATTTATTTTTAGCAACATTGCTTTGGCTGTTTTCATCATTGCTAAGATATACTGAGCCATTACACATCTTGTTTTCTTTAAAATTAAGAAGAGGCCCTATTAATAGTTTGTGTGTGTCAGGAGCTTTCTTATTTTCAGAAACATAAAGTTGAAAGTTGAAATTAAAGCCCTCCTATTACATTTCACGTGTGTCCAAACTGGAGCTTTTGAGCTGTGTCTGGCTCCTAACTAGTTTGAGGAATGAATAGAAAACTACTGAAAAAGTGTTCTCCATGTGTGCTGGTTACAAGGGGACTTGGGTTTCCTCCATCCCATCTTCCAGCTGGAATTAAGAAACTAAGACTTGATGTAACGTAAGGGGAGGAAGTAACACAGACCAAAAGAAATGTCTGTCTCTTTAGTTTTACGTTTTGGGTGTTGGAATAGCTAAGCAAAAGATAACAAACTTCAACCAAAGCAGTTTTACACAAATTGCCTTGCTTTGTCTCTGTTGTACAAAAGGTTTTAGAATGTGCACAGAAGATTTATTGAACCATCTATATTTAATGTTCCAACGCATCACTGTGTATATAGTTTTGTTTTTAGAGAAACTATTTACCAATCACACATAAATATTAATTAGGCTTAACTGAACCCTCTGACTATGCAGTATCTCTTAGAATGCTATTATATTAGCCATATTTCAGGTTTGGTTTAAATATTTCACATCTGTTGTCAAGACCAGTTATCACAAATAATATCAGTCTGTGTCCAGCCAGCTCTTGCTCTCAGAATGTCTTCTAAAACCCCCCCCCAAACTCTCAGATCTCTATACAGCTGACTCACGACATACATGGGAGTTACATTCCAGAAATAGTACATAAAGTCATATTTGTGTATAGTCAGATCCATGGGTGTAGCCAGGATTTTTGTTGGGGGGGGCAGAACTTCAGATTTGTATTGATTTTGATTGATTAAGGAGGGCAGTTGACCCCTGCTGCCCTTGGCTACACCCATGGTCAGATCAACTCCTTGTAACTTAGGACTTGCCCCCCAAGAAAGGCAGAGAGTGCTCTGCGTGGGGACAGGGGTCTCCAAACATCTCGACACCGTTAGCAAACTACATCTCCCCCCCAAAAAAAAAACATTGTGGGGAGTCACATGCTTTAGATGTGCACTAAGTGCACCTTAAATGTATGATTGAAGAGGATCTGCATTAAGATTATTTGGTGGCAGTGCAAGTTGTTCCCTTGCTTATACAGTACCTCTCTTAACAGCCTCTAAGTGGGGAGGCAAGAGGGAAGCAAAACCTTAAAGTACTGTATATTTTGTTTCTCCACCGTGCAGCCTGGAGGTTGTGCAGGCTGAGCAAAAGTGGACATGCCTGATGCTGGAGAATAACTCAAAGAAGATGGCCACATTAGTACAGTACCATACATTTAAAGCACTTTGACCAGCCATTATTTCCTGCAAAGAATTCTGGGAAGTGTACCTGATAAGGCTGCAGAGTATTGTTAGCAGGGATGGCCGATTCCATCCTTCTTATAATGAAGGAGTTGCTTGTTCCCTTTTAAATACAGTGGTACCTCGGGATGCGAACGGGATCCATTCCGGAGCCCCGTTCGCATCCTGAACAGAACGTAAGATGCGACTGTGTGCATGTGGATGTCTGTATATAAATAGACATACACACACATTCATTTTTCCCTCGAATTACAGTCTTAACAGGGTTTTTTAAAAAAACAAACCACCAATTGGACAAAAATGATGTGTTCGTGTACACACAGACATACACACGCACCCTTTCTCCGCTTGATTAGTTTGTTTTAAAAATGTTAATTGTTGTGATGGAAAGAAGATAAAGCCCCTACCAGAGAAGAATGGCAGATTAAGTTGATGGATTATGCCAAATTGGCAAAAATGACGGAAGAATCAGAAATCAGGAAGACCAAAAATTTTCATAAGGAATGAGGAAAATTTATAATTTATCTTAAAAATCATTGTAAACAGTTAAAACTGTTAGCAGGACTGGAATAGCACTTGCAGTTTAATGGTAAATTTTGGACTTAATGGAGATGTATTTTATGTTGGATGTTGGATATGTGATTGTAAAACTCTGACCTGAAAACCAAAAAAACATTTTTTTTAATGTGAAATGTTCACACAAAAAATTAAGGGTTTGGGTTTTTTTAAAAAAACCGCGACAAAAACAAAACCGGCAGCCCGCCGCTGACACGTGCTCCGCCGCTAAGAAGCTGGGAGCGGTACTGAGCATGCGCGAGCGCGGCGGCGGCGGTTAAACAGCCGCCTCAGTTCTGGAGCACGCGGAAAGGAAAACGTAAGTTAACCGCCGCGGGGAGGAGACGGAGTAGGGGCGGGTTGAGACGAGGTGAGTTGAGGAGCGGGGCCCGAGGTTTGCATTTGAGGGCGCGGGGAGGTGCGAGCGGTGATAAAGCAGCCGCGGGACGAGCTATTGGCCGGCCCAGCTGAGCGGACTCAGAGGTGGGGGCAGCTACCCCCCCCCGCGCGTCGGGTGACGGTTACGTATATTTTAATATACGGATACAGGTAGCTAGGCCACGTGATCAGTTTAGAACCATCGCAGGTGGCCACCTTCCTCCTCCCCCCCTTCCTTGACACCCTAATTTAGCGTGACTTCCCCGCCTTTATTATTATTATTATTATTATTTAGCCCAGTGATGGCTAAACTCCCATCATCCCTAGCTAGCAGGACCAGTGGCCAGGGATGATGGGAATTGTAGTCCCAAAACAGCTGGAGGGCCAAGTTTGGCCATCATTGATTTAGCCTAACTGCTTGCCACCACCACGCTTTATTATTATTTAGCCTGGCTTTTTACACCTGAGGGGCATTTTTTTTTTTTTTTAAGGACCTGCCTTATTCCCATGATTGCAAATTGTTACTAGTTGCTTCCTTCACAAATGTGACTGAAAGCAGCTTGCAACAACAAACAAACATGTCATTATTTATAAAGGTAAAGGTACCCCTGCCCGTACGGGCCAGTCTTGACAGACTCTAGGGTTGTTCGCCCATCTCACTCAAGAGGCCGGGGGCCAGCGCTGTCCGGAGACACTTCCAGGTCACGTGGCCAGCGTGACATCGCTGCTCTGGCAAGCCAGAGCCGCACACGGAAACGCCGTTTACCTTCCCGCTAGTAAGCGGTCCCTATTTATCTACTTGCACCCGGGAGTGCTTTCGAACTGCTAGGTTGGCAGGCGCTGGGACCGAACAACGGGAGCGCACCCCGCCGCGGGGATTCGAACCGCCGACCCTTTCGATCGGCAAGCCCTAGGCGCTGAGGCTTTTACCCACAGCGCCACCCGCGTCCCGTCATTATTTATACCCCGCCCCAAAAGAGCTGCGATGGTGTGAATGGGCAGCCTGTACCCGGAGCCGTTATATGTGCAAGGCTGTTCTCCTAATCTCAGTAAAATTTATATTCAGTGATTTATTTTGAGGACTGTGACCTAAAACAGCCATATGTTCTATGGGCAGTTTCCAGTCCTACTGCCCTTTTTTTTATTATTATTGTTTAAGATGGTTGCTGGGGGGGGGAGGTTTAATTTATCAACTAGTCTGCTTCATGTTATCCCTCTATAATAATATTAGGAAGTGCTCATTGGGGTGTTAGCAGGCTTTTTCGATAGTTTTTCAAATATATGTGATTTCACAGATGTGTGCAGTGCTTTGTAATGTTACATAACCCCTGTGTAAAAGGGGGGTTGCCTTTATAGAGTGGGGTCCCCAGATGCATGTTTGGACTGAAGGCAGGTCCCAAATCAGACACAGTTGAAGAATACTGTCTTAAGTCTTAAAGAAGCTGACTTCTACCAGCTCAGACTGTTCGTCCATCAAACACAATCTTCAGTACCTGTTCATTACATTTCCTTGTTGCATTCAGAACATCTAACAACTGCAGGAAATCTCAAATACGCCTTTGCCCCATCCTAGTAACTTACTATTGTCTAATTTTATTTTAAACATTGGCCACCTTGAGAACTTTGCTTAGTAAGTAGACAGGCCATCAATATCATTAAAGCAGTAGTATATATTTTTGCTACCTTTCCCTTTCTCCAGGGAAAGCAGGGCAGTGGACCGGGGTGATCTTCAACATGTTTTATGCTTATAATAACTGTATAAAGTAGATTAAGCTGCCTGTATTCCTTGCTCCAGAGAAAGCTGGCAAAGAGAAGCCTGTACTGCCCTTTTTGTTTGTTTGTTTGTTTGCTTGCTTGCTTGCTTGCTTGCTTGCTTGCTTGCTTGCTTGTCGGTCAGTCGGTTCAACTGATTGCACACCTAGGATCCACTTCTAGGGGAGCTGGAGCTATACGGTATTAGTTTTTGGGCCACTGCATTTCTAAAAGGAAGAAAAGCACCTGGACTGTGGCCTGGTTTTATCAGATTGAAAGTTACTTTTAAAGGAATGTCATTTTGTAAAAGCAGTTTGGTAAATGCTTGTTCCTTTGTTGTATTTTTCAGAGGTATAGATAAAGCGTGTAAATCTCTTTGATGTAGTTGAAAAAGTCGTTGAAGAAAGAAAATGTTTGAAGTGTTTATATTGAAGGTATTGTGGCTTTTTGGCAAGTTTTAGCATATGAATGTTCATTTCTGAGCATAAACCTTGCAGTGTTTTCATAGGACTCTAACTATGGCTTACTTATTCATTAGATTGAAAATCCATGGTGCTTTTGGGGCTACATAAAAGGAGGTGGAAGCATTGTAGAAAACGAAATGGAATATAAAAAACTTCAATCTGAAATGAATCTGTTCTATAATAAATTCCACAGATATGTGGATGATATCAAGCCATCTGTATTGGAAAAGGGCCAGGTAATTTTATGTACTTTATTTGCTTTAGTGGATATGAAATTGAAGAGGGGGAAAGGGAGGCTAGTGTTGGGATATCAATTCTACTTTCAATGCTAGTCCTACTCAGAGGAGACCCATTGAATGTCATGAACATGACTTTGGTTCATTAATTTCAGTAGTTCTATTATGAGTGAACCTTGTTGGATACAACCTTTTGTGAAAGCACTGGATGACTTTAACAACAATGCAGGACTCAGCTAAAATGATCATCCAGCCTCTGCTTATAATATTATACAGTACATTTTATATTTGGGTTTAGCTACTTTTGGAAGTTTTTCTAGATAAATTGTCATATTTCTGCCACCTTTTGGGCACTGTATGAAATATAAAGCATGAAATATATAGCACATTACTGGTACATGTAGTTTTTTCCTATTGGTTTGCCTTAAAAGGTAAAGGTAAAGGTACCCCTTCCCGTACGGGCCAGTCTTGACAGACTCTAGGGTTGTGCGCTCATCTCACTCTAGAGGCCGGGAGCCAGCGCTGTCCGCAGACACTTCCGAGTCACGTGGCCAGCGTGACGAAGCTGCTCTGGCAAGCCAGCACAGCACACGGAAACGCCATTTACCTTCCCGCTAGTAAGCGGTCCCTATTTATCTACTTGCACCCGGGGGTGCTTTCGAACTGCTAGGTTGGCAGGCGCTGGGACCGAGCAACGGGAGCACACCCCGCCGCGGGGATTCGAACCGCCGACCATGCGATCAGCAAGTCCTAGGTGCTGAGGTTTTACCCACAGCGCCTCCCGCGTCCCATTGGTTTGCCTTATATTCCATCAATAGTCTGTTAATCTCATGTAGAGTTTGTGTCAAATGAGAATGGATGTTTCTTTTTCAGGTTTGTGCTGTTTATTGTCAGGAAATGAAATCCTGGTGCAGAGCTGTTGTTAAATCAATCATATCATGTACAGATTATTACCTTGCTGAGTGTTTCCTTGTGGATTATGCCAAGAGTGTTCCTGTGAAAACAGACCGGTATGCTTTAATTATACTAAAGGCAAAGGTTATACACAATGAGAGTACTGCAACCTGGGACTAGCAAGCCCTCTGGAACCTGGAAGGTACGATCAGAAGGTTAATGTCGTGTTCTATCACACAAGCCCACTGAGTTTGTGTGATCCTTCTGATAGACCAAAGTGTATGGAGTTGTAAACTCCTACATTCAAATTTAATCTTAACCTTTAACTTGCTGGCTGGTCCGGGGCAAGTTTGTCTTAATCTTTCTTCACATTCACTTCACCCAGTAAGCCCCCAACGTAGGCACATTTAACTTTTGCGCATCCAGCTTTAAGCACACGACAAAATAAAAATAAAAAGGGGCAGAGTTCCAGGAAAAATGACTTTGGCAATCCTACTTGCCACTGAACCCAATGGGTTTTGACTATATGCGATTTTGGCTTTAAGTGCAATCCCTGGAAGGTAGCCCCCGAGTAAGTTCCGGGCTTACTGTAACAGCAGACAGACTACATTGTCCGCCTATCAAGGACAACAAGCAACACTCTGTTATTTACAATTTATGTTTTGTTTATAATTAGAGTTTATAATTTATGTTAAAGGGTTTATTTTTCTGAAATTTCTGTTTTCAGGATTTGTGTTGCCTTGGAATCATTTATGAGATTACCCTACAGAGCAATGAAATTTAGACTGTATGGTACAAAACCGGCCACACTTCGTGTCAACTACTATAACGACAAAGCCAAGATAGTGTAAGTACATTTTGCAAGGTATTATGTAAAAGCGTTCTATATTATTTTGGGTTTCTGTAGGACAAGTATTAGGACTTGTAGTTTGGGAGAGACATCACCTTGCCAACAAAGGTCCGTATAGTTAAAGCTATGGTTTTCCCAGTAGTGATGTATGGAAGTGAGAGCTGGACCATAAAGAAGGCTGATCGCCGAAGAATTGATGCTTTTGAATTATGGTGCTGGAGGAGACTCTTGAGAGTCCCATGGACTGCAAGAAGATCAAACCTATCTGTTCTTAAGGAAATCAGCCCTGAGTGCTCACTGGAAAGACAGATCGTGAAGCTGAGGCTCCAATACTTTGGCCACTTCATGAGAAGAGAAGACTCCCTGGAAAAGACCCTGATGCTGGGAAAGATGGAGGGCACAAGGAGAAGGGGGCGACAGGACGAGATGATTGGATAGTGTTCTCGAAGCAACCAGCATGAGTTTGACTAAACTGCGGGAGGCAGTGGAAGACAGGAGTGCCTGGCGTGCTCTGGTCCATGGGGTCACGAAGAGTCGGACACGACTAAATGACTAAACAATAATTTGGGTGACATTCCATGTAGCTACAAGGAGAGCCTGTGAAATTTTCCTATTTTATATTTACTAGGGCCCCATATTTCTTGGTATAAATGTCACTGAGGCAGACCATATCTATCCAGTTTGTTTCATTCTCTGAGAAACATTTTGAAGTGAAAGAGTACTTCACAAATGTATAATACGTCTTTATATGCTTATAATAGTGCCACAGTAAAGTAGTCATGTGTGCTTTTTTGTAGCCCTGCTAACCGCTGGGATATAGCAGCTATCCACTACTTCCAAAATCTCCTGAATGGTAAGAAAACATAAGGAATAGCATATTATATAATTCCAAATGTATGGGCTAATCTGTTAAAATGTTGAGGGTTTTTTTAAAAATCCACCGAAAGGCTGGGTTTGGAGACTATAGCTAAGTTGCAGAACAGCTGGCTATCTGCAGATGGTTCCATGTTCAGTTTCTAATATCTAAGGGAAATGCCTGTCTGAAACCCTGGAGAGCCACCAGTGTACCAATCACCGGAGAAGGAGTTGGATGAGCCAACAAATTGACTCAGTACAGTGTAAGGCAATGTCTTCCTTAGATAACTGTGTCTGAAGTAAAGAATATTAGTGTACTTAATGTTTGGTACAAATCAGAATAACAGAAAAGTGGTATTATTGGTAATTCATAGAATTGTAGAGTTGGAAGGGACCCAAGGGTCATCTCATTCAACCCCCTGCAATGCAGGAATCTCAGCTAAAGCATCCATGACAGATGGCCACCCAACCTGTATAAAAAAACATATTAAAAATGATACCTACCTGCTGAAACTTAGCAGTTCACAAATTAATTGTTGAACAGGTTCAAAGCCCACTGGCCAGGCAGAATTGTCATAACCCCCCTGTCATTATTCTGATGTCACAACAGGGAGATCTTTTAATGCTGAATGGTAATAAACTTTTGTAGAATTCAACCACATTGTGATTACACACACATCATAGGATTTTAAAGTTTTATCTTGCTTGCAAATGTCTAGCAACTTGACTTACATATGTACAGAAATAAAATGTATCTATTTCTAGCTTCACTGGAGTAAAACTGATCAAATATTTTGAGATTCATTTCTAACGGGTTAACTATCTGTTAATGGCTTACCAAAACGTTTGCTTATTGCATTACCTTACTCCAATCAAGGGGCTGCTTATAACTTTTGATCCTTTGGCAAGAATGTAGAAAATCAGTTGTTGTTGCCTCCCCTCTGATATTTCATCCATTTGGCTTAATCAAGAAAGACCTGCTGTAGGGAAACGTAGAAATTAGAAGACCTAATTAATGCTCCATTTATTTCTGTTTCTAGCAACCACCAAGGTGGAGGCCAAGTTATGTGCTGTTGAAGAAGACAGTTTTGATGTTGATCTCTATGTCACAATAAAGGAAGAAAAGGTAAGCCAGTCACCTTTACAATTCTGTTCGTGTATAGTATTTTGAAACAGACATCCAGTTTGCCAGGGTGAGTGGCAGCATCTGTCCCTCTCTACTAATGGGGAATAACATTCTGCCACTCAGCTTCCCTTCTTGTATGCACCTCTTTGTATATGTTTTAAAAAGTAGATCCTTTAAAATGATAGCAGGGGTTGTATAGGGTGATGACTTGCTTTTTTGATAGAAGAGGCTCCTGCCCAAAGCCTCTGAGGGTCCAAAGTAAGCAAGGATGCTAGGACACAGGCAAAAACCCTACAAGCATTGGCAGGTAGTCCAGAGGCAGACCTGCAGTAGGTGGGTCAGTTCTGGATCCAGTCTTTGGGTGAAAAAGGCTGCTCCCCTCTGGCTTAATAGAATTACATGGTTTGCCCTTATGCCACAGCTGATGGGAAGATTCTTTGTGCACATGGCAAGCTACTTTAGGTGATAGTAGCTGCCTTATAAAACTATTTCAGGTACCTCCCAAATTATGTTAGTAATTTTTATCTTTGCCATTAGTAAAAATGTGCCCCCTTTATGCTAAACCATCACATGCATGAAATCTGTTTTCTTCATAGATATGTGTGAATGACGATCTTCTTGCCAAAAAATTTGCTTTCTATGAGGCACCGAAGAGTACAACAATTAGTGCTGTGGAAGACCAGAAGAGAGAAACGCCATTAAGCCTTGAGCCTCTTTCAGAGGAGATCAATCCTGCACTTGTTCTGTGGCCAATGTTGTTGCAAGCCAAGGAAACAAAGGCTTTTGAAACTTGTGAGTATGACAGATCTGCTTCCCAAATGAATAGACAGGATGGAGGATAGTGGCAAGGGTGCTCAGCTGTTCCTCTCCTTGCTGCTTTTCCTCTACAGCTCCTACCCCACTTGTTCCCTCAACCCAGTCTGCACACATATTGGCATAGTACAGATCCATGGGGTGGGCCTTTGCTGTTCACCTGGCTTCTCAGTACTGGAACTGCTGTCATTTATCAGAGGAGGGGCAGCACAGCATGGCAGTCAGTGCAGGTGTAGCAGCAGAGCCAGTCAGATGCTCCTATGTGACACCAACCTCAGCTTGCCCCTGTCCCTTAGTAACTGGCAATGACCCTGAAGTTGGTAAGCAGCACTATCCTGCTGTGCTCCACAGACTGTTACTGACAAAAGAACCTAAAAGAGAGGAAACCTAATCATACTCCTCAACCAATGAAAGCTTCAATGTGATTAATGTTCACTTAAGGCTACCAGGTGACTGCTCAAAGGTGGCTGGATTTTTGAAAAAGTGTTTGTTGAGATCTCTTTGATAACCACACAAACAGTTACTCCATCCTTCTACCTTTTGAAACTCTGTATGGAAACAAATGAGATTTGAAAAGTGAAGAACTTACATAAATTCCCAAATCTGGAAGATCTTCCATCTTAATAAGTTGGATTGCTGGTACTCCAGGATTTGGCATACTGCCCTTCTTGAAGAAATATCTCATAAACAAAAATAGCTAAAGGATCTGCTCAAATGATTTATTTTAATTTTTTTCTGTATGTCATAGTTTTATTTCTTATATGTGTCACCAGTATATGGAAATGTCTGGCACATCTAAGATTTCAGAGAACCATTTTCCACAATAATGATGGAATGTTACAGGTGGAGAATACTTTTATTTTTAAAAGGAATTTTGTATAAATCAATACTTTATTATCCCTTTGGAGCTGCACTGTATCTTTGTACTTTTATCCTTCCAGGCTGTAACACTTTATAGTTTATATTTTTATTTGGTTTCTTTCATTATGTTTGAACTTTTTAACAAAACCAAGAAAATACTAAGTAAAAGAAACTTACATAGAGAAGAAAACTCAAGCTTGATGTGATAATGTCTCAAATTGGCATTATTAATGGAACATACTGCATTTTATTTCTTTTAGGTGCTTCTGCTTCTGATGATGTTAAAAAAACAACTTGCAATAATTTGCAGGAAACTGATTTAGCCAGTGAAGAAACAGAGCCAGTGAGTGATTGTAGCATTTTTCACAAGGGATTGAAATTGAAGATTTGTAAAATCCTTAAAATAATTTAAGACCCAGTATTATGACTGGGCAGAGAAAAGTGGCTTGCCTGAAAAGGGCAGCAAACATGAGTTATTTATTATTTAATTAAAATTAAATATGTTGTTTACTATTCAAATAATACTTGGGGAAAGTTGGAACTGGCTCAGTGCGGTGCTTTGAGCATTGCTTGAAGTATGTGTGTACAGATTCACCTGTATGCATTACTGCTGTTAGCCCCTCTTACACAGTGCTTGTGACATGACTGTTGGTAAGTGGTTCAGCTTTCAACGTGCCCCACCAATTCCCAAATGCTTCCGCATTTGTTTTCTCTCTTGGGGAGGTGTCTAATTGTAATTAGGCTGGGGGCAGTCAGGGGCAAAGAGTTAAGCCCCTTATTCTTCTCATGCCATTGTCCTGAACTGTGGACAAACCATACTTACAAGCCATGGTTTGTTGTTGATTTATAAACCTAGGCTTACATTAATCATGGCTTAGTGTTTTGTGTGAACCCAGCCCTAGTCTTGCTACTCCGTTCTTAGTCACCTCTTTCATAACTGGTGACCAACAAATCAGAAGCTCAGAAAAGCGGGTGGAGCTGGAGGAATACCTTTTAAGTATTCTTGGTCATATGGCCTGTCTACCTCCAGTGGGGGGCCTTAACCCATGGTTGCCTTGGAGTTCTCCAAACACTAATACAAGAAGGAGCAGTCACACCAAGTATTCAGTGCTCTCTTCTTTGACAAATTATGTGTGTATAGATAGGATGGTGAAGGTTAGTTGCAAATCAGCTTCACAACTGAGCCAGCTGAGCCACATGGCCAGTGGCGGAGGAAGAGGAGTGCAGGGGGAGCGCACCGCCCCTGGCAGCGCGATCCCAGTGGGATGCCATCGCGGCTGCGCGCCACGCCCCCGGGATGCCCGCTAGCCCCGCCCCCGCCTGCTCTCCACCACCACCCCCTCGGTGCCGGAGAATGGAGCTCCACCACTTCACATGGCTTTGAGATATTGCTACTGATGCTGCAATAGAGGGACAGAAGAGTAGCTTGATACAATTGCTTGTAGATGTGTTTTGTGTCGTGGGCAAGAAAGGCTGCATTTTACTGTGTTCCAAAGCAGTGCAATGTGCCTTACTCTCCATTCTAGTCTCATAGTGAAGTATCTCCAGCCAGAAGCACAGAGGTGCCCTGTTTCCTAGGTCAGTGTTTCCCAACCGGTGTTCCGCGGCACACTAGTGTGCCGCGAGACGTTACCTGGTGTGCCGTGGGAGGGAGGCGGGCGCTTTCTCGTTCGCGCCCTGCAGCGAGAAGGGCAGCGCAGCGCCGCAGAAGAGGCCCAGGAGGCAGCAGGCGCCCAGCGCGCGCCCGAGTCCCGCCCAGCTCGCCATGTCCGCCCGCAGCATTGGCGACCCGAGCCAGGCTCCGCGCGCGACGCCCGTCTTATGGCGCGCGCCTCTGCCGAACGCTCAGCCCCGGCGCGAGCGGCTTAGCAACGCCGTCCAATCAGGGTGCATCTCGGCTGGGCGGCCGCGGCATTCTGGGAAATGTAGTCCTCGGGCAGCAGCGGCATTCTGAGAAGGCGCGCTTCTTCGCCGCTGCGCCTTTTCTTCCTCATTCCTTCTTTGCTGGCAACGCAAAAAGAGGCGGAGGAGGAAGAGCTGCTGGAAATGCCTGCGTGGGCATCGGTGCGCGCAGCGCAGGAGATTTAGGCCGGGTGGGGTTGTTAGAGTCAAGATTTTATTTTGTTTATGTCCATCTTGCTGTTCGTGATACTAAACTACTCTTTATAGATCTCGTTATAACTTGTGTGGGGATTGCTTAATTTCGTTGTGGGCGCTTTGATACGGTTTCTTATGAGTGCATTTGGGTAATTATGTAAATATTGCCATGTCGTAAGCCGCCTCGAGCATGGTTTTTAACTATGGAAACAGCATGCAAATGACGATGATATCTAGGGAGGTTTCAAAGGCTTTGTAAGCAGAGTGAAGGAAAGAAATCCAGATGTGATTGTTACGCATTGTTTTTTGCACCGTGAGGCCCTCGTAGCCAAGACTTTACCAGCAGACCTAGTTCATGTGTTGGATGATGTTGTGCGCATGGTAAACAGGCCCAGGTTGCGCACTGAATAAAGTATTTTATAATTTTTCATATTTCTGTTTACTTACTATTTCATAATAAAGTAATTATAAAATACTATCTTTGTGTTTATTTGATTCCTATTAAAGAGAGTTACTTTATATATAGTCAATATAGGCACAGAGTTAATTTTTTAAACATTTTCTAATGGTGGTGTGCCTCGAGATTTTTTTCATGAAACAAGTGTGCCTTTGCCCAAAAAAGGTTGGGAAACACTGTCCTAGGTCATAATTAACATAACCCTGGGATGTTTTTGTCTGCTTACTTAGGCTGTAATGGTGCCGGTTCCTCCTTTAAAACAAGGCATAACTGTTTCCTTGCAGGCGGATATACAAACAGACAGGTTTGTTTTCACTTCTAAATCTTCTATTCATATTTCCTTACATGGGCAAGGGGCTGAACCTATATGTAAAATAAAAATAAACTTGCTGATTGGCTATTTTAGAGCACAATTAATCTGTTTAAATGTAAGTAGTTTGACTCATTTGTTCACTTTCCTGCACGGGAAGAAGGTGTGTCTTCTGTTGGCATATTTGTGAAGATAAGATAAAGTCATTATTAAATTCAGTTGCCATAAGTAATATATTCCTGGTTGATAATTAGTTTGCTTCCAATATATCTTGCTTTTTTGTGCTTTTCATCATTCCCACTGTGGCTGGGATCCATGCAGTCCTGTGTGTGAGCAGGAGGTATTTCCAGTCACATGTGGGTTAGGGACATTGTCAGCTGGCACAAAGGCTGTCATGTAAGGACACCCCCCCCCATGTGCGCCCCCCACCCCACAAAATCCCCAGCTCACATATATTCCACATGCAGCCAGTATTTCTACAGGCATGAGTAAAGTTTTGTCAAATGATTGTGTGTTTCATTTTAGCACCTTATGTAAGGAAACTACTAAAACACAAGAAATGGAGAAAGATCTTTATGAGAAAAATATTGGTGTGAAGTAAGTTTTCTTTTATCTTCCTTTTGAAGTTATACAAATACTGCATAAATGGAAATGCTACCTTGAGACTGAGTTTTTTGTTATATTAATAGGTCAGGCAAGAAGAAGCAAAGTGGATCTCCAACAATGTCTGCAATGTTTATAACTTTCACTCTTGTATATGGCTCATTACTTAGAGCCAGATTTAACTGGGTTGTCACTAACTAAATTCTACTACTGAAAGACAGGGACTAAAGTTAGTTGTACTAATTAATTTCAGTGAGTTTGATCTGAGTACAACTTGGTTGAATACAATTCCTCATATTCTTGCTGGTGGTAGTAGTCAGTCAAAATTTGTGCTTTCTAGCAGCCCTGACCCTCCCATAGAGCTGATGTATTGCACTGAGACAATCAGCAGATACTGTAGCGTGTCTTCAGTGAGGATGTTTTATATAAGGTGCAAACTATGCAGTAAATGTTTTGGGTGAAACTGACTTGGTATCTGATGGGTGTTTTTAATTGCTAAACATATATTAGTTTATCAATTCAAAACAAGCATTATTATTTGATACTAGCCTAGTGGTCTATTCCTTATGCTAAACATAGATTGGAGCGGCCCAGAGGCAAATCCTTGCTCAGCCATAAAGCTTACTGACTGATTGGCCAAGGTAATCACCTCTCAGCCAGCCATGATGCCTTTGCTCTTTGTCCTCAGTTGGAGGCAGTAATGCTTCCAAATACCAGTTGCTGGAAATAGCAGGAGAGGAGAGTGCTCTTGTGCTCATGTTTGGTTCCTTGATTTCATACAGGCATTTGGTTGGCGACTGTGAGAACAGGATGCTGGACTAAATGGGCCATTGTCCTGATCCAGCAGACTATGTTCAGCTCACAGGGTTGCTATGAGAATAAAATAAAGAAATAACTATATATGCCATCCTGAGTTCTTTGGGAGAAGGGCTGAATAAAAGTGTAATAAATAAAGGATTTTAAGTTGGCATGTGGTGACAAACTTTTTTTAAAAAAAAGCGAACTTGTATATTTTCAGGCTTCTACAATTTTTAAATCCTTTGAAAGCTGTTGATGGACAAGATGAGACCGAGGTATTTCAATTAACTGTTGCTTTTGGCAGATCATAAACACTTTTGGACTGTTAGTGCCATTTGAATATATAAATGAGCTTTTAGAATTTTGGTTTGTTTATCTAGTTTTTTGAATCGATACATAGTGTACCTAACACTTCAAAAATTGCTACACACACACACACACCCCTATTTCACAAATTTCTGGATGATCTCAAAACTGTCCACTAATGTGCTTTCCGGATTGGAACAGGAGGACTATTTGAAAATAGAAAGCAATTTGGGGTTATTTTAGAATTTGATAGCTGAAGGTTGAATATGTTTCAGAATCCTAATTGTAGCACTGGTACTCATGAAATCTTAGTGATCCCATAAAAGACATAAATTGTTTTGTGCTTTTTCCTAAAGAAACAAAAATATGGAAACATTTGCAGTGAGGTAGAACATTTTAATGCAAATCATCATGTATCCTGTCTGTTGCAGACTTGTGTTTGTTACCTTTAATTTTAGAAGCTGCAGATGAATACCAGTGCATTCCGCCCTGCTGTCCTTAATAAAAATATAGAACCGTGTTTATCTCTTGAAACAGCACCACTGTTTCCAACTCTGAAAAAGGTAGTATTCACTATATGATATATAAAAGCAGGGGTTGTGTATTTGATTAAATTCCTCTAATACTGAAACCTCAAAATTATTTTTTGAAGTTGAGCATGCTCTAAAAATAGCGCTTGTTTCTATTGCCATCTTCTGCATAATAGAATCCCAGTAATTCATTGAGGTCACCACAAGGCTGAATGTCAATTTTGGAAGAGGGCATGGAAGACCGAGGCAGCAGTCCTACACACTTAAATGGAAGAAAGTCCCATTGAACATGATGGGGCTTGCTTTTGAATAGGGATTGTCCTGTAGGATTGTCCTGTGAGTTTCAAATTGCTACTTTACCATGAAGCTCACTAGATAGCTATGGGCAAGCACCTTGCACGAAGCAGCCTGACAGGATGACCATGAGGATGAAATGGTTCAAAGTGACACATTGTAATAATATGTCCTAATCCCATAGATATGGCAACTTACTATCTCTGAACAACAACTATGAAGCTTTGCAAAGCAGAGCAAGCTAGCTGTTGATATTCTGCCCATAGCTGTCAACGTTTTCCTTTTTTAAAGGGAAATTCCCTTATTTCAAATAGGATTCCTCGCAAGAAAAGGGAAAAGTTGACAGCTATGACTCTGCCCGCCCCACTTTAATACATCTTATGCTGGTGGAAGTAATACATTTTAAATATGATGCAGCCCATACCCAGAAATTGCATTGCTTATGGCTTTTTGCCCATTTGTTAGCAGTAGATCTGATGAGCAACTCAAAAAGATTTAATTGGTAATTAAGGCTACAACTGTGTGCTCGTTTGCACTCAGGTGCCGCTTGCTTCAGTGGAATTTGTTAGCTTGGCAGGGAATTGTTTTCCAAGAGTATAAATAGTTATAACTGTGTCTGCTTAAAACTTGGTCCTGACCATAGCTGGTGCTGCCCCAACCCCTGTCACCCCTTAATGCTGTATTGATTTCTCATATACAGAATATTCAATAACCCAGACTGTTTGAACCACATGCTGTACAAAAATATGTAGGCTGTCATCCAGTGAATCAGTATACACCTGTAGTGGGTCACCTGTGCATACACAGGTGGTGGTCTCCATGGAGATTCCGCAGGAAGCAACTCACATTGCTCCCTTGTTAACAGGAAAACTGAGGCTATGTACATAGTGTAGCTTCATTTGATCATCTCCCTAAGACCGATTCTTCTATTTTAAGCAAATATATAAATACATTTGATGCATTTTTTCCCCTGGTAGGAACTTCTAAGGAATCAGTTCCCAGGACCTAATCATGTACAGTCTTATTCGTGGCCACCAATAGCTCGCGGATGTGATTCAGTTATTATCTCTCCTGAAAATGATCCACTTCTATATCTTCTGCCAATTATTACGTTTTTGCAGTCAAGAAGTTGCTATGTATCACTGCCAGCTCGGAGTGGTGTAAGTAGGATATTCAGTTTATGCCCAAATGCCTTCTTTGTTGAAACCAAGTCTTGGAACAGTGTAGGTTTGGATTAAGCAGTCAGAATGTGTGGTGCTTTCTGTGGTTGCTTTTTGGATGTGGGCTCTACATTTGAATGTGCATCATATCACTTCTGAATGGGACTATGAGTGGCAACAATCATCTTAGTCTCCAACCAAATGTAATGTAAATGGCCATTGTAACCATGTCTTAAGAAGCCGCTTAGAAATGCAGGAAATATAGGGAACGTGGGAATGCTGTAGCCTCTGATTTGAATGGCTAAGCCTAACCAGTTGCCTGCCTAGATAGTTGTATCTAGAGACCCTGAGCAGTAGATGTTTGAATGGGCTCGGCTCATCCAAAGCTAGCTGCAAGCAATAGAACATGAGATTAACTTTTTAAAAGTTGTGATAACATATTCTTCCTAAGGGGATGCCATAGAGTAAAGAGAAGGATCAAGCTTTATCTGTGTAAATGCCTCTAGTTTGGGGGGCAGGGAGTTGAACCAAACAGGCTTTCTTCAGGCATGCATATTTGGCATTAACTAAATATGTACGGGGGGCAATGAGAATGAGCATACTAGCTTTGTCCTGCCATTATTCTCATTTCCCTCCATAAGCTGGAGAATGACTGACTGGAGTAGGGAGCTTCCATGAGAGCAATGGCAAAAGGTTTGTCTGGAGCTAGTGTGCTGATCCTTTATAGCAGGCTTCCTCAAACTCGGCTCTCCAGATGTTTTTTTTGCCTACAACTCCCATGATCCCTAGCTAGCAGGACCAGTGGTCAGGGAGGGTGGGAATTGTAGTCTCAAAACATTTGGAGGGCCGAGGTTGAGGAAGCCTGCTTTATAGCATGTTTCAGTTAATAACCAATGTGCACACTTCATGAGGGTTATGCACAGCAAGCCATTTGGAGGGTTGAGTAAGCATGCAGCAAAGAGCAGGCCTGAATGAGAGAAAGGAGTTTTGTAGAGACAAGGCTGTTCAGAGTCTATACCACTGTGTGATTTCCCCACTCCCTTCATGGATTTTAAAAATCTTGGCTAGCTTGCATTACTTTGAACAGTGGGTTTTCTTTTTAAAGAGATTTTCTGACTGATAAGCCTCTGATTCGTGGAAATGTTTCTGCTCTTAGTATGAATTGATGTCTTGTTTGTGTACATAGCCAGTTGCATTAATCCTGTGCCCAGGACAGAAGAAAGCAGAACTGGTGTTTGAGTTTCTGGAAACTTACAGCCGTTGTTCCAGGCCTATTCACCCAATATTGCTCTTACTGGGAACAAATAAGGAAGAAATACAGAGCATAAGAATTCCAAGAGGATGTAAGCATAACATGATCATTAATGCTGAACATATGATTGAATAAATTTATCGGGACCATAAGGGAATAACAAAATATAAAATGCCAATATGGTATAAAATCATAAAGTAACATTAACTTATTAAAGTGTGACCAAATCATTCTTATACAGTTTCAGTGCCACAAAGCGAAAATAAAAATATTGCTTAAAATTGGCAATTCACATGAACTATAAAATCCATATAAAGATAACCAATTAACTGCAGTTTACCAGAACATGTATACTAGGCATCTGACTTGTGTTGTGTAAAAAAAGAGGGGAGAAGCTGAATTCAACATAGCTAATTGGATTTCACATTCTTAATTTGTACATTGCTATGCAGATTTATGTTCCAGTTGATAAAGCAAGTTAGAGGGTTATTACTTTCCAATTGTCTGTAGCCCTAGAAACAGGAAGCTGCTTTTTAATTCAGAATTGGTCTACCTAGCTTAGTATTGTCTACACCAGGGGTCAGCAAGGTTTACCTCACCTGGGCCAGTTCACTCCAGCGGAGCGCTCGCGATTTCTGGCATCTACGTCTGCGCAGACGTGATTTCCAGTGCTGCGGAAGCGAGTCACCGTGCTGCGCCAGTTTAGCGCAGCACGCAGGGACTCACTGAGCAGGCGGCTCAGTTTGGGGGCAGCTCATGGGCTGGTTAAACGGCCCCCATGGGCTGCTTGTGGCCCACGAGCCTTAGGTTGCTGAAATATACTCAGAGTCGCAAAGTGATTTCATGCTCTTTATTCAGCTCATAGTGGTGAGGAGGAATGAATCAATGTCCCCTCAGTATCTGCTTTATATACATTATTTACACAATGGGCTGCACATGATTGGCTAATTCCGGAATTCTACTGTAAGCCAATCAGGTTGTGGATTCACTTCTATCTGGAGCATGATTGGGTAGTTCCTGCCAACCAATCATACTGCTGCATTGTTCTAGGACCAATCAGACTGCTGCATTCTGAAGCCTATTGTTCTAGGACCAATCAGACTGCTGCCTTTTGGATCCTATTGTTCTAGGACCAATCAGACTGCTGCAGTTTGGATCCTATTCAACTCAGTACATAACACCCCTCCCCTCTAAGTTCCAGTCCTGCCCGGGAGGTCGCATTCATAGTCCTTGAGGTACGCCGGCGGCCTACGTGTGCGTTGCGGCCTAGGGTGTTCCCTGGTCCGGGGTTCAGGTTCTGGCCCGTGTTCCAAGGATGCTGGCTGTGATGGGGCTGTTTGGTCTGGCGCAACCGGCTCGCTCAGTTGTGGTTCAGGTTCTGGTGTCCTTTCGGCCTCGCAGGTCCTCTCTGTATTTACTGATTCTGCCTCTCCTGCTGGCCCCTCGTGCTCTATGGGCCTCACTGCCCCTCTGTTCCCTTGGGACTCCTCTGCCCTTTCCTCCTCCTGGTTTTCTCCCGGGAATCGTCGCCGTATCTGGTCGCAGTGGCGGCGCCAGCATTGCCCCCCATCCATTAGCACCTCATATGACACGGGGCCAGTGACCCTGGTGACTGGCGGGTACCCATGCTGGGCCTGCCCCAAAATTCTTTGCGTACACTGGGTCCTGAGCCTCGAAGGTCCGGGGGTTCTTGCCTTCCCCCACCACTACCTCATCCTGAGCTCTATCGGGGTGAAGGCGGTCCAATCTGATTGCAAGGCGCCGACCCATTAGTAGTTCAGCGGGGCTCCGGCCAGTCGTTGAGCTGGGGGTGCTGTGCTGTGCTAGAAGGAATGTGGCAAGGCGGTACTCCCAATCCCCTTGCGTCATGCGGCGAAGGGTGTCCTTGGTGGTCCGCACCATGCGTTCTGCTTGGCCATTGGTGGCAGGGTGGAATGGCGCTGAACGGATGTGGCGGATGGCGTTCTGCGCTGTGAAGGTTTGGAATTCTCCTGACGTGAATGCAGTCCCGTTGTCTGAGACGAGAGTGTCAGGGAGCCCGTGGGTTGCAAACAGCCTGCGTAGTACCCGGATGGCTGCGGACGTAGAAGTGGACGGTACCAGTGCGACTTCCAGCCATTTGGTGTAGGAGTCCACCACTATGAAGAATGTTTTCCCCTGAAAGGGGCCAGCGAAGTCCACATGCAGGCGTGACCATGGTGCTCGGGTGGACTCCCAGGACTGGACTGGGGCCCTTGGGGGATCTGGGCGGGATTCTTGGCAGGCCTGGCAGTGTTTGACCCAGGCTTCTATCTCTCCGTCGATCCCCGGCCACCACACATAACTCCTGGCAAGGGCCTTCATTCTTACTACCCCTGGGTGTGTCTCGTGTAGGGCTGTGAGGACCCTTTTGCGGAGGGGCTGGGGAACAACAACCCTGCTTCCCCATAACAGGCACCCCTTGTGGGCCGACAGTTCATGTTTGCGGGTTGTGTAGCCGGCGAATTCTGGCCCGGGGCTGCTGCTGGGCCATCCCCTCCACACCCAGTCCAGGACCCGGGAGATGACCCTATCTTTCTTGGAATGGTGTGCAACTTCTTGTGCCTGAATGGGGCGGTCGGGAAGCAGCTCCAGGCTCATAACCTCTTGTGCAGGTGCTGGGTCGGGGCCTGTTTCCGGTAGTGGTAGCCTGCTGAGGGCGTCCGCATGGCCCATCGCCTTCCCTGGACGGTGAATCAGTGCATACTGGTAGCTGGCAAGGAAAATTGACCACCTGAGGACACGAGGAGACAGCACTTGGGGGGTCTGCTTTTCAGGGGCAAACAAGCCAAGCAACGGCTTGTGGTCAGTCACCACGGTGAAGGGCCGCCCGTACAAGAAATCATGGAATTTTTTTACACCCTTCACGATTGCCAGACCCTCCTTGTCGATTTGTGAGTAGTTCCGCTCGGTTGCGTTGAGTGTCTGGGAAAAGTATGCCACTGGTACCTCTCTTCCATCCGGGAGTTGGTGTCCCAGGACAGCGCCAATTCCATAGGGCGAGGCGTCGCATGCTAGCACCACCGGCAGCCTCTCGTCGAAGTGTGCCAAGACCGAGTTTGAGACAAGCAAGTCCTTGACTGCCTGGAATGCGGCCTCCTGGTGCTGGCCCCACACCCAAGGGGCCCGCTTGTCCAGGAGTCTGTGTAGGGGCTCCGCTACCGCCGCCTTGTGGGGAAGGAAGGAATGGTAAAAGTTCAATAGTCCCAAGAAGGCCTGAAGTTCAGTCTTGTTCTTGGGTGCTGGGGCATCACAAATGGCCCGTACCTTGTCCCCAGTTGGGTGGACCCCTTCTGCGTCCACCATAAATCCCAGAAAGTCCACCTGAGGCACTCCTAGTAGACATTTTCCCCGCTTCACCTTGAGACCCGCCGTCTGGAAACGGTGCAGAACGGTGCGGAGGCGGTCCTCAAACTCCTCTGGTGTGGGCCCAGCAATCAACACATCATCGAAGAAGGGGGTGACGCCAGGGATCCCTTTAAGTAGAGAGTCCATTAGATTCTGGAATATGCCTGGTGCCACGCTGACACCGAATTGCAGCCGCTTTACCCTGAATGCTCCTCTGTGCGTCACAATCGTCTGTGCCTCTGCTGTGGCCTCATCTACTGGCAGCTGTTGATATGCTTGGGCCAAGTCCAGCTTGCCAAAAATTTTCGACCCAGCCAGGGTGGCAAGAACATGGCTGACCACTGGCACTGGGTATGCATGGGCCATGAGGGCCTTGTTTATGGTACATTTGTAGTCTGCGCAGATGCGGACCGAACCATTAGGCTTGACGGGTGTGACGATTGGGGTTTCCCAGGGGGCATTAGGCACTGGCTCCAGCACTCCTTGCTCCACGAGCCGGTCCAATTCGTCGTCTATACGGGGTTTCAGGGCGAACGGGACCCGGCGGGCCTTGAGCCTGACCGGTCATACTGCGGGGTCAAGCTGTAGAGCAATGGGGGGGCCCGTATACTGTCCCAATTTCCCATCGAAACCCCCCGGAAATTCCTTGCATATGGCGTCCACGTCCACTTGTAAGCTAGTGTGGTTCACCCCGGTGACGGCTAGCCCCAGTGGTCCAAACCATGCCAATCCCAGTAAGCTAATGTAGGGGCCCTTGACCACCAGCAAGTCCAGTTGCCGCGTCCGCCCTCGGTATTGCACCCTGAAGGTCCCCACCCCCATTGTGGGGACCTTACGTTTCTGGAAGTCCCGGAGGGTGAATGGGGCCGGCCTGAGTTTGGGACCCCCAGTAGGACACAGTTTCCTTAAGGTCCTTGCCGAGATTATGGATAGAGTTGAACCCGTGTCAAGCTCCATGCGGCATGGGGCCCCCTCTATCTGTACCTCTACATAAATTTTCTCTACGTTGGGGTGGGGCAACTGATATACCTGGAAGTCCGTGAGCTCTGTCGAGTTGCCTTGGGGCCTGGGACCTGGGGCTCTTGGATTGGCCATCTGATGCCTGGCGTCGGGTGGGCCGAGCCCGACACACCCGGGCGATGTGTCCCGATTTTCGGCACTGCCTGCACTCTGCGTTGCGGAAACGGCAGGTCCTCCTCTCGTGACTTTCTCCACAGCTTGCGCAGTTCCCTCCTTCTCGTCGAGGCAGCTGTGGTGTGTGGGCTGCTTGAGTGCGCTGCTGTACTCGGTGCACCTCCTCCCTGTTGGATCCTGAGTCGTCGGTGATGTCTTCGTGGTGGACCCTCGGTTGGGACGGCTGGCTCGGCCGTGCCTCTTGCGTCGACCTCTCGGCAGCTTCCGTTGCCAGGGCCTCCTCCAGAGCGACCTGGAACGTTAGGTCCTTCTTAGCGTAGAGGCGTCGTTGAAGCTTCTCATCCTTCAGGCCACCGACGAGGCGGTCATGAAGCATGTTCTCCAGCTCTGAGAAGTTGCAGAACCGGGCGGCTTGGCGGAGAGAGGTCACAAACCCAGTTATGGTTTCCCCAGGGGCTTGCCGCTTTGCGTAGAAGGCATTTCGACGAGCCACCACTGAGGGCTGCGGCGAAAAGTGCCCCTTCAGCTGTTCCATTATTGTTTTGTATGGAACAGTAGCGACGTCTTCAGGCGCAAGGAGAGCCCGGGCGATTTCAAACATCTCCTCTCCGCAGACGCTGAAGAATATCGCCCTCTTCTTGGCGTCTTCTTCGTCGGTGACCCCTTTGGCTTCTAGGAGGAAGGTGAAACGGGAGGTGTACGCTTCCCAGTCTCCGGATGCTGGGTTGAACGGCGAGAAGCTGCTGTCGGTTGCCATTCTGAGTTCCTTGTGTCCCGGAGCTGAAGCCTGGATACACGGTGTGAGGCAGCGGTGCGGCAGGTGGCAGTGCTGCGGTGCTGTGTGTGGCAGTCAGCTCAGCGGGATCCCACCTTCGTCGCCAGTGAAATATACTCAGAGTCGCAAAGTGATTTCATGCTCTTTATTCAGCTCATAGTGGTGAGGAGGAATGAATCAATGTCCCCTCAGTATCTGCTTTATATACATTATTTACACAATGGGCTGCACATGATTGGCTAATTCCGGAATTCTAATGTAAGCCAATCAGGTTGTGGATTCACTTCTATCTGGAGCATGATTGGGTAGTTCCTGCCAACCAATCATACTGCTGCATTGTTCTAGGACCAATCAGACTGCTGCATTCTGAAGCCTATTGTTCTAGGACCAATCAGACTGCTGCCTTTTGGATCCTATTGTTCTAGGACCAATCAGACTGCTGCAGTTTGGATCCTATTCAACTCAGTACATAACAGTTGCCTACCCCTGGTCCACACCTACCAGCAGTGGCTCTCCAGAGTTTTATGGAAATCTTCTTAACCCACTTGGAGATGCCAGCTCTTGAACCTGGAACTTTTTGATAGCAAAACACCTACTTTGTCACTAAGCTACAGCACTTGGTAAGTGCAAATCACTTCTTGGTAACATAACAGGAAAGCTTTCATAAACAAAGAGAACAGGTTCTTTTTTCCCTGGGTTGTCTGTGGGTCATGAATTATTAGCTAGCGTGGGTGTAACTGGGATACAGGCTAGTAGTTTTTGATGGTACTTTATGCTTTTTTTTGAGATTTCAACCAAATAATGTGACAACTTCCTTACAGGTGAGGTCCTTATAACAACCCCATATACCCTTCTGAGGTTGCTTGAATATCACAGCTTACTGTTCCTCAGGCTCTGCCATCTTGTGCTTGATGAAATTGATGTGTTGTTTGCTGAAGCCAACATAGAAGTAAGTGTGGGTTTTTGCACATAAGATAAATGTGCTAAGATAATGTGAACTCAAAGAATATTATAAAAAAGATACAATCATAGTTGCCCCTAGCACAGATTGTGCTTTCCCCCAAAATAGTCAACTATACAATACTGCTTATGTCAAATATACATTGCTAAAAAGTTCTTCCTGATGCGGAACAAGGGATTGCATGTGAACCAAAGACCTAGTTCCACCCAAAGCAGCTAGTTGATTAGTACTGTAAGTTAACTGTCTTCCCATCACCAATTCTGCCTGTAGTTTACCCATAGTATTACTTTTGGCAGATGGAAAAGATAATGATGGGTGTTAATTCCTGTTTTATAGATATTTCGTATTCTAGAATATTACAAAACAGCCTTGAACGTTGAAGAGAAAGAATCTGCACCTCAGCAGATCGTTGCTATCGGAAGGCACTGGAGCAAAAACATAGAACACTTAACCAAAGAGTTCATGAATGATCCGTATGTTGTGATCACATCCATGGAAGAAGCTGCCATATATGGCAAAGTGCAACAGGTAAAATATTAGGAGCTTTATAGCTCTCTTATATATTTGCTTTTGGATTGAAGACTAGGCTCTGCACAGGTTCACTAACTCTTGCAGGCACAAATTATAAGCACTGTGGCTTTTAAAATACTACCGTATTTTTCGCTCGATAACACGCACCTGACCATAACACGCACGTAGTTTTTAGAGGAGGAAAACAAGAAAAAAAATATTCTAAACGAAACAGTAGATGTATGATTTTTGTGGTTCATGCTGTGGCCACAGACATGTGATCTGATGGTGAGTTTGGGGTGACCCAGTGCAAAAATCCTGAGGATCCATGTGGATCCGTGCTTTGTAACCACGTTTTAAGTGGGGAGGGAAGGAAAAGCACTCAATGGACAAGGAGCACGCGTGGGGTGTGTGGAGAAGGAGCTTTTCTGTGAGCTGAGCGGGGAGGGAAAGAACACTGTTGCTTTAAAGGTATACTTAAGGTATTTGCCCTGTGGCTGGGGTTTTTTCCATTTAACAGTTTGCAGCCTTTTCCTTCTGCTCCTTGTTTTGAGGCAGAATAGATTTGAGCAAGTGAGGAGGACTTGGATTGCAGGGGATTCGCCATTAGCTGTGTAAAAGCCCTCCTCCTTGCAGCCTGAGTGATAAGCAGCCACCAGCAGCAATAGAATGGAGCACAAAAAAGCGGTAGGGGCACTAGGACCCAGACAATGCTCAAATCTATCCTGCCTGAAAACAGCTGAGAAGCGGGGGATAGCCTTTTTTTTTACTTCCTGGTTTTCACTGCGCTCGTGGCTCAGAGCTCCAGGTTGGTTTTTTTGTTGTTGTTTTTTGCTGCTGGTTGCTTAAATTTTATCCTTCCTGATCCAAGCCCTCCTGTCCCTCTGCAGCCTCATTGCTCCGTTTAGAGAGCGGGCGGACCTTTGCTAGCTGAGGCTGCAGCAGCTGTTGCTGGCTACTTTAAAAGCGCTTGCTGGCTTTGAACCGCCTGCCTTCTCCCGGCTCGCTATGGCTCCCGTCTGTCCCTCCTCCCCTGTAAGCGGCTGCTGCCCGCTTTGCTGCCATGCCTCTCCTTCCCTCCCTCCTCCTCGGCTCCTCCCCCTCCTCCTGGCTGCAAAGCAAGCAAAGCTAGAGCCGTGCAAAGCCCTGCAAGCGGCTCCCGCTTTGCTTGGCTGACGGCAGCCACGGCTCCGATCCAGTGCATTCGCTCCTTAACACGCACAGGCATTTTCCCTTACTTTCTAGGAGCAAAAAAGTGCGTGTTATGGAGCGAAAATTACGGTAAGTGGAATTTGGAGCTTGAGATTGGCTATGTACAGAACAAATCCAGTTGGTCAGACCTGTTGGTTAAGAAGCTGGAAACTTTAAGGGTTATAATAAGAGTAACTTCCTCAGTTCTGAGAATAGCATCATGAGTGGTTCCTATGAAACCTGCTGGTTTAGCTATGATGTGCAAAAATAGGATAAGAATGCTTATTATGTGTGTACGGTTTCTTGAGCTGGTTACTTGAAAGTAAGATTGAGAGGTGCTCATAAATTTTCCACAGAACAATTTCATGATTTTTCTATCCCTGAAGCGCTGATTAAACAAAAGGATAAATCAAACTATTGTGGAACCCCATCTTCATGTTAAATAGGGTTCATTCAGCATCTCCATATAGAAGGTTGTAGCCAGTTCTAGTCCTACTCAGAGTAGACTTATTGACATTCATGGGCATGACTAATCTTGGTCCATCAGTTTCAGTGGGCCTACATTAGGTAACGTTGTTGGATACAAGCCATGGGTATTTTTATTCCCTAACATAAAGGGGAAGCAGAAGTGAAATACTTGGCTTTTATAAAGAGTGATTTAATTTAACCTGACACATTTGAACTACATGTGACTTCTAGGTGGTGCAGCTTTGCCTTGAGTGTGACAGAATATCTACTTTACTCCAGTCATTGGACTTTACTCCTACTAATGTTCAGAAAACATTGATTTTCACCAGTTCCGTAGAAGAAACAGATATAATTTACAAGGTATTTCCCCCCTAAATGATACAGTCCAAATTGTTTAGAAAGAAAGATTCTCCTTTTTTCTATCCCAGTTAATGGATAAATACATAGCTGAATAGGCAATAAGAGGGTGTTGCAAAAGGAAATGGTTTTATTTCTTATTTGAAAAGCCAGCTTTTCTAAGCTTTGCATAAGGCATATGAAGTGTTGTCATATGGGAATCTCAAAGCAGGAAAAGCTAGTCACTTCCAGAAAAGGACTGGTTTCCTCCCCCCACCCCCCAGTGGTGAGATATACTCCAAATCTTATATCAGTAGTCTTAAGTGGTCAATTGGCGATTTTAGGGACTTGAGCAACTCCCCTGATGACTTTGAACTTGCATTACTCAAAAATGCCAATTCATTACAACAGAGCCAACTAATTATGATTAGTTGGCCCTTTGTAAAAAGAATTGTGGGGTGAAAACCCAGACCCCAAATATTGCTTTCTCAGCCAGGATGCAAAATCTCAGGTACTCCAGGTGACACTGTTTTGCTACATCAGCAGATAAGGGTGTTTTCCATGCAAGTCCAGCAGCAGGACTGATAAACGTTAAGGCACTGGCTGAGGTCCCACCCACATCATTGCCACTTGCTGGCCCTGGTCCTCCACAACAGGAGCCCAGATCAAACATGAGGGGCAGGCAGAAGGCGTTGGCGGCGCCAGGACTGTCTGCCTATGGGGCTGCCTCAAAAGCAGCAAACAGAAACAGCTGGGGTTCAAAGGGCAAAGATTGATAACAGCACCCTGAGCACTTTCACTCTCATGAATACAGCAAACAGCTCTTCAAAAAAACAAACAAACCTTTGCTTTTGAAGCTGTTACATTATTTTGTTTGCTAGAAATAAATATTGAACTTGAGGGGTAATTCAGCTAGCTTAAAAATGTGGCAGAATGGTGTGCCTGTGTCAGAGAGACAGAGACAAGGAAAATAATAGGCAGGATGGTTGCCAGTGGCTTCTGAAACCACTGCTTGGCATTCCAATCCTCCCCACTTTGGCACTGTTGACAAATTATACTGATGAAATGAAAGCTTTGGCTAACTCAGATAGATTTTTGCATTGAAGGACTCTGCGTGCCATTGAGTTATTCAAAATAAACCCCATATCTCATCATTCTTTAATTTGAGATAAAAGCAACTAAGATTAAAAAATCTACGGTGATAGAAGTTTTCTTGCACTCAGGCTCTGCTTTGTCAGAGGCATGAAATCTTCGCTTGCAGGAATAAAAAATAAAAAATTATTAGGTAGGAGTTTGACAATGAGATTCAAAAAATGCAGTTGCTGATAATGAGAGTTCACATGTCTGTTCAGTTGGTACCCTTTTTGCAGCAGCCAGCAGGTGATAGTGGGGCTAAGAGGAAGGAGTTCAGAAGTAGAAAGGAAAGGAAAAGACCAAGCGGCCAGCCTTGGTTGCCTGTGTTCCGAAACATCCCTGAAGGGAAGGACAAAAGTCCTGCTATGACTGATAAGGCTTTGCCTTGTTTGTGGCGTATTCCCACAACAACCAAAGTCACTGTGTTGATTCCCTTGCTGCAGGGGATGAACATTTCTTCGGAAGGCACTGCTGGGTTGAAACAGCATAAATTGGCAACACAAGCAGTGCAGCAAAGTTTACAGAGGCAGCATTTTCACTGCTGCTGATAGGTACAAGATCTTACCAAGGAATTGATAAGCATTCCAAATGAATTGATCTGTGTCTCCTTATTTCACAAAAGGCCATGTATTTGTTTGATATATAAATGAATATAATCATCCAGGGACACATTAGCCTTCATTTAAGGGCTAAATGAAACTGTCCCTTTAGACAGTGATGGGAGTTGCAGTCCCAAAGTTTTGGGACTGCAACTCCCATCATCCCTAGCTAACAGGACCAGTGGTCAAGGATGATGGGAATTGTAGTTTCAAAACAGTTGAAGGGCCAAGTTTGGCCACTACTGCTTGAGAACGTAGAATATAAAAGATGACTCATGACCAGAATTTTAATTCTGAATGTAGCAGTGTTCAATTCAGTTTGTTTGTTTTTTAAATCAGAGCATTGTTCAGTAATTATACATTTCTTTTGTAATCCACATTGTTTGAAACCATTCTCTTTTTTAATTAGGCAGTGGAGAGCACTTCAATATTTTGTTTGAAAATGCACCCAGACATTGGATTTCATTTTGATTATGTTTTAGAGCAATGGAAGAAAAAATTTAGCTCTGGCACACATGTTGTACTAGGTAAATATATTGTTTTTCTCACATATGCTTGCTCTAAAACCTTTGTCAAAACTATGGTGACTCTCAATCTTTTTCATTACAATTTAATTAGATGTATTATTTGCTATGTTATCATTAAACTGTTCAGATAATTATTGTCTCCCAAAGTGATGCACATTAAAAAAAAAATTAAAGGGGGGGGAGGTTGCCATCAGGTTTGCAGACTACAGTTTGCAGTTCTAAGCACCCCATGTCAAGAAGCATATTGACAAATGAACATGTCCAGAGGAGGGCAACCAAGATGACTGAGGGTCTGGAAACCAGTTCTTATGAGGGAGTTGGGAAGGTTTAGCTTGGAGAAGAGAAGACTGAGAAGGGATATAATGGCCATCTTCAAATATCTGAAGGGTTGTCACATGGAAGATGGAGCAAGCTTGTTTTCTGCTGGTCCAGAAAGCAGGACCTCAACAAATAGATTCAAATGACGAGAAAGGAGTTTCTGACTATACATTAGGAATAACTTTCTGCGTGTAAGAGCTGTTTGACAGTGGAATGGACTCCCTCAAAATGTGACTAGATGGCCCTTTGGGTGCCTTCCAACTCTATGATTCTATGACTTTTGAAAGTGGTTGCCTCTCCTGCCATGGAGGTTTTTAAACACAGGTAAAATAACCACCCATCAGGTATTCTTTAGCTGTGATTCCTGTGTTTCAGGGGGTTGGATTAGCTCACCCTTGGGGTCCCTGCCAACCCTACAATTCCATGATTCTATAAAAAAGACAAGACACACTTGGAAAAGGGGGTGAAAGGATAGTAGGTAGAGGAAGGAATTCATTCTTCAAGGTTAGATCAAAGTGCTGAGCTACAAGCATATATATGGTTTCCCTTTGCCTGGTCGTCTTGCTTAAATCTCTTGTTTATGTCTTTTGTTCCTTTGACTGATAGCTGAGGCCAGAGCATCCTTTTCCCTTGCTTCTGCAGCCCCAGAATAACAGGCAGTTGACATCTAGTATGTTTTGGCAGGAAGGGAGGAAGAATGCCAGGTACAGTGGTACCTCAGGTTACAAACGCTTTGGGTTTCAAACTCCACTAACCTGGAAGTAGTTGCTCCGGGTTGCAAACTTTGCCCCAGGATGAGAATGGAAATCGCATGACGGCGGCACAGCGGCAGGTCCCATTAGCGAAAGCGCGCCTCAGGTTAAGAACGGTTTTGGGTTAAGAACGGACCTCCAGAACGAATTAAGTTCGTAACCCAAGGTACCACTGTATCTTGCAAAGGTTTTTCCAGTTTCAGACTTGGGGCAACATGGTACAGTGGTGCCTCGCAAGACGAAATTAATTCGTTCCGCAAGTTTTTTCTTCTTGCGAGTTTTTCGTCTTGCGAAGCACGGTTTCCCATAGGAATGCATTGAAAATCAATCAATGCGTTCCTATGGAGACCGTCCGGGGACAGAGGGGAAGCGCCGCGCACCTTCCCCTCTGTCCCCGGACCTGTTTAAAGCAAGGGGCAGCGGGGAGAAGATTGCTTCTCCCCGTTGCCTGCCCCGCAATCTCCGGGGACAGAGGGGAAGGCGCGCGTGCCTTCCCCTCTGTCCCCGGACCTGTTTTAAAGCAAGGGAAGGGGCAGCGGGGAGAATCGCTTCTCCCCGTTGCCGCCCCTTGGTTCAAAAGGGGTCCGGGGAGAGAGGGGAAGACGCGCTGCACTTCCCCGCTATCCCCGGAGCTTGCGGGGCAAGCTTCGTTTTGCAAAGCAAGCCCATAGGGAAATGCGTCTTGCGAAGCGGCTAAGAAAACGAAAAACTCCTTCGTCTAGCGAGTTTTTTGTCTTCCGAGGCATTCGTCTTGCGGGGTACCACTGTATCAAGCAGATTATAGCAATTTATGTAACATAAAACCCAGCTAAGGGTTAATCAGTTAACTAAAAAACAGGGAAATTATGATAGAAAAGTTCTCTGTTTGTCTACATCATTTTATGCTATTCCAAATACTTCTGATTGATGATTTTTATACAGCTTGCCCGGTTGGTACTTTTTATCATTACCAGTATTGTCATTTTAAATAGGAGAGTGATAGGAGAGAGATTTGCAGGAGCCCTCCTAGAACTTGAAAATCAGATGATGAGAAGTATGTGTTGGTTAGGAGTGAAGTAATAAATTAGTGTTGGTTTGGGACTAAATTAATGTTGTATCCAACATTAATTTCAAAACCCTGCAGTGGTTTTGAATTATATGTTTTTTGGTTTTGCTTTCCAGTTTTAACTGATGACTGCATAAGAACCTTAGGAATTACTGATGCAACTCGGGTCGTTCATTTCAGTTTTCCTGCATCTCCAAGAATTTTCGGTGCACGCTTATACAGTTTGTCTGATAACTTCCAAAACTCAGTTGGAAAGGTTTGTACAAACCAAATGAACTGTTTATGACTGTGGAAATTTCAAACAAAAAATCTCTCCTTGATCCCCTGCCCCTCCTCTATCCTAATATTCTGCCTGTGATCTTCATTCCTCCAGCTCCAACACTCTTACTCCTTCCCTTCAATTTTTTTCTCAAAGCGGTTTTCCTGTTGTCTTAGTCCTCCTAACTCCTGACACTTTCTCCCAGAACGCTCACCTGTTTACCTCCAGGCCTATTTCTTCAGTGACATTAGATTAAACCCCTTTATTCCTAACTTAAATTAAATTTTAAGTGTGCAAGTCTATCTGCTGGGATTTTGAAAATGTCATTTGCTTCACTCCCTCTGCTGTCTGCCCCACTGTCAAAATTTTGGTTGCAGGGTTATTGGAGCAGAGACACCTTTTTTACTTTGTTGTTGTTGTTGTTAACACCCATTATAATACCTGATAATAAAAACTGAAGGCAAATGTTGCATTTTCTCCCCCTTGCGAAGATTTCGTCTCTGGAAAAAGAACAGCCAAATGCAAAATCCATCTTGCTGTTGACAGAAAAGAGTGCACCCCATGCTGTTGGAGTAATGCATTATTTAAAACGCACAGAAACCAACATTCCACCTGAATTATGCAATTTTACATCTGGAGTGCTGGAGGCCAAAGAAGACAGAAAGAAAGGAAGACCTCTCTGTCGCTACCTTAAAGCATATGGAGTTTGCAAGTAAGAAAATACCTGTTAGCAACAGGGGCGCCGACTTATAAAAAATATTGGGGGGGCCCATACCGGGGTCCTGCCCCGGGAAGTTTTCTAAGTTCCAATGTCAGCGGCGCCCAGCAGAGCAGCCCTCTCGGCCACGGCAGCCTGGCTCTCCCAGCCCCCGGGGGCCGCCCTCCTCCCTCGTGCACCCGCAGCGTTCCCGCCCGGGGAGGCGGCGCCCCCAAGGACTCAGGTTCGGTTGTACCTGAGAAGCCGAGCACCTTGGCTCCCAAACAAATCGGCTTCTGAACAATTGAAACCCGGAAGTGAGTGTTCTGGTTTTCAAATGATTTTTGGAGGGCGAACATCCGGTGCGGCTTCCGATTGGCTGCAGGGGGCTCCTCTGGCAGAAGCCGCACTCTGGTTTTCAAATGGTTCCAGGAGTCCAATGGACTCCCGGAACGCATTCTGTTCGAGAACCAAGGTACAGTGGACGCTCGGGTTGCGAACGTGATCCATGTGGGAGGCACGTTCGCAACCCGCAGTGTTCGCAACTCACATTGCTGCGTCTGCGCACACACAGGTTGTGATTTAGCGCTTCTGCTCATGCACAAGTGCCGAAACCTGGAAGTAACCCATTCCGGTACTTCTGGGTTTCAGTGCATCCATAACCTGAAAATGCTTAAGCTGAAGCATCTGTAACCCGAGGTATGACTGTATGTACCAGTCCTAAGGAACTGGCCAAGTAAGGCAATCAGCATCTGCAGGTCCCTTGACAGACAGGAGAGAAGCCACACTCTTGGATTTCTGTTGGTAGATGCCTCTTCCTGAGATGCTTGTATTATGCTAATCATAGAATCATAGAGACAGAAGGGACCCCAAGGTCATCTAGTCCAGCCCCCTGCAATGCAGGAATCTTAGCTCAAGCATCCCTGACAGATGGCCACCTAGCCTCTTCCAGGGAGCAGAGACCGTCTGAACAGCTCTTATTGTCAGAAAGCTCTTCCTGATGTTGAGCCGGAAAAGTCTTTCAAAGCTGCTGCACACCTTTGTTTGGGGTCCTCCCCTCCTTGCAAATGTCAGTGGGAAGGAGGGCTCTGTTTCAACAGAAAAATAAAGATTCCCCCTTTCTTCCAGCTTCCACTCATTCGTCTCCGACTGATAATGGACTTGGGAGGCTTTGAGCCCCTTGGGGAGCTGAGCTGTAAAGGACAACCTCCAATTTTCATGCATCAGAAGGAGCCCAGGAGCCCCATCGGGGCTTACCCTGTGCAGGCTGGTTCCCCCCCACACACAAACACACACACTGGGTTGCAATTTTGTGGGTCAGCTTTGGCTGGGAGAGGCAGCCCCCGTTAAGTCTCTGCCAGCCCAATAGCACAGCCCCCCCCGCCAAGTCCATGGCAGGAGACAGGCAGCAGCACCCAGACCCCAGAGGCTGCCCTTGGGACTGGCGTTCCCACACTGCCGCCTCCGCAACAAAGGCCAGCGGCCAAGTTCCCCCCCCCCCCAGCCGCTTCCTTGGTCCCACAGGAAAGCCAGGCAGGGGCTGCACATCCTGCCCTCCGCCTCTTCCTGCTGCCCCCAACAGACAACCAGGCCTGCAAGCTTCCTCTTCTGACATCGCCCAGGCCCCCACACAGCCCCCCACCAGCAAAACGCCCAGGAGTTTGAAGGGACCCGAGGGCCACGCAGCCAAGGGGTCTAACTCTGCAGGGAAAAGCTTCCTGTCTTTCCTCTGCCCCCTCCCCACCGGAAAGGGATGGTGGCTGCAGGCTCTGCCCCCCCCTTAACATCTGCAAAATGATTAAGGCTGATACATTGTGTTACAGGATTTTATCTAGGTAACTTCCCTGAGCTGTCAAGTTGAAAGGGTACATTCAGGCATAATATTTGCAACATTTAACAACTTTAAAGATGTCCCCCCCCCTGTAATTTCCATAACAGTTGGAAGGACAAAAATATAACCTCCTATGACAACTCCTGCAACCCATGAGCTTTCAGACAAAGATCATGCATGGACAAATGTAAAGATCTTTGGAAAGTATTGATCGAAACCACAGTAACAAACAAATCAATGTATCTTCAAGGGAAAGAATAAGTAGATCCATTTGCATATATAGCTCTGTAGGCTTAATGAGATTCCCACAAAACATTAGGAAGGCCTTTCTGGTGGTGAGAGCAGTCAGACAGGGGAAGGGGCTTTTAGGGAGAGGTCGGGGGGGGCATCTGCCAGGGATGCTTTAGCTGTGAGTCCTGAATTGCTGGGGGTTGGACTGGATGACCTTTGGGTCCCTTCCACCTCTATGATTCCATGACCTTTAAGGGAAGTCACCTCCATCTTCATCTCAGAGCAGATGCCCACAAGCCCTGGGCGGGAAGAGCCCGAGAGAGAGAGCCGGAGAGAGACAGAGAGAGAGAGAGAGAGCCCGAGAGAGAGAGAGAGAGAGAGCCCGAGAGAGAGAGAGAGAGAGAGAGAGAGAGAGCCTGAGAGAGAAAGAGAGAGAGCCCGAGAGAGAGAGAGAGAGAGAGAGCCCGAGAGAGAGAGAGAGCCCGAGAGAGAGAGAGAGAGAGAGCCCGAGAGAGAGAGAGAGAGAGAGACCGAGAGAGAGAGCCCGAGAGAGAGAGAGCCCGAGAGAGAGAGAGCGAGAGAGAGAGAGAGAGCCCGAGAGAGAGAGAGAGAGAGCCCGAGAGAGAGAGAGAGCCCGAGAGAGAGAGAGAGAGAGAGCGCGCAGCCAAGCCCCCTTCACCGCCTGCCCCCCCCCGCCAGCCCCCTCTCCCCTCCTCCCTAGGCGGCAGCTCCGCCATGACCACAAACGGCGGCGGCAGCAGCAGCAGCCGCGCGCGGCCCGGGCTCCCCTCGCCGGCCGCGGGAGCCAAGGCGCGCGATAATTTGCTTAAATTATGTCAGCGGCGCCCGGCAGAGCAACCCTCTCGGCCACGGCAGCCCGGCTCTCCCAGCCCCCAGGGGCCACCCTCCTCCCTCGCGCAACCGCAGCGTTCCCGCCCGGGGAGGCGGCGCCCCCAGGAGAAGCGGCAGCAGCAGCCGCGCGCGGCCCGGGCTCCCCTCGCCGGCCGCGGGAGCCAAGGCGCGCGACGAGGGAGCCAAGGCGCGCGATAATTTTTTTAATTATTGGGGGGGCAGAGCCCCCCCAATAAAATTTTTGAGGGGGCTCGGGCCCCCTCAGGCCCCATGGGGTCGGCGCCTATGGTTAGCAACTAGTTTCCTACCTTTAAAAAGACAAAGGGAAATGAATGATATGACTTGGCAAAAGCAGATTGTCAGTTGTATGGTACAGGCATTCCTGTCAATGATTTGCCAGGGCTATCCACCTGTTCCTCACCACCACATTTGGATAACGCAAGGCAGAGTGGTGGTGGTGGGAGGAGAAATGGCTTGTTCTGCTCTAGAAGAAGAAGAAATGCACAAGGAAAGAAGTGGCTTAGAAAAAGGGTTCTGCCTTAAAATCCTGTGGAGAGGAAAAGGTTCCTTTGAGATTCTATGGTATGAAATTTATGAGATAGGGTTGTGGGAGAAGCTTGATGGACCATTGATCTCTTTGGAAAGATTGGCCCAAAATAAAGATTGAGTTCTGTGAAACAATTTTTTAAAAATAAATAAATGTAGAAACGACTTTAGTTTTTTATATTGGGAAAATTCTTTCTTTTTAATGAAAGATTTTATTTGATTTTGGCAGAAGTTTATTTAGGATATCTTTTTCTGTAGACAAAATTTATATAGTGTTCTGTGAAATTTTCCTTTTAAAATGACCTGCATATGATTTTTTTAAAAAGAACATCTGGCATACAGGGGGACTATTCAAAAATGTAGCATTTTTACTTGTTCTCTGAGACTGTTACATTTATACCAGCACCCAGAGTCTGCATCCTTCAGCAGTAGCTGGAGAAGGCATAAAAGGTAAAGGTAAAGGTACCCCTGCCCGTACGGGCCAGTCGTGTCCGACTCTAGGGTTGTGCGCCCATCTCACTTAAGAGGCTGGGGGCCAGCGCTGTCCGAAGACACTTCCGGGTCACGTGGCCAGCGTGACAATGCTGCTCTGGCGAGCCAGCACCAGCGCAGCACACGGAAACGCCGTTTACCTTCCCGCTAGAAAGCGGTACCTATTTATCTACTTGCACTTAGGGGTGCTTTCGAACTGCTAGGTGGGCAGGAGCTGGGACCGAAGGACGGGAGCTCACCCCGCCACGGGGATTTGAACCGCCGACCATACGATCGGCAAGTCCTAGGCACTGAGGTTTTACCCACAGCACCACCCGCGTCCCGGAGAAGGCATAGAGACCTTAAAAAGAGGAAAATGCATAACTTGTAGACCAGGCTTTCTCAACCTTGGCCCTCTAGATGTTTTGAGACTACAATTCCCATCATCCCTGACCAGTGGTCCTGCTAGCTAGGGATCATGGGAGTTGTAGGCCCAAAACATCTGGAGGGCCGAGGTTGAGGAAGCCTCCTGTAGACAGCAATATTGTGCATTAACAAAGAGAAGGAAATTCCAGGGATGATTATTAAAGCACTTGGAAATGCGCATTCTGCATTTAGGCTGTGATTTTAACCTAAGTGCATGAGCTGTACCACCAAACTACAGTCCTTTTGATTTCTCCAGGGAATCATGTGGAATTTAAGTGAGCCACCTCCTGTATGGATGACTACTTTGGGGCTCACAGAAGTCTTTTTTCTGAATTTATTTCTCATGGTGAACTGGCGTGCCCTAGTGTACAGTTTGGGAATTACAGCTCTTGAGTTTTGTGAGTCCTGCGTTCTGCATTTCCCCCCTGCTTTCCATGGCAGTTGTAGGGATGGTTGTCATTGGCTTCATTCTTGCAAGCAACCGTAAGCCAGGATCAGAAATAAGCCATTGCTTTCCATGAGCAGCCAGGGTACTCTTGCACAGATGCTCCTTGCCTGCCTCTGGAAGAAACAAGCAGTGAGGCTTGGTTTAGCATAGCCTGTGAGCTAATGCTCAGAGTCTGTTTCTCACCAAACAAATCACAATAAGTCAGCCAAGGAGAGAAACATCCCACGAGTAGTGGGTCATATGTAGTGTTCAGCGAAACCTCATAGTCTGTCTCTTCCAGATGCAGACAGGCTGGCTGGAGTGGAGTAAAAGTTCTTTCAGCATTGAGTACTGGCATACTGCACAGGAAATTGTGGTTTATTTCTGGCTAGGGCTTACTGTTAAGTACAAAGCAGGCCAACAGATGCCATTTACAGGTGTCACCCCATTTAAGCATGATTGAGTCACCCATGACTGCATATATGTGTGGCACCTGGAAATGAATAATTCAAACCCAGAAATCACAGGAGAGAGATGGAGAATCATCATGGCTCGCAAGGAGACATTCCCTGGAGCCCGAAGACTATGTCAGTGAGGATAGAGGAAGCCCAGAATAAACCAGAGGTGCAGCTGCACTTTGTGTATGCTTCTCAGCCTAATAGCTGATGTGGGGGGGGTAGTGCTTTGCTGCACATCCCCCATCCTCCTGACAGCCCTAAAGCTTCAATTCTAGTTGTGGATATTTTTGGATACAGTATTTTTGATATGGATTGAAGAGAGAGCGACTTGGACTACTGCAATGTGCTCTATGTGGGGCTACCTTTGAAGGTGACATGGAAACTACAAGTAATCCAGAATGCGGCAGCTAGACTGGTGACTGGGAGTGGCCGCCAAGACCATATACAGTAACACCAGTCCTGAAAGACCTACATTGGCTCCCAGTACATTTCCGAGCACAATTCAAACTGTTGGTGGTGACTTTTAAAGCCCTAAACGGCCTCGGCTCAGTATATCTGAAGGAGCGACTCCACCCCATATCATTCAGCCCAGACACTGAGATCCAGCTCCAAGGGCCTTTTGGCAGTTCCCTCGCTGTGAGAAGTGAAGTTACAGGGAACCAGGCAGAGGCCCTTCTTGGTAGTGGCGCCCGCCCTGTGGAACACCTTCCCATCAGATGTCAAGGAAAGAAACAATTATCTGACTTTTAGAAGATACCTGAAGACAGCCCTGTTTAGGGAAGTTTTTAGTGTTTGATGTTTTATCGTGTTTTTAATATTCTGTTGGGAGCCACCCAGAGTGGCTGGGGAAACCCAGCCAGATGGGTAGGGTTTTTATTTTATTTTATTTATTTATTTATTTAAAGGGTCCTTAGAGGGTATTCCTCACTTTACGTGCTTTCACTTGTGCCAGGAACGTAACCCCTGCCGTAAGTGAAGAGTCACCTGTATTCTTACCAGCCACCTGTATTCTTGTCACCTTCCTGGCATTTGCTCTCTTAAAATACTGAATTCTTCTTTTATCATTATTCTGTCACAGGGATAAGAAACGCTGTCCAGATCGACATCGAGTTAGTTTACAAATAGATGTGCTACAAAAGGTAACAAATGAAACTTTGCCTGCAACTGGAAATGTAACGGTAAGTTAGTAGTACAGCTTCATTCTTGCATGTTAAACGTGGTGTATCTATCTTCTGGTGGAAGAGAGTTCAGGCCCCAGAGCATGAAAGAATCAGAGCTCCAGATAATTTCTTTTGATCCGCTGATCACAGATCTTCTGCCTTCCCAAACTTCATTTTACATAATAAAATGAATTTTCCTCCTCCACTGCAAATCTTTCACAGATGACACACACCCCCCCCCTTATAGCTGTTTATGCTGGCAAAAGTAAACTGAGCTTTCTTTCTGGAAACTGGACTGTGTTTCATAATAGGCATACTGGGGAACTGGAGCAGCAGTCTTTTTAATTACTGTAGGAAGATACCTTAGATTTCCCCCCAAATTTTTGGAGTACCTATGGTTGCAAGCTGCTATGTATACATGGCCTTGTCATCACTGTTGTAGTATATTACTCAAATTAGATATGAATGTGGAAGATCTGTGTTGTTAACAATCTATCTGCTGCAGTCAGACAGAAAGTGGGGCAGAGCAGCACTCAGTCTGATTTTAAGCTCCAGAGCAGAGTGCAACAGTCAGGGGGCTGAGACTCTCACAGCCCTCTTTCAAGGTACTGTTCCCACTTGGGGAACTAATGCTGGAAGAGAGCCTGGCTGAGAGGTTTGTTGATTGATGATACAGAGAAGGAAGCCTTGGGGGGATGCAGTCTCTCTCACTTCCTCCTTTTCTCCTTAAAATGGACCACTTTCCTTACTTGCACATTCTGTATAATTCCAGTAGGTTTGGATAAAACATACAGAGGTCCTTCACTTGCATGTAGTTTAGGTCTCAGAGACTCGGCTCATGTGGGAAAGAGAGGGGAGGGAAACAATCAAAGAAGAAGAGATTTGTTAAAAGTGCCAGAAATGAGGCCAGAACATGAGAAAAGTGCACCCTCTACACATGCAAGGATGTGGCGAAACCTTTTGGAATGTTTATTACAAGATATGTTTTACATGTTGGTATGAGTTTTCTTGTTTGTTATTGCAATCTGAAAAAGATGAGTGCTGGAAGCAGGTGAATTTAAAACAAACATTTAAATCCAGTGACTTGGGAATACGCCTATTTGCTAAAGTTGCAGCACTCCTTTTCACATGTATTTTCCCTCTTTCAGATCCTCCCTCTTTTTATTGTGGATGCCACAAACTACTTTGGCCGCATTGTCAGTAAACAGAAAGATCCATATGCAGCTCTTGCAGATGAAGTGAATGCATTTTATAAAAAAGCTAAGAATCTTGTCCCTGCTGACCCATTGGAGAAGCTAGCAGTGTATGGATTACGTGAAGAAAACACTTTCCACAGGTATAATGTTTCACTTCTTCTGCAAACAAATTTTGGTATAATCTAGCCTAGCGGTTTTCTATGCCAGTAAAAGCTATTCAGTAAAAGCTATTCAGACCTTGGCACAGAGATGTACAACAATTCTAACAATAGAATCTGTACAACATAATTTGTAAATGTTCAATATTTCTGGATGGATTGCTTTATACAGGCTTGCTTGGATCCCCCACTCCTTTCTTTATGGGTGCCCATGGGATCATCTGGGAAGCACTTAGCCTCAATATAACTTCCATAAAAAATGTAAACACAAATAAACCTTTAAAGATAGATTTGTGCTGGAATGTCTGGTACAGGGAGAAGAACTGTGTGATCTGAATTCACTGATGTCATAGGCACTGTACAGTGGGTGCCTGTGAAGTCATGAAGTCTCATTAGCAGAATTCACCAACAATGTTGCTGCTACAAGAAAGGGAGGATTGCATTTTAACAACAGAACTGAACTGCAGTTTTAGTCCTAGATTTCTTGAAATCTGGAAGGAAGTTTACGAGTATAGCATCATCTCTTAAAGATAAACCTTCTATACAAACACATAAGAATTCTGTTGGTTTAACTTTACCTTATATGTTGGAAATTTTTTAATTTCCCTTTCTTCCATTCTGTTACAGGGTCCAGGTGCTTGAAGTACCACCCAAGGGAGAAAACTCTGTATTTTATAGTGTTCATATCAAGTATATAGATGAAGGCAGATTTGGTCAAGTTCAAAATTATAAATTGCTTTACTTACCTGAACAATTCCAAGCTTTGCCCCCTCAAGCAGTGGAATTTATTGTTTGTCGAGTTAAACCCATTGATAATGAAGTGGAGTGGAATCCAAAAGTAAGTTTACTCCTTTTTCTTACCTTCATTTGTGTTACGGTACACAGAGAAGTCGGTACCTAAACTTGTTTCAGTGATGGCCAGCTATTTTTTTTGTTTGATTTTTTTGAAACAATTTTTTGCAGGTCACTAGCCTGTATTAAGCAAAACATTTGATATCTGAGGATTTTTCTTTTTTGTTAGGTTACGAGATACATTAATCAGATGATCAGAGGGAAACCTCATGAAGCAAAAATAGTACTTGCTTTGGGAAACACAATTTGGGTGGATCCAGTGGTATGTAGCAAAACATTAAATACTTTATCTAACTGCCTAATAAATTCCGAAGTGAACTTCTTTTAAGTGGTACTGAGGAATCTTTCTTTCTTTCTTTCTTTCTTTCTTTCTTTCTTTCTTTCTTTCTTTCTTTCCTTCCTTCCTTCCTTCCTTCCTTCCTTCCTTCTTTTGAATATGGGATACTTGGAATGTGGTACGAGATACTTGGTTTTCTCAGGTTTGCCACATTATACCACTTTGATCAGCACTTAAATCAGATGCCCCCAGCTTGGTGGTTGTGTTATCAGGTGGTTTTGCTGGGATATTATAGATTTAAGGACCATGAAAAGAATTATTCACTGCAGTTTGGTTTAGAAGCCTCCAGTACTGCCATCTTAGTATTTTAACAATGGATAAACAGATTTTACAAATGGTTTGGAAAATCTTCCCAAACATTTGAGCTGCTAGTTTTTAGAGGAGGCATTATTGACACAGCACGCTTTTCACAGTGATTTTAAGAAACACTTAGCCACATCTGTATTAGTAATGAAAACATTAATAATTTCTCTGGTGGAAGATTTCTGTGTCCAAAAGCACAGAAATTTTGGCAGGAAATTTTTGCAATCCTTACAGATCATCACAGAGATATTGAAATAGAACTGGGATTAGCTTTGCTCTCTTTATTTAAAGGGTGCAGAAAGGATCTCCCTTGTAAGAATCTGATAAACCACCTCCTTGTGGCAGCACACATGTATCTGGGATTAGAAAGATGCAGACAGATGTACCATTCACAAGTGGTGTGATAGAGTATGGTACTTGGTTTGATTGTGATGATCAGTAAGGACTGCAAAAACTTCCTGCTTTTGGACACAGAAATCTCCCACCAGAGACAGACCAATGTACCAATCTAAGCCATATCTAAGGGCTCAACTCCAGTTGATAGTTGCAGCAGAAGGAAGGAAGATAAGGAGGTCAGTTTCATAGTCATAACTAGGAAGTTTGAGGGATGAAGGAGCTGCAAACTAGTGGTGTGAAAGCAAATACTACCTATTCATAATTAAATTTCAGGTTCGTGTCACCAGACTTCTAGATCTGAAAACGTCTATTAATGAATACAATATTCGTTCTAAGATCCTGTCTACTGGAATGGGAACTGACAACCCAGAACACATAAGTGAACTCCAGAAGTTATACAGAGATGCTGAAACTGTTCAAGAGGAAAAGGAATTACCTGCATTGTAAGGGAGTGACTTCAATTTCTTCTTTTTAAATAATGAAGCTTTAAATTTCAAGCTAAAGAAGTGTTGTGTGTACTAAAATTAGAAGGTAACAGTTCAATGACATATTGAGATCATAATAGAGGCTAAGGGATTGCATTAGCTGGCATTCTGTTCTCCTTAGTTTTATAGCACTTACATTTTAATAACACCTGTTTAGGTAGTTTTCAGGGGTGTTGCAGTATCATTCTCAAACAGGGGTTGATCTGTTTGAGCATTAATTACTTGGTTTGATATTGGTTTTACTGTATTTTACAGTTTATGATGTGAGTCACCTTAGGAGGGGTATATAGTCCTTGAAATGCAATGTATAAATAAGTTAGTAGGGCTTTTGCTCTTGGATACATATGGACAAACTACTCTCGCTATTCTGGTAACCTCTGTTGTTGAGCTTTCACCACATTTTCTCTGAGAGCTCTCCTTGTTTAATAGATTCAGTTCCAAAACTTGTCTTGGTGTGGAACGTCTTGAGTGTCCGGGGTGGGTGTAGCTGGTTTCTAGTGTGCTGGAGTCTCAAATTAGTTTCTAAGGCTGAGATTGACTAGAGAGAGAAGGAAACTTCCCTCCTAGGTGAGTCCTTTCCCAAGTGTCCCTGTGGTGATTCCTTTTTAAACCAGAAGTTTGGGGCAGGCTGCATTTGAGCAGGGAAAGGCTGTTTAACCCTTTCTTCTTGTGTCATTTTCTAACTCAGAATCAGTGTGCCCAAGCTTCTGTTGCACCCAAAGGTAAAAATCTTTGCACCAGAGGATTAAAAACAATGCGGGGAGTATAATTTTTGAGCAGGAAAATGACACAAGTAGAAAGTATTTCATCATCCTTCCTCATCACAGCCTTTTCCCATGCAGACATTCTGCCCCTAGCTGGAGGTTTAAAAAAGCAGGAAGAACTGCAGAACACGTTGAAGCCTAAATGTGCCTTATATTGGCTGGAGACCAACATCACTCGGTGTCTGGACTGCTGCCCATCCAATGAGTAAAATGTTCTTTTAAGCAAAGTGCACTGTAACATCTCACACACCCCTTTTAGGATACATCCACTGAAGTGTGGGGTTAGTGAGCAGGCCACATCTCCTTCACAAAGCATCTTGGACCAGGCTACTCTCAATTCACAGGCCTCCAAAGAACAAGCCGTATCCAATGTGCAGAATGATGAGCAAGAGGGTGATGTTATTACAAATCAGAGTTTTTCTCAAGAAACTTTACAAAATCATCATGGTAAGTATGCTGCCTTGAAAGGACCTTTATGATTGATTGATTGATTGATTGATTGCACACACGTGTGTGTTATCTCCAAATAACGGAAGGTGGCATACACACTGCCTTCCATGTCCAATTTATCCTCACAACAACTCTGTGAAGTAGCTTAGGCTGAGAGTTAGTGACTGGTCCAAAGTCACCCAGGTGGCTTCGTGGCTGAGTGGGGATTACATAAAAAGAGTTGGCTTCAGACCCTAAAATTAATATGCAATAGTTTAAAGGGCACAAGGTTATAGGATGATATTAAAACAAATATGGAACAACAAATATAAACAGCTGTTAATGCAACAAACAACAACAACAGTAAAGAAGATCGCACATGGGTGAAGGGAAGTAACAGGTTTAGGGGGAGGGAAGTGAGGGCATTAATTGAAAAATTGTTAGATATATATGGGACCTAAGAGATTAAGGATAAGGAACCGAAAGAAGGAGACAAATATTAAGGAATAGTAAAATAAGGGAATCTGAGAAGAATCAGTACAAACGAAAATATGAGACTCAAGGTTTTGTTATATACTGTTTTGTCTTGGATTTGAAGTCTTCTGTTGTAAAGATTGTACATAAAATGAATAAAGAAGTGTTACCCTGAACTCTAGCTTGCCAGGCTCAACACCCATCCCCCTGGATAGCAAAAGGCGTCAACCAAAATTATCATTCCTGGGGGCAAAGCATCTGCTTCAGGCAATGGAGTTTTAGACTCTTTGGAAGCCCACTGTGAACTGCTCATAAAGCACTTTGAGGGTAAAACTGCTCACCCATGTAGCAGTCTTGATGCCACATCCATATTTACTGCAGTCTCCAGTGAGGTATCCACTACAGCAGCTGCTACAACTTACTAGGATTTGTTTCAGTGGATGTGGATGAGGTCCTTGTGATGATGTAGCCAGCAACATGCCTTCCCGTCCTCCTTACCTTATTAAAGTTTGCCAATGAGCTATGACCAAGTGGATCCAGGGTGCAGCCAATGCATCCTTGTGGGAGGGAGTGAAAGGGGCAGTGATCTGATGGGCTGCAAATTCCCCCCTTTTTCAGAAAAGTTGCAGCGCAACAATTGCAAGTAGTCTTGGATAAAAGAAATAGTCTCAAACTCATTTCAGTCTGGATTCAGGCCTGGTTATGGGATTGATTCAGCCTTGGTCACCCTAATGGATGACCTTTATCAGGAGAAAGATGGGAAATGTGGCCCTGTTACTCTTTCTTGATCACTCAGTGACTTTTGAAACCATTGACCATGGAATCCTCCTGAACTGAGTGCTAGGAACCTTCAGGGTGGATGTAGGAATCAGACTTTTAGTGTTGTGGCTCCTCCCCATTGAATATTAGACAGGTTGTCTTTTTGGCACCTACTGAAGATCTTCCTCTTTCAACAAACCATTTAAGTTAATCTTTTCCAGGCTGTATCTGTATTAGAATTCTTTTAAGGAGTTTTAAAGATTTTTTGTTTGTTCTATTACTTATTGTTTGTGCTCAGGATAGGCAGATATAAATTTAATAAATGGAATTCAACGTCATACTAATATGATGGTTCTGTCAGCGCACTCATTTATGCTTGCTAGGTGGACCCCCCCCCCCCGTGTGCTCTGGGGTGGGGGAGAGTACTACTGATCCTCCAAAGCCAATTTGGGGGTGGGCTAGTGGAACTCCCTGTGCTGGCTTCCACTAGCACAAGTGTTAGCTGAATCTGGGTCCGTTATAACAATAATAATGAATTGCACTTACCAGTTGCTTTTTTATATACAAAAAGTAACCCAATGCAGCTTGCCAAATGTGAAATCTTCCATTTGCCCATATAGCTTTATTGAAGTCCTGTATTTACAGTGTGTGCTGTGTAAAATTAATTTGTTCTGTCTTTCATTTAGACGAAATGACTGCAGCTAAGAAAGCAGATGAATGTCTACAGCCATCTCATGAATGGTATCAATTTTAATTGTTTTGCTTGGAGCTTATGTCGTTCCTAGTCCCAATGCCTTGAGTGGGTAGCAAGGTTTTTCATTTTCTCTCCTTCCCTATCCCAGACTGCCAAAGGCAGTTTCATGCCATTTTTCGAAAAAGTACAGGCATGGACTTTGGCAAGCCTTAAAAGAAAGGGAACTCCAAAGTATGGTGGGGACAGTCTCTGTGAGTCCTTGTGGGTCCTTGAAGTACATAGTGTATTTCAATAAAACATTACCAAGGTTAGGCTGCTCTGGGCTTTCTTGGCTATTGCTGAAGATGGGCCATGATGTTGGCACCATCTAAAGCTGCAGAGCTGCTGAGAGCACCCCTATATCAAGCATGTATAGTTCAGTCTTGAAAATATGAAGGCCTGAGTGCTGATAGCTGGTTCTCTGGAGGCATGCAGAAGGACTCTCGAAAGCAGTGGGTTAATGGCCCCCCTCCGAGAGATAGGAACAGGTGAGTTGAAACTTGAGTCCTGGGCAGCTCCAAAGTGCTGTCCCTCTAGCTCTTTTCCTGACCTTGTCTAGAAAGGGTTCTAAACTCCCATTGTTCTAGGCGCATTTTGCAACACAGAATTTCATTAGCGCAAGTAGTTTCTGAGCTCTGGGCACAGTACTGCGCCTAAGATTTCAGATTAACACTGCAGAGTGGCAGGAAAGGAGGACCTTTTTCTGCCTCCCCACTTCCAGATACACTCTGAAGACTGAAGATGAGACCCTCTTAAGAATATTAGGGGGTGGGCAGGGGAAGATTAGACCATGTGAAAAATGAACATAATGTTTTAGCTGCAGTTCATTCATTTTCAGTTTTGTATTGTTATAAAATAATGCACCTAGACATTCCATTGTTGCACCCATAACGTAGCTTTAAGGTGCCATTTAGCTCCTAGCTTTCATATCTGTTTCTAACACTGTCTAGAAAGGGAAACTTCTTCTTTCACTTAGCTCTCTCATCTGTTTCATTGCTTAATTTCTCTATTCTTCAACTTGTTCTGAGGGTCTTTTTCCCTCCCTTCTGCAGCTCTCATCTTCTTGTCTGTTTAATATATCAAAAGTCTTTTTTGTTATTCTGAAGGTTGTTTTTTTGTTTTTGTTTTTGGTCAGTTTGAATCTACTTTCTCCCTTAGATCTCCTAGGCACTGTTAGGGATATTAATGGAAGCAAGGAAGCCCAAATCAGGGCACCAGACCATCAGTGGCCTGAGACAACTGTCAGGGCCTCCTCTCCCCACCTTCCCTAGGGCTGTCTGGGAGCTCTGGGAGAAGGCAGAAGCAAGGAAGCCCGTTTCAGGGAGCAAGTGCTGTCAGCTGGTCCTGGCAGGGAGCCCTCAGTGCCCTAAGAGAACTGATGGAACAGCCCCACTTTCTCTGGGAGTCTTTAAGACCTTTGTATCCTGAGGTAGGGCAAGGAAACCCACGCCAGGGAGCAAGTACCATCAGCAGCTGAGAAGCCCATCAGTCTGCCAGAGAGGATTCCCCTGCAACTATAGTTTATACCATTTCTTTGTTTTAGTATTTTTAAGTGGTAAACTGCCTTGGGTCTTGGCAGGAAACAATTGCAATAAAAACATGGAACTGTTTTCTGGAGTCCTCCTGCACGCTCTAGGAAAGAGCACCCACTGTGTGTGAACCAATTGCCCAGCCTGTATATATGAGAAAAGTTTGGGATCTGTATGGTCTGTTACAGTTTTTTGTTTTGCGGGACAAGGGTATGTATGAAAAGCCAGCTTCAGCCATATTTCCGTTGCAGAGCATTGCCGTGATGGGAGACTCTTAATGGAGCTCCATCACCCCACCCCCGCCAATATACTTCTTCAAGCTCTTCTGTCTGATTTGCTCTTTTTCCTCTTGTAATGTTGATATTCTTTTCCACATGGGGGTTGAGTCCAACCACAGCAGTTAACCAGATGCTCCCGAGAAGCTCACAAGAAGGGCCCAATGGAGAAAGCCATCCTCAGCTTTCCCAAGCATCTGCTAATCGGAGGTAGGCTGCTTCTGAAGAGGATGTGCCTTTATTGGCTGTCACTTTTGGCATTATCAAACCTTTTTACTATATGTTGTAGAATCGAGCAGTAGCATTACATGGCTTGTTAACTGAATTACTCATAGAAAGGTTGTTTTCTGCTGCTCCAGAGAAGCAGACACGGAGCAATGGATCCAAACTACAAGAAAGAAGATTCCACCTAAACATTAGGAAGAACTTCCTGACAGTAAGAGCTGTTCGACAGTGGAATTTGCTGCCAAGGAGTGTGGTGGAGTCTCCGTCTTTGGAGGTCTTTAAGCAGAGGCTTGACAACCATATGTCAGGAGTGCTCTGATGGTGTTTCCTGCTTGGCAGGGGGTTGGACTCGATGGCCCTTGTGGTCTCTTCCAACTCTATGATTCTATATTGGAAATTCCTATGTAGGAATTTGTATTTAAAAATCAAATCCATTTTAACCACTGTTTTTTTCCCTTTTTTTAGCTTCTATCCATCAATAAAATGGTTTGAAAAGCAGGATGTTGTTGTTCTGAAGATAAAATTACAAAATATTACCAGCTACGACTGCAAGTTTTTCTCCCAGAGGATCATTTTCAGGTAGATAGGAAATATTTCACCAAAAAGGATTAAAAAAATGATTTGATTCTGTTTTCAAACTAATATTTTAAAATACTGTCAGTGCTTCTGTAGAAGACAGATTTTATTTGGCTGATATGGAGCTGCAGAAAAATATCATCAAAGAAAAATCAGCTTGTGACCTTAAGAATGGCGAACCTGTCATTACCCTTGCAAAAGAGAAGGCTGAACCTTGGTGCAACTTGCTGAAGCACAAAGTAGGTTGAACATTCAAATGTGGCTTATGGATCTTAAAATATTGGCATGGTAGACTGAAGTATTCTGAAATGTTCCTTCCAACAGAATCCCCACGTCTCCTTTGATTTTGATTACTTGGATTATTCTGAAGAAAGAAGTCCCTTTTCTGCTGGTAAGCCACTAATTGCATTTTATGTATACGTGTCTCTCCGGTCATAGAGGTTATCCAAGAATGGGCCACTCCTTTCACTTGTTTCAGAGATAGGACTTCAAATTACTTCTTGCTTGGTCCCCTTCAGTGAGAGAGGGCGCACACACACACACACACACACACACACCACTGCTTCAAAGCAGCAGGATTTTCACAGAACTTGGATTCTTTCTTTGTCATGATAGCAAGTAGTTTAAACATTTCTGTCCCTGATACTGATGAGGGAAATGCCTGCTACAGATCTGTTGCATACTCTGTGGAGGGGAGAATCAGAGCTGGCTGCAAGGAGGAGCCTTCCTGGGCTAGCATCGTAGGCAGTCAGCATCCTCCTTTTAGCTGGAGTGATATAAACCAATGTCTGATGACTCTTGTTCTGGTGGACAGGAAATGTGGAAAGAGAGCCTGTGGTTCACAGGGATGTCTGGAGGGTGGGTGTGTCTCTGTGCACTCTCTAGGGCAGGAGCTCACTGGGGAGCTGACACTGGGTTGCACTAAATGCATAGTGAACAGCTACCATGTCTGGTTTATTGGTTTGTTTATTTGTTGGTTTTTAAGAAACAAAGTGTTTGCTCTTTTTTCAATCCTTTTCATAAGCTACTAGAATGAAAGCGTTAGAGATAATATCTCTTATACCCATTCTCAATTATTTGACTTCTGATCTGCATTTTGCGCGCGCGCACACACACACACACACACACACAAACATCACCATCTCCTGTAATGCTTTTCCTTTTTAAAAAACACCCATTGGTGTTAAAGAGTCATAGCCTCGTGGGGGAGGGAGACCATTTTTTGTCAGGATTTTCATCTGGGGAGGAAAAGGTGAACCCTCCCCCTCCCCCACACCCTACATTCACACCCTAAAACCAGCCACCAGTTGGCAGCCAGTATTGCTTGTCCTATAGCACCCAGGGCCATTAAGAACCAAGCAAGACCCTCTCTTCAAAGGGGCATGTTAAACTGTACTAGAATGCTGGAAATTAGCTTTTCTAGATCTATGTATAATGTGCTTTTTTCTTAAGCAGGCACAGGTCCCAAGAAAGTGCACCTGGTTTCTACAGAGGAGGAAGAGGAGGAGGACTCCTCGGATGACAGTGACACCGAGAGTGATTTGTCCATCTATTAATTCTGGTTTGGAAATGGGGATTAAGAACTCGGCTGTCACATGAGAACCCGCAGCTTGGGTGGCATTTCCATAATGAAAGCATTTTAGCTTTTTGAACATCAGGAAAAGTTCTAATTTTTGACCATGATTTTGAAGAGGGTTGTCACGGTGGGAGGGTGGGATGTTTGCTCTTCGACTTAACTGCCATAGACTGATCACATGTACAATTGATTTCAGTGAGTTTTAATTCAAGGTACATTTGCTCTGAGTAGAAGAGTTGTGGTGTTTTTTGCTAAGTACCTAACCATGAAACCAATGGAGGGAGGTGAAAATCCTCTCTCTCTCTCTCTCTCTCTCTCTCTCTCTGGCTATTCTTGGAGCCTGTTTCAAAAAAAAAGCACAGCTTCTGGCCTTTTTCTCACAAAACAAATTATTTAGATATTTAGACAAAAGGAGTTAAGAGTAGAAACAGTCTGCTGTACTGCTAGAGACAGGTGTTCAATCTAGCATAATATTTAGTTCTGATCCTAATTTCTTTAAGAAAATGTAGCCATCGAAACCAGTTTAATACTGGTGATGTACTAAATGTACCCTTTGTTAGCTGTACCTTAAGGTGTAAAACTATAAGATGCTGACTGATCTGTACAGAAAATATTTTTGTTTTCAGAATATGAGAACTAATTTGAAAGGTTAAAGTACTTGATTAGAAAACTATTTCTAGTTCTTTGATCATTTGATCAGTTTGTTTTGTGTGGAATTGTTTGGACCAACACAGCTGATGCTAATTTTTCCTGATCTAATATGGTAGATAATAAAAGTTAACTTATATTATAGCACTCCCTTGAACATCAGTATTCAAAATGGTTAGTTACTAGACACTTTGTTCAATTGCTCTGTTTCTGTACGTTATTATGTTGGCACAAAGAGCTGTGGGTATGTGTAGGAAGAATTAGAGATGGCCTTAGAATCAAAGGGTATATCTGGATCCAGGAGCTGTGAAGGGCAGGTAGAGCCACTTAATCAGAAGAACTAAAAATTATCATAAAGTACTGCTACAATAAATACAGCTTTCCCTACCTGTTCACATAGCAGTATAACAACAAAAAGTAAAGTGAAGGAATCCCAAATGACTGTCTGATGTCAGATGCACAGGCATAATTATATATGATAGTCCCTTTGATATACTTATTATTAAATTTATATGCTGCCCTTCATCTGAAGATCACAAGACAGTATGCTTAACAAAATAATTGCTCTGTTGACAGTATTGGATAAATAGTAGCTTTTAAGATGCTATAGTCTATATCCTCCAATGAGGAGCAGCATTCTGTCACTGAATTGACAGTCTCTCTGGAAGCTGCCGGTATTAGTTGCAATGGTTCTAACATGCCCTCTGGTGCCTGCGTCCTAATTTCTAAATCCCCCTACTTTTTCCAGTTAAATATTCCCACTCCACATTGTCAAATGTGTAACAGTACAGTGCAACAACAGTTTACTCTATAACATGAATATGGCAGTAATTGTTGAGCTTTCAGTGTTTCACATAATTGACCCAAATGACATTATAACAGTTGGACATCTCTGTATATCATATATGCAATTAGATCAGAAGTATTTGGCTTAAAGTTGGATGTTGTGATAAACCCTTCTTAAGGCCATAATCCTATGCATGTAGTAGAAAAAAGTTCCATTGAGTTCAATGGGGCATACTCCCAGGTAAGCAGATAGAGGATTGCAGCCTTATTCGGGAGCTGAACTCAAGTAGGACCTGCTTCCAGCTAAATGTGCATAGAGCTGCACTGCCAGTGTTTTTCTCAGAGTTTGGCCTTTGCAACCTCCAAGACTGATTTTCATTTATACAAACTGTGTCAAAGAAATTGCAGGGAAGGGCTGTTTAACCCCTTTGTCTCTGGCAATTTTTTGCAACAAACATGTATCTTCTGTAGGTAAAAGCAGGATGTCAGGAAAGAAATTTGAATGGGTGGGGGAAACAAGCTCCTCCTGTTTATGTTTCCCTGCCAGTCCACCTATCCAATGTGGAACCTTCCTGCTGCTTTTATTTTGAAAATTAAGAAACTAGTGGTTTCATCTGCCATGTAAAATTTTGTTTGACTTTTAGCATAGCACCAGGGGCAACACAGCCCTGCAGTTTCTCAGAACCCTCATACAGTGAGTTCTAATGGAAAGAATAATATAGTGATTGGTGATGGTTTAAGTACTAGGCATTTCATATGAATAGTTATGGGGAAAGTTATTTATGCCTGTTAGAAAAGCAATAAAGAACACTCTTAAAACCAGCCTTTATGTCTCTGGAGTTTTTAGACACTATTTATTAATTAAATAGAAAATATAATAAAAATATACCAAAGGCATTTGCAACAAGTCACAAAATAGTAATGCTGGAACTTTGACTTTTCAGAGTGCACAAGGAATCTAGAGAAGGCCAGAGGAAGGTAGGGAAAGAACGTCTAGTGTTCCATTTACCAGCAGCTCATCCCATGTTTGCAGCAGTATAAAATGCTACATCTTTGGTTTTCCTGCAAATCTTTCACAAAAGTAATTTTGAAAAGCAACAAACATGTCTGTTCCAAGATCACCACCTGCTCAGTATATGAGTCCTGACTTTGACCCCTTTGGGATTATTTCCACTGTCTCAGTAATGAGACAACAGCTGAGCACAGCATGGAAAACCTAGCTTGCACATCCCAAACCAACATATTGTGGAACCCTGACCCCAAACCAATGATAAGAGGAATGGTGGTAGCCAGATCAAAGATGTAGCTTCTTGGATCCAGCCTAACTTTGAAGCAACAACCTCTATCAGGGAAGGCTCAAGGCAGCATCCTGCTTTCTGCCGGCTTGGTAGCTCAGCTCACAAGCAGGCAGAATGCAGCAAAGGGGGCTTTAAAGGCATGAAAAAGTGCTTCTTCCTCTTGAGCAAGCAGGAGAGACCCAGCTCAAGCAAGCAAGCAAGCAAGCAAGCAAGCAGGAGGAGCAGGGCTGTTTGCAGAGCTGACAGAGAGGGAGGATTCCTGCGTCAGCTGTTAGGCGGGAGAGTTGCAGCAAAGCCCCACTGCACTTCAGGCTCCCGAGGAGGGAGTTGTACCAGATGACTGCTTCGGGCTCTGGGGAGGGTCTCCTTGCAAGCCAGGGTGTAGCGGGGTTTTGCTGAGGCTGCCGCTGAGCCTGCATGCGCCCACCATGTTCCATCACCGGAAGTCCCCAGGCATATGATTAATCCGGGGACATTACATTAAATCCGGGGACATTCCAGGGGCGAATTCTGCCCGGGGACAGATTGGTGGAGCCGGGGACGTCTGGTAACCATAGTTTGGATCACATGTCTTTCTCCCTCTCATATATTTTCCTGTTATTTCATTTGGGTTTCTGCTCTTTATAAATCTGTAAGACATTTAATATGTGAGATTTCATCTTTGCGCTTCCATGTTTGTTTGCTGGTAGATGGCACTGTAATACTGTATGTTCTGTCCTTTCAGCTTGCTGAGAAAATAATGTGGAAATTCCATACCTGAAATCAAGTCCATGGCCTACAAATCCTCAGGTCTTTCCCCCATTCAGATATTTTCTTAAGATGTTACAAATCCCTGAATTCAATGTGTTACAAAAATGAATGCATTTTACAGGGGGAAAGAACAGAACAGTGTCTTTTTCAGGACATTTACTGTCTCACAAATGTCTCCTATCCTCAGCATTGAGACCTATAGTTGTGGACATGATGTATCATACCTGCTGAACCATTTCCAGGATCTAGCCTTTTTAATGATGGAAAAATTCAATGTTATTCAGGAACGTCTTCTGGTGGAACTACTTCCAGAAGCATCTGAAGGTGCATAGTGATGGGCTCTGAAACGCAGAAGTTGTTGAGGTCAGAAGCCTTTAGAAATGGCAATTGCACTGTTAGTACCATTTCTTTTCCTAGATCATTTCCACTTTTGCACTTAACCACTTAGAAGCCTCAGTGTTGATTCCACAAGCCAAATTATGGGCTTTTCCTATAGCCAAATTAACATGGGTCTTGAGAATAGAGAATATTCCAGAAAGTGAGGGCATCTCAGACCACATTTCAAATGGTTTCCAGGACATAATGAGCTGTAACCTTTGCTAAGTGTCAGAGTCCACTCGAAAGACCAGTTGCCACAATCAAAAGGATCTATTTCCTGTGTATGTCAAACTACCATCAAGTTTCACTCTTTAAAGAAAAGATGGCTAGTAGTTAGGAAGAAGCAGGCACAGGAATGTCTAAAACTCTTTAAAATATAGGGAGGCTTAAAAATTGTCTACCCTGAAGGAAAGTGGGACATTCCAACTGGAATGTTTTTGTAACTGGAAACACTAGCACCCATGTGCCTGCAAAGGGCAAGTGGCAAGTGCGCAGAAGCATGCATTGAGTATGTAATCTCTAGCAACTCAAGTGATCTGAGGAGACCACATACCCCATTCACGGCTCTATGAGCCTCCTCTATTCCCATAATTTCCTCTTTATTGTATCTCATGCATGCCACCTGTTCCTCTTTAAGAAGCTCTTTCCCTTTGAATCAGTTAAAGAGCCACACCCAGATTATTTCATCACAAACACCTCTTCCCCTGGGATGGAAACCAACCATATACTCACTTGAGATTTTTTGAGCCCAGCTGAATTTGAAGTGGATGAAAAGTACATAAAAGACAAGTCCACTGATAATAAACAGAACGCAATACAGATATGGCAGCTCGGGTGCAGTGATGATGGGTGCCAGGACCAGCACAATGGAAACAAACAGCACAAGGATGGGGATGATAAGAGGGACCTGCAAGACAGAGTGGAGGGGGTGGGAATGTAATTGTGTGTGTTGAGATCCCAGATTGGAACGACCTAGCAAGGCCAAGTAATATTCTGGCTCAAGAGTCTAATGCACTTCATTTTAACAACTTGGCTGTTGCATCAGGAACAGCATACAAATGTTACTTGCTAGGCCAAGAGAGGATCTGGTGGTTTTGGCAAGTCTTGCCACAGTCCAGGCATTCCACATCTTAATTGGCTTCTGCATGATACCCAAGTCATCCTAGGCTGTTTGGGGCTGGAAGCAGGATTTTTTAAAATACTGATTATCATGGGCGCACATAGGGTCCATTTAAAGGACAGCTGTATTTCAATTTTCAAAAAGTACCCATCTTGCAATCACAGAAAAATGACAAATCCTATCTCATCCTACTAAACAGAACACAAGGATTGGATATCACGATATCCTGACCCTCCAGTTAAGAGCCAAATGCCTGGGCAAAGGAACATCTTTGCCAAAGTGCCTAAAAGTTGATAACGATGGTGCTAGGTGCATCTCTCTCTAAAAAGAGCATTCCATGATTGGGGAACCACCACTGAAAAGGCCTGTTCTCATGTTGCTGTTTATTGAAGGGGACACACAAAGAAGGCCCTCAGATACCAAAGAAGGTATTAAGTATTGAAGTCATGGGCAATGTAAGACTTTATACGTCAAGAGCAGCACTTTGAATTGGGCCAGGGAGCTAACACATCCTATGCACTTGAACCAGGATCAGTGTTCTAGGATCAGACCGCCTACTCCCAGTCAATTCTGGCCCCTGAATTCTGCACTAAGTGCAGTTTCTGAATGCTCTTCAAAACGGCACTACATAGAGTGCGTTGCAATAATCTAACCTAGAGGCAGCACACATGTTAACCTAATTTCTCCCCCAGCTCTAGCAGTAACAAAAGGTGCAACACAAGAGGAACTGCCAAACCATCCTGAACACTGATGAGAATATCTTCTGGTGGGCTACTTACACGGATAGGCCTTTCAAGATCTTTTCTTGTAAAGCGCATGACAATGAGTCCCAGCACAGTTAGACCATAGAATATCCAAACCGTAAAGCTAAAGTAGTTGATGAGGGTGTTGATGTCTCCGGGAATTATGTAAAGCATAGCTATTGCACCCTGAAAGCAGAAGAAATGCATTATGGAGAAGGCATTTTTTTAAAAAAAACAACCCTGCAGATTTCAGTATTGGGTTTAGAGGCCTTTTAATAGAATGGCCAATACTAATTGTGGCTATGATAACGCTGTTGGAAAACTAATTCAGACATGCTTGCTTAGTCTCTCCAGTGTCTTTATATTTGCAGCCCTACTGCATGGTTGTTTCATTATAATACAAGGCCTCCATTTGCATACAGACCTTTTTGCATACAGATGGGAAAGCCGTGTGCAGTCACACGGAATTTGGCCTCATGGGAGTTGTGATGGCTGCCAACGTGGACCGGTTGGATATTAGACAAATAAATGGAGGATAAAAGCATCATTGACTATTAGTCGTGATGGCTAAGCCCTGCTTCCAATAACAGAGAACAATGCTGGACTAGACAGGCCTTTGGTCTGATCCAGCAGGGGTCTTATGATGTTCTTCTGATACTTCAGAAATCATACTTACATAAAAGATAATAGCAGGCACTGGAGTTAAGCGCTTGATGTTGATGTAAGAGAGCACCTTTAACACGTGTCCTTCACGGCCGGCTACGTAAGGAAGCCTGAGAAGGCAAATCATTCTCATTAGAGAAGCCATTGTGATGGGCTGATCCAGAGCAAAGGATGACAAGACTTCTGCGCTTTTCATATTTTTGGTGATGCATTCAGAGAGCATTGCAGAATCTGTGTTTACCATGTCATGCAGTAATATGGGCTATGGAGAGTGTATGAGGAACTAGTTGCAACGGCTGTGGTTTGAGAAAAAATAAGATCCTGATTAAGGCCAATGTTAAAAGCATAAAAATCTGGGAAATGGAATGAGATCAGCACAACTGCCACATGCACTGTGAATAACAAGATATGGGATTTTCCCCATCTGACATATATAGTACATTACTACTGTGCTTCCAATAAATGTGAGTGAATGTGCAGGTGTGATGTTAAATTTAAGCTGCTTTCCCCCTCTATACCACCTTTCCTTGCACCACCTTCCAGCAACTCAGCAAAGTTCAGTAGCTTGGTAATGTCGATGTGCCCCTGTCTCCCGAGTGCTCCCATGTTACTTTTAATGAGAGGATGATGCAGACATGGGACCCGTTCAGAATGACTGTGAAGTACTCCTTCACACAATGTATCACTAACATATTGAATTATTTATTCACATAATGCTGGGGCAGCTTCCACCATGAATTCCTTAAAAATGATTGGATTAATTCAGAGGAAAACTAATTCAGAGGCACATGTACTTCTAATTAGCAGATGATTTGGGCAGCTGTCTGCAATATGACCTGCTTTTAAGTGTCACCTGGGCATCTGCCTGTTGACAATCGTGATGCTCTTAACTCCAGGTACATATAAGTGCAGAAGTCTTGCAATCTGGATTTGGGGCTGGGGGCACATAAGTCAACTTTAACTTGCAGCGCACTGGAATTCCACATCAGAAAGTTTTGTTTTACCTGCTAGCAGTAAAGCAAGTCCCATTGGCTGACCCGATGGCAGAAAAAGCCACAAAGAGAGGGACTATCCAGGAAGCAGGATAAAGAACCCTATCTCCATATGTCTGTGATGGAAGGAATTGAAATAATGCACATCTTTAAAATCTAGAGGTCAACCAACTGGGCACATGAAGATACAGCAGTAATGAAAAAGATACTTAATAAAAAGCTTGCACAACTTTTTAGAGAAGCAAGTTTTCCCTTGTGTAACTTAAACCACTTCCGATCTTGTTCTGCCGTTTGTATCAAAACATCCTCTTGTACAGAGGTGAAAAACAACACATTTCCCCACTTGGACTCACCACAGCGACAGCTGGAGACTGCAGAAGTTCTGTTGACGTCATAACCGTGAAATAGGATATATTGATCAGAACATAACAAACTGTGACCAGAGGGATTCCAATACCAATACAGAGTGGTAGATTTCTAGATAATGTAAAGAGATATGCTATCAGTTAAAGGATGATATTTGCATTGAGAACTTAAGAACATAAGATGAGTGGACACGCAAGCAGAACCAGAGGAGGGGCTTCCTTCCCAATGCAGATAACGGCTTGGGTGGGAGGGTCAGCAGGACAAAGGAGTGGGGGAGGGGGAGGGTTAACGGGGGGAAGCACCAGCCCCCACCCCGTCCCCATGGATGCTGTTCATTAACGTTATAAAATACACGTATATTAATTGCATCTGTACATTGAACACTACATCTAGTTTGGCTCTAAACAGCTGTGTATTTAGACTTTAAAATTTCGCTCTGTTGTTGTTGGATGCAGGGCCAGCTCTACCACTAGGTAGAGTGAGGCAACTGCCTTGGGTGGCAGATGCTGGTAGCCAGAGGCAGTTCCTCCTGTGCTCCCAGGCATTTCCCTCCTGGTGAAGGATAGAGCTGGGTGTGCAACACAGCCTAAACTAGCTTTCTGCCCTTGGGTGGTTCTGAAGGGCACTGTCAGACTAAAACAGCCAGTCCAATTAGCTTCTGCAGGTGGCAACCATCTTGTCCTTTACCTCAGGCAACAAAATGACTTGGAATAGATATATTTCCTCCTAACTGTATAGATGCAGTTCACTAACATGGGCCTGGTTTCAGAAAACAGCTTACTGGATTTTGTTGTTGCTTTGTGAAACTTTTTGTACACTGCCTTAGGGGCTGTACACTGAATGGCAGGTTGGAAATCTTTGTTTCAATGGGACTGTGAGGGAGGAGGAAAAAGAAATGGTGTTCTATCAGCTGATGCAGCATTTTTCTTACCTATTAGGATTTTTAAGTTCCTCTGTGATATAATTAAGTTGATTCCTGGAAGGGATGGTGGGGGGGGGAGAGAAGTACCAAAATGTTACTTTGCATCCTGCACATTCTTGGGAGAAAACGCTTTTGAACCCAGTGGAATTTAATTTCCAAATAAAAGGGTTATGGGATGTACGTCTGGATGTTAATAGATATTTTTTCTGAAATTATAATTCCCTTTCAACCACAAACAACAGCAAAATCTTTATGAGAGATTTCACAGAGCCAAGTAGAAAATGTCCTATTTTGATTTGTGTTCTACATTTTGCACAGAAGCAAGTGCCCAATATGGCTTTCAACAGTAATAGCAAGTACCAATAAACAATCAGGAATATATGCACCTGTTCTGTGCAAAAATAATCCCTTGCACATCTAAGAATACATTAGATCAGTCTTTGGCAGCCTGATGCCCTGCATATGGCTATCCTGGACAAAAGGAAAAGCTTCTCAGTTACGTTTCTCTGTGACATGCTATTTTCTATGTGTAGGGGTCTATTTTGAGGATTGAGTATGAAGGAGCTGCCATCTGAAATACTACAGCCAAGACACAGCCTTACCACTTCAGGAAAAAAATATTCCCTTAACAAATATGAGTCCTTCCTCCTTTTATAATACCTGGCATCCATTCACCTCCCAAATGAGAAGCAACCATCAATTAAGACAACACACACACACACACACACACACACACACACACACCGACCTATTGGATTAGAGATTTTATTATGCATATGAACTGGCTCTAAGTCAGGCATCCCCAATCTCGGCCCTCCAGATGTTTTGGGACTACAACTCCCATCATCCCTGACCACTGGTCCTGTTAGCTAGGGATGATGGGAGTTGTAGTCCCAAAACATCTGGAGGGTCGAGGTTGGGGATGCCTGCCTAAGTAATAGTTCTAACCTTAATATGCTGTTAACTCTTTTTTCTAATGACCTAAGACTAGCTGATATTGTTGGTGCCTTCCAAAGCCATCTCAGCTATTGGCCATCACTGCATCATGTGGTAGCAAGTTCCACAAGTTAATGGTCTGCTTAGCTCTCCCCCACAAAAGTGGGTGGGCTCTGTCTCCTTTCATGCCTACCAGGAAGTCACCGTAAGTTTAGAATAAGTATTCCCCACACTACACTATTTCCAGGTGTGATTCCTCAGCAAGACTTCAGGTGCCAGAGTTTTCATGCAATATCTTTCTTAAAGTGCAGTAAAGACACATCAAAATAAGGCATGAACTGCTACACTCTGTTAATGAGTCATAAAGTTATATTACCATCCACTATAGGCCCAGAGTCCATTATAAAATGCAAGACTAATGGTACCCACAGAAAGCGGGGGACCATCAAACGAATTGTTGAAGTTCTTTGTATTTCCTGGGGGAGGGAAAGTGAAACATGTCATTTCTTGCAGCTGAGGAACTTGGCTCAGAGTCCGTGAAAACTCCCACCCACCCTGATAAATCTGTTTGCCTAAGATGCCGCTGGACCCTTTGTGGTTTTGGTATCATATCTTCCAGATTCATTCCTCAGGGGAAAGTAAGAGGTACATTGATCACCCACCACCCAACTGACCCAACTGATAGTTGGTAGATAGGTAGGTAGGTAGGTAGGTAGGTAGATAGATACTGCAACTAAAACTTCAACATAACATACCTTGGGCTAGAAGAACAATCCCACTTACAATGATAATTATGACAATCACCATTTTAGCCGCAGCGAAAAAGTTCTGTATGTAGCTCGCCCACTTCACACTCAGGGCATTCACCAGAGTAATTGTAACTAAGAGAAAGGAAAGGGTGGAAGGTTCATGAGAAATGTCACCTCAACAAATAAGCTTCTGTACTCCTGGAATCCGTCCTTTACCTTCCCAGTTCATTTTCCTGCCACTCAGAGTAGCCAATAATGGGCTAGATGGACAAATAATCTGACCAGCTGCGTAGTAGCTTCATATGTTCCTCTGCATTCAAAGTGTTCAAACCATTTCACTCATCATCATGTGCACTCTTTACAGGTAAGGTAAAGGTAAAGGAACCCTGGACGGTTAAGTCCAGTCAAAGGCAAATATGGGGTGCAGCACTCATCTCACAGCTTTTGCAGGTCATGTGGCCAGCCTGACTAAATGCTTTTGGTGCAACGGGACACAGTGACACATTTACCTTCCTGCTGCAGTGGTATCTATTTATCTACTTGCCCTGGCGTGCTGGTATGCTTTCAAACTGCTAAGTTGGCAGGAGCCATATAGAAGATGGGTTAGTGGTACTATTCCCAAGTTCCCAAAAAGGGAGAGGGGAATTTGACCAAGGCTGCACATGGGGTCATGGCAGAGATGAAATTTGAATTAGAGACCTCTGGTTCCTAGCATAGTCTCTACGCTTCTGTTGTGTAGCAGCTGCCTCCAGCTTGTGTGCCAAATTAACCCACAAATTTGCACCGGTGTAAAAGGAAGCCTATTCTTTGCTGTTATCTCTGTATGCATTTGGTTTTAGGTCACTAACTCACCCTTCCAGCTACCTTTGTCTTCCTGATCAAAAGCCAAATACTCACAGAGGGCTGCTGCTGCCAGACACTTGATGACAATCGTGGGGGGGTCACAACCCGGATAAAACGGAGCTGCTGTGTACTCAGCAAAGCTGAGGCAAATGATGGCAAAGGAACTGGGCATGGTGACCATGAGACTTGCCCAGGAAAACAAATATGCAGGGATTGGGCCAAAGGCTTCCATGAGGTAAGAATAGTCTCCTCCTGATTTTGTTATCATTGTTCCAAGTTCGGCAAAACAAAATGCCCCTGAAGAAAGAAGTGGGAGTTTTTAAAATAACCTTCTGCTACCACCACCACTGCCACAATCACCCATCTCCATTTCAATATAGCTTCTGGAGGGCTCTATATGCACCTGGTCCTTCTAGCCTGTTTCAAGGCACCAGGGATTTTGTTCCTATTAAGTGCATAATCTTGTTATGGTATATGGAACTAGTCAACATTTCTTTCAGCCAATGAGTGCTTCTGTTATGAGAAGACCATCTGGTCCTAACCAACTATAATTTTGAGTTGCTGAAGAAATGCTTTTCCCCCTCTCCCCCACAAGCATGATTGATTATTTTCATTTATAAACACTGTGCTTGTTCTCATGGTGTCTATTAGACACTGTCCATGACATCATCAGCGGGTGCCTTGGGACTCAGGGGGCATCGATAAAAGAAAAGCCAGTGACAAAAAGTGATTTTTAGAGCCAGTTATCACATATTTATTACGTTTATATTTATCTCTCCTTCATCCTTTCCATTTTCTTCAATACATGCAAAAACCCTGTGAGGTAAGTCAGGCTAAGGGATGGTGACCAGTCCAAGATTACACAGAGAGCTTCATGGATGAGTGGAGATTTGAACCCTGAACACCCCCAATTCTAGTCTAAGCACCAAAACATGCTAGGATATAGTTGCCATATACTAAACATAGATCTCTTGGTTCTTCATCACATGGTGATTTGCAAGAGAGGCCAGATGAAAAAAAGGAGCTTCAAAATACAGTGATACCTTGGTTCTTGAACTTAATCCGTACCGGGAATCCATTTGACTCCCGAAATCGTTCAAAAACCAAGGCGCGGCTTCCAGTTGGCTGCAGGAGCTTCCGGCACTCAAGCAGAAGCCGCGTCGGACGTTCAGCTTCCGAAAAATGTTCGCAAACCGGAACACACACTTCCGGGTTTGCAGCGTTCGGGAGCTGATTTGTTCAACAACTAAGCTGTTTGAGAACCAAGGTACCACTGTAATGTAATGTGTTAGCTTTGGCTAGTATTTCCCCCAAACACCTATATTATATATGCTAATTTCAAATGCAAAACTAGCAAATGCAAATCCATTGTTAAAGGGCTAAACAAAATAACACATAACAAGGAGCTTGTAATAATCTGGGGCGGGGGGGAGAGAGAATAAATTGGAAAGAGCAGTAGTGATTTACCTAACGTAGCAAGCACTCCACAGGCTGCCCAGATGACTAAGCAGGGCCCAACAGCTCCAACGTTAGCCAGAACGGCTTTTGGAGAAACAAAGATTCCTGAACCAATCACTGTTCCAACAATGAGACCGATTCCACTGAGCAGGCCCACCTGGGAAAAGAAATTGAGGTTAGGTGAATTCAACCGGAGTGGTTCTTTCAGTCTTCTATAGGCAGTATCATGAGGGTGGAGATGGATGGGGGACAGGGACATTGAAACACATGTTAACCCAAGAATATGTTAGGAAGGGTCCACTCTTATTGCAGAAACACTGATTTATACAACAGCTGCTGCCACATATCTTAGGGGGAGCTTATTTTCCCAACAAACACATCCGTAGGATCTACAGTTAATTAATATTATTAATTGTACTTCTTAGTTGCTTTTTTAATTAAAAGTGAAGTCAAAGAGACTTGGAATGTAACACAAGAATTAAAAGAAATATAAAACTAAAATGAAATAAAGACTAAAAAAATTCAGAAGCCTGAGCTCAGAGTTAAGGTCTATTCTGGGAATGGCCTTGGTAAGCCGCTCTAGGAGCCTTCTTCAGCTTGGAAGTGGGTGAAAATGTTTAAAAAGAATTTTAAAAAATATAAAACGTTACTTGTTGCCTTGGCAAGGGTGACAAGAATGTGGAGGAATAAGCACTCAGTATTGACCATGACCATTTCTTCATATTCGGTGCCAAGGAAATAGTCTTGCCAAGGGAAAACGTAATGAGTGTGAGGGGAACACAAACAGGGTCTGCTGTGCTGAGACTTTCAGCGCCATTAACAGGTGAGGTGACACCAGGAACAACCTGTGGTACAATGCAAACATTAACCTGACATTCTGGGAAAAGAGGCTTTCCTCTTGAACTTCACTGAGCTTCGTGATTATCTCCACATTTAGCAAACAACACTCTACTAATTAACTCAGGTGTTAACATCACAGAGCATTTTACTTCCCCTCTTGGGGCATTAAAGCTGGACCTAACTAGACTATTCCCTGTTTTTACAACAGGACATGTACCAAGTGCAATTGCACCTCCTCTTGAGAGCGAGGATGTGTTTATGGACGGAATTCTAAGTGTGGATGGGCAAATCTGTCAAATTTAGTTTCTTCCCCGTGTTTCTCATTTTCCCAGTATTAAATTCAGTTCTCCTTTACTGCAGCAGCAAAAACAACGTGCAAGGCAGCCACTGCGAGTTACCAGTCTTTGCAGCCACAGCAAGCGCCATCGTTCTCCAGAGGTTTGATTTCAACCCAGAAGCACACTGGCATTGTCTTTTGAGACAGACGGATGCCAACCATGCACAGTTTCCCCCCGGTTTACACAATTTTGCAAACATTTGGTATGAGAACCGAAATGCAAAATTCAGAGAAGTGTGAATTTTGAAGGATAACTGGTTCTATTCATGTCCAGGTTTGGGAACTGCAAATTAGGTAGGTCTGCATTCAAATGAAAGCTGGCCAAATTTCTACCTCACCCCTAATTCTGAGCCTATTTAGGCTCAGGGCAAAACAGCTAATTCCCATGTTTTGCACGGTGCATATTTTGCTGCAAATAAAATCCAACAAGGAGTTAAGCATACTTAAAACACATTGCTTTCGTTGCTTTCAAAAATGCTGACTGTATTGTACTGCCTCAAGGTGGATGCCGTAAGCCAGGAATGGGGAATCAGATGTTCCTGGACTTCATTTCCCATCAGGCCCAACCAGCATAGCTGGAAATTGGGGACCAATAACCTCTGAAGGGTCACAAGCTCCCCATTCCTGCCATAAACTATGCAAACCTATAAGCATCCAGGGGAAGGTATTAGGCATAGGAGAGACAATTTGGTTGAGGCCACCTGGCACTAAAATTCCCTAACTATGTCACAGCGTGCTTTAAGAACACAGTAAGTAAGTAAACAATAAAATGATTTTTACAACAGAATGGAAACTATATTTGAGATCTGGGAGGCTAAGAGCTTCTAGGACTGTTTCCAATGTAATATATTACAAGTCTTGCCTCTTTCTGTAGTTTCATAGATTTGCTTTTCGTGATGGGCGTTTCATCAGGTTCTTGATTTGAACTTCGTTTTCTGATGCCTTCTTCATCCATTTTGCTTACTTGATGCTGATGTGTCTATTATATTAGTGAATCCTGCAAACAGCACAAAGTTAACTATGATTATATTATTTAAAAGTCTGTTTATCTTTTGACTTCAAAAAAGCAACAGGGTACCCATAGCGCTCTTACATAGTTAATTCAAAGTAATAGTGGGATGTGCTACCTCACTCCGAGTTGGCTTTGTAATGTTATAGCATAATCCAATCGAAGCGTGGGACACTGTGCTATCACCTCACTGGTCCTATGATCCCTGATTATCTAGATCACGTAGCCAGCAAGAACCACCCTGTTTTTAATGCCTGCCAAGAGAGTGAAGCAGTGTACCTTTCGCTTCCACACTTACCTGTTATGGCTGATCCATTTAACTAATCTTGAATTTTGGTAGTAATCAGTATTCAACTTAAGAGGTACAAATGCCAATGCCTAGGAGCACTCAATTTTTTGAAGCGACCGTTTGCCATTTTCATGACGATTAGGAGAAATGTATGAGTAATATAAAGGTGGCTTATCTGCCTCGATCGGAGCTCAAAGGTTGGAAATGAACTTGCTGTACAAAACATGATTTGATGTTATGGATAACATATTATCAGATGGTTTGCTGGCCAGCAGTGATCAGATGACTTTGTTATCAGTCTGCTCATTTTATATGGCAGACTTTATACCTGGTTTGATGGTTTAACATGCCTATTTGGTGTTCTGCAAGTCTATAATGTGTTTCCTCGTTTTGCACTTGCAAAGAGAGAAATGGACATAAAAAGCCCATCCACCACCACTTTGGGACTTGTGAAGGAAAGCCAGTTACATAAAAACTGGCCCTCTGATGTCTTCCCCTCTTTGAATACATCTCACTGTATAACAAAATAGGGCAGATGGAACTGGTTTGGAGCAAAGGACCAGTGGGAGGAACAAGAGGAGACATGGGAGGGTGTGTGCATGTCTGTGTGTAAGATTTTTAGGCTGCTAGTGATAATGGGGGTGTGGAGAGGAGGAATTGGGGAGGGGATGTGGTGGGAAAGTGTCTGGATTAAACAAGGGCATCTGCAGGATTGAGGAGGAGCAAGAGGAAAGAAGGACGATAATCTATGGGCTTGTAAAGCAGAAGGAGTATTGTCCCTTTTCTTTTCCTATTATTCTTTCCCCATCAGGTTATGTACTTCGTGTTTTATGCTGTAAACCGCCCTGTGATCTCTTGATGAAGGGCAGCAAATGAATGAATGAATGAATGAACGAACTGTTTAGCCCAGAGAAGAGAAGTCCGAGGTTAAACTAGCAAACCAAAGGTTAAACCAGTGGTGGCCAAACTTGGCCCTCCAGATGTTTGGGACTACAATCCCCGTTATCCCTGACCACTGGTTCTGTTAGCTAGGGATGATGGGAGTTATAGTCTCAAAACATCTGGAGGCCGAGTTTGGCCACCACTGGGTTAAACTAACCCCTTTCCAGCCCCAGGAGGAGCGTCCACACGACACACCTGCACACGGCAGCCGACACTAATGTGTCGTGTGACACACAGTCTGGAAAGCTTTGTGCTAGAATATAACACAGAGGAGGAGCACAACACATTAAGCTGATAGGGGAGAGAGGGCAGGGTTGTGGTCGCCCACAGGCAGTCACAACGCAGGATGTGAGCAGCTTTCTTTGCTGGGCAGCCAGTTCTCAAAACAAGAAAGGTGCCATTTTGGGGAAACTGGAAGCATTTGCAGGGCTTCTTTTACCTCTTGCTTGCTTATGTTTTGGAACTGTCATCACAAAGAGACAGAGAATGGGGCCTGTGGTCTGAGCTATCATCTTGATTTGAGAAATCATCTTGGGAAGAAAGGTGGCCTCAGTGATGATGCCCCTGCTCGTACCTTTTGCCTGGGCTTTTAATTTTTTTTCCTGAAGAAACACACACACAGAGAGAGGGGCCTGCCTTTGGATAAGGATAGAAAAGGCAGGGGAAAATTCTTGCTGCACATCCATGGCTCTCTCCTTCCTTCCCTGGGACTCAGCTAGACTCATGTTATTGAAGAAAATATATACATATATATATATAGGGGGCGGCGGGCAGAGCTGCCAACTCCAGCTGCGGCATTTGAAAGTGCAATCCTAAATGTCCACTCAGATGCAACGCCTGTTGGATCCGCAGGTAAATTAAATTAGGGTTGCAGGCAGTGTGGTGCATTGCTTACAGCAGTGTGGTGCGTTTGAGCCCACAGATGCATTTGCAAACTAGGGGGACTGCCATAGCCACTATGCACTGATGGCAAGCATGCAAGACCGGATGTGGCCATCGCACACCTGGGCACACCTTCACACTTTCCCTTCATGGCCAGTGCTTAGGCAGGAAGGAAGTCCTGGTTTTCTTTTAAGCCTAATTGGCGGCAGCGGGGTGATCTTCTTGGAGAGTCCAGCTGGGGTGGCAAGCAGGGCAGTTCCCTCCCTGCTTACAATGGTTTTAAGATAAGGAACATCACTCACCCCAGAAAATCAATAACAACACACTATTAGGATTTGGTGGGGGGAGTCTTGTAATGGAGTCAACAGAAGACTCTCCCACCCCAAGTCTAATTGCAGTGGGAGAGCCTTCTATGGACTCCACTGGAGTCAATAGGCCACACCCCTCATAGGCTGAGGAGACCAGGGTACAAATCCACACCCAGCCATGAAGTTCCCGGCTGACCTTGGACAAGTTCCTAATTCACACATGAATCTGCCTCACAAGGGTTGTTGTGTGGGGACAGTGAGGGTCACGTATGTCACCTTAAGCTACCTGGAAGGAAGGTGAGATGTAAAAAAAAAAGCAAACTGGGAAATTGTGGTTTAATCTTATAGACTATAAACCAGGATATTAAACTAGGAGCAGAACCAGGTTTACTTGACCAAGACTGCTGCACTTGAATTGTTTTGAACAGTAAATGAAGAAAGAACAACAGAACACTTGGCTGCCCTCTATGGATACACCAAGTAATACAATGACAGTTCTAGCAAATCTATTGCAAATACACAAGAATCTATAGCAAATATTCATGCAAGTCTCTCGCATAATTATCCCTGTGAATTTTTTCACATCTTCAGCCTGGAAGCGAGAGTGGCACTCACCGTGTTTGGCGTAACTCTTGAGTCATCGAAACACCTTCCCTTCACTTATCTCCTCCTTCAGCAGACAATGCCCCCACTCTAAAGCAGAATGCTGGGAAACAGCAGTCACTTAAGTACAGAGGTTATAAACAAAGGTAATGATTAAACTAGAATGCTTCCAATAATCATTAAAAGCCCAATTAATTTATTGGCAAGAAAAGGTAGAGTTTTTGGTTCCATTTTGATGTCCCCCCCCCAACCCTGCATCTTGCAGTTTGAACAAGCACTGAAGTATTTGACAGTGCGGCACTCATGGACCAAGGCACCAACAAATTTCAGGTTGCCGTGATTTTACAAGACATCAAGGTCTTCCTGCATGATTAAAAAGCAAAAGCAAAACCCACTGAACTTGGGGAAGAGATCATTGTGGGTTATTTTGTATACAATCTTCTTAATTAACAACTTTCTAACAAAGGTTTTTAAAGCAATGCATTGCTTACTTTAGCAAAAAGGAAAGAATTTTAAAAGGAATCAGACAGCTCCTATCTACTTCAAACAATTGGCTGGCTGCCAACCTGCTCTCCTGTCCTGTTTGTCTGGATGGACTGAACTTCTCTTGAACTTGCTAACAGGGTGAATGCAGTCAGAAAGAAGGAAAGAAAATCTTCCTTTGTTTCCAGCCTTGAGCACATTTGCAGACAAACAAACAAACAAACAAACTTAGTTAATTACTTTTCTGCACTTGGGGTTTAAGAATATATCTTGTTCGATCCCTCCTTCACTATCACCGCTGATTATTGGCCATGCTAGCTGCAGCTGTTGGGAGTTGAGTCCAACAGTATGTGGAGGGCTGTCAAAGTTTCTCAACCCAGCCGTAGATTTTTAAAATGTCTCCAATGTTGACATTCACACACTTTTCTGAAGAGACGTTCAGAACTTCTGTGTTTTAATTCGTCTTCTTTATCTGTGTGTCCAGAATTAAAGTTAAAATAGGTTGGAGGCTGCCTAGTTCTTAGAGCTAGGGAAGCCCAACAACATATTGCGGACCAGGGGTTCCCCATCACTCTCAGGCCAAATAGGTTTCTGTAGTGCTTCAGAAACCAACACACCTCGATTGACCACAGCAGAACAAGAGAGATTAGGGTGCACATCACCAGAAACGATGCCTCTGTCATACTGCCACAAAAACAATTGTGCCGTGCAAAAATCACATAGGCTACGCGAGCAAAGGGTTTGGTAATAGTCCTAGATTGTGCAAGAGTTCAAAGCAGCTCGAAACAAATGTTTCGACTGTTATAGCAACCAATAAGTATGTACACATGTTCATATTAATTTCACAATGGGAAATTTGATTTGAATAAATGAGTGAGATTAGTCTTTTCTCCCCTCAATGATATAAACTGATTTATTTAAATTGCCTTTATTCAAATCAAGCCCCCCCCCTAGATAACAGAACTAATCTACCTATGTGGTTGTTGCAAGGATGATAGAATTGATGTGTGCATAATGCTTAAAGTTACTGGTCTTCAGCTGGTGGGCCAGGACCCACTATGCAAATATCCAGTAAAAGATTAAGAAATGCATGTTTAGGTTAAAAGCAGGGCCAGGGTCTGAAAAGACTGGAGACTACTGCTCTAAACCATTCTTCCCAAACATGGCGTCCTCCAGATGGACTACAAATCCCTGACCATCAGCCATGCTGGGACTTGTGGCTCAAAATAGCTGGAGGGTGACAGGTTGTGGAAGGATGTTCTAAATTGCTACTACAGGTATGCTTAGCAGTATTACTGTAGTGTCCAGTCCTCATGGATGTTGAGATGCATTTGAATAAGATTTGCACAGGCTTTTGCTTGTTGTTGTTGTTTAGTCGTTTAGTCATGTCCGACTCTTCGTGACCCCATGGACCAGAGCACGCCAGGCACTTCTGTCCTCCACTGCCTCCCGCAGTTTGATCAAACTCATGCTGGTAGCTTCAAGAACACCATCCAACCATCTCATCCTCTGTCGTCCCCTTCTCCTTGTGCCCTCCATCTTTCCCAACATCAGGGTCTTTTCCAGGGAGTCTTCTCTTCTCATGAAGAGGCTTTTGCACAATGTTCTAAAAAGCTTGACTTTGCAAAGGTGAAATGTAAAAGCAATATTAGAGTCCCTATCTATAGTTTAAGGACAATCTTAATTCATTCATACGCACTTTGGACTCCCCACAGGGCTAATCCTTGAGCATAATGAGAATGAAGTTCAACATTCTGAGATAGGCACAACATGTTCAATGCAATGTTTCCTTATGTCTCTATGGTCTATTGCAGGTAATTACATTAGTCAGGAATGGAATAAATAGTTCTTTAATACAAAATGACAACACACCCAGATTGTAGTAGCTACCTGCTCTGAACCTACACAGCTGAGCTATAAAGGCAGCACCGATGCCAACAAGCACAGAGTCAAGCCAGTATCTTGCTAATCTCTCAAGGTAAAGTGCACAATGAGCTATTGCCAATCAGCATAATAATTTTTTAAAAGTTACCTCCGTGTAAGACCTACACACAACACATTGCTAAACTATGGAATTTGCTTCCACAAGATGCACTGATGGTCCCCAATTTAGTTTTGGCATGGGACTAGGCAAAAGATAAGGCTAATCGGTTGCTACTAGTCATGGTGACTCTATATTACCTCCAGCATCAGAGGCCACAGCCTCAGAATCCCAGTCGCTGGAGAACACGATTGGGAAAGACTGATCTCCCCTCACCTCCTGCTTGTGTGCTTCTCAGAAGCATCAAGTTGTGCCCTGTAGGAACAGAATGCCAGACTAGCTAGGCCTTTGGTCCTATCCAGCAGGACTCATCCTCTATGCTTTCCAGGCACTAACTGCAAGTGGGCTCGCTGTCCCAAGTAGCATGTGCTGCATCTTGGCTCTATTGCCTCTGTCACTTATTTATTATATTTATTTGCAGTATTTATAACCCACCCACCCCATTTAATGTTCTCAATCCCAGATCAGGGAATAAAGTAATAAAAACAAACAGGGGGGAAACAATGGATGTACAAAAATTACAAAATCATATAAACAGGACCAATGAACAACTGAAGCATTATATCATGAGCAAAACTGCAGCAACAAAAAATAATCGTTTCAATTTAACCAAATACCTAGGTAAAAACAAACACAGCATTTGAGATTATAGAACCAAGGGGTCTTAGCAATGGTTCCCACATGCTATTTCCCTTGTGGCAGCCCCCTCCCTCCCTCCCTCTTCCACACAGAGGGCCCCACTCTGTGCCAACTAAGTCTCTGTGGCTTTTGAGTCGCTTAGCATATTTCAGTATCCCCCTCCACCAATCCCTCCCTGTTCTCATCCTAAGGGGCATAAAGGCCACAAGCATCCATGCCAAAAAAGAATCCCACAAAAAACTCCCCTCCCTTCTCCACAGTAGCAACATAGCAAACCCCAAAGTGCTCATATAGCTTTACTGAAGTCCTGTATTTACAGTATGTGCTGTGTAAAATTAACTTGTTCTGTCTTTCATTTAGACGAAATGACTGCAGCTAAGAAAGCAGATGAATGTCTACAGCCATCTCATGAATGGTATCAATTTTAATTGTTTTGTTTGGAGTTTATGTTGTTCCCAGTCCCGATGCCTTGAGTGGGTAGCAGGGTTTTTTCTTTTCTCTACTTCCCTATCCCAGACCGCCAAAGGCAGTTTCATGCCATTCTTTGAAGAAGTACAGGCATGGACTTTGGCAAGCCTTAAAAGAAAGGGAACTCCAAAGTTTGGTGGGGACAGTCTCTGTGAGTCCTTGTGGGTCCTTGAAGTACATAATGTATTTCAATAAAACATTACCAAGGTTAGGCTGCTCTGGGATTTCTAGGCTATCACTACAAGCACCTGAAGATGGGCCATGATGTTGGCACCATCTAAAGCTGCAGAGCTGCTGAGAGCACCCCTATATCAAACATGTATAGTTCTGCCTTGAAAATATGAAGGCCTGAGTGCTGATAGCTGGTTCTCTGGAGGCATGCAGAAGGACTCTAGAAAGCAGTGGGTTAAGCAGTGGATTTCTTTGCTTTTTAAAAAACAAAGTGTTTGTTCTTTTTTTCAATCCTTTTCATAAGCTACTGGTATTAAAGGGTTAGAGATAGTCTCTTATACCCATTCTCAATTATTTGATTTAACTTCTCCTCTTTCACAAGGGGAGGCGTTGTGAGCGGGACTTGCTCCCCGTGCTTCACAGGGGGGCGTGGTTGGGAGTCCCAGGCCCGCGCCACGCCCTCAGCTGGCCAATCCGTCTAGCTGGGAGCGTGATTTGCCACATTTAAGCGGCCCCGGCCCCGGCTGTACCTGTTTGGTTCCTGCACGCACAGATCTTGCTTACTTACCACATGCTGTTTGTGGGTCCTTTGCTATGTTCTAGCTTCGTTAATTTTGAAGTCCCTAAAAGCCTTCGCTGCAACGCTGCGACAGGGACTTTCATGCCAGGGATTGCTTGGTTTTCCTTGGCACGCTGCTCGCCAGCACAGGAATTTATTTCAACTTAATGCCTCTGGGTTCTGGCACTTGGAGCAAATCAGGTTTCTGTGGGAAGGTTTACTTTAGCAGAGTTAAACAATCCCCTTTATAAGTTTATGCAGCGATCAGCTTGTTGCTTACTCATCTGAGTTCTACTAAAAAATATGCCTTTCTGGTTAAAAATCCCTTTGAATCCCTCTTAAAGAATATACACACAAATCTGATGTTAATATACAACTATTTTACTCTAAGATTCATACAGGTTTACAGAACTGTACCTGAAGGCAGGCTTAGGTTACATAACAAGCAAATTAACTATACCAGAGGGAAGTTGGTCCTGAGGTGACTGCAACTGAGCAGTTATCTTTCAAAACTACCAGCAACTGACAAACTGGTTGTCACAGCAACCGGTTAGAACATGGAGGCCGTTAGTCCTCTGTCGGAATGTTGCTCTTGACTGCACCTTTACATCCTCCCATTTCTACGTCTGCAGCCGCTGCGAGGGGAGTTTCACGGATGGGCTTGTGCAGGCAGGGCTTTGGAGCGCTCCTGGAGACCCCTTCAAATCTGATTTTCCTTTCCTCTGCCATTTCCCTAAACCTCCTTCCCTCCTGTCAGCTCCCTCATTGCCCTAAACTGTTTGTGTGCTGTGCTCCTTCCCGACAGGACTGTGAGCTGCGTTCCTTTGGTTTCTTCAGTCCAGCTTCCCCTTCTGCTCAGAGTGCTTGTTCCCTGCCTCTTATCTTTGCCCTTAAACTGTGGTGTTTTGCTCCTTCTTGACTGAGGTTGGGCTGTGTTCCTTAGGTTTTCCAGTCCACCTTCCTCCCCTGCTCTGAGCAGCTTCCTCCCTTGCCCTGGGTTGCTTGTGGGTTTGTGTGTGTGTGTGTTTGTTTGTTTGTTTGTTTGTTTGTTGTTTACTCTGTACGGTTCCACCTTCCTTCCTTCCCCTGAGCCACATGTACATTGTTTTGTTTTTAAATGATATTTATTACTTTTCAAACAATTTCAACACATTACACAAAAAGAAAGAAAAAAAGGGGGAAAGAACAATATAAATACAATACAAAAACACCACATACAAAGCAAAACAAAAACAATTTAAAATCACCTCAAACATTTTCAACATCCCATCTTTCATTCGCTTATTTCCATTGACCTCCTCACACCTCCCTTTTTGTATTCCACTTCTATTTATTATTTCAGCAATTCCTTTCCATCTTCCTCTGTTTTCTATCCTATAATTATCTTAACACATTCTTACCTTATTTTTTCCTTTAATTTTCTAATAATCTATTTATACTTAATTCCTTATAACATTTCTACTAAAGCCATATAACTTCATTCCAACATTCTTCTAACATTCATTAATTTTACCATATTTCTGTAAATAGTCTTTAAACTTTTTCCAGTCTTCTTCCCCCGATTCTTCTCCCTGGTCTCGGATCTTGCCAGTCATTTCCGCCAATTCCATATAGTCCATCACATGTACATTGTTCCTTTCTACCTGAGTTCATCTATTGGGCTCGGCTTGCCCAGTGTGTGTTGGTTCTTTGTGCGTTCTCAGTTTCCTTCCTTTCTCAAAGCAGCAGGTGCCTTGCTCCTTATTTCTTGATTTTTTTTCTGTTGGCCTTGACTTGTCCCAGCGGGTGTTTGCTTCCCTTCAGTTGGTGCGCGTTTAATTAAATGGTGGGGTGTCTGCTAAAGGGCAGGTGCCTGGCTCAGTCAGCTTTCCCACCTTCCATTCTAGACAGGGAAATCAATCGCTTTCATTTACTCTATTCTGCAGGGGTATCTCTTCTCCTTAAAGGGGCAGTGTGCGTTTTAAATAGGCTCAGGCCTGGGGATCAGCTGTCTGGCACTAAAGCATCTTAGCTTTTTATGGTACATAAGGGGGTAATTTTGCTGGGTTTTTGTTTTGTTTTGTTTTGTTTTGTTGCCGAGGTCCCTTGACTATTCTGGTATCGGCAGTAGGTCGATTCAGATTTCCTGAGTTACTCTTGGGTGTGTTGGGGCTGCAGTTTGTCTGTGCTTCCTCTGGTGAACAGCGTGTTGCTGCCGGCAGCCATTTTGAGCACACCACGTGGCCAAGCTTTCCCAGCGACTATTTGGGACGGGACACGTGGCCTCTGTTTTTCTTGTTGCCATGTTGCTTTGGGCACGTGCTTCCACACACCCCTGTGCTACATGAGAAACTCTTTTGATTGTAACTAACATTATATTATATTAGTGTGTGTCCTTTTCTTGGTAGTGCTTATCTTTATTTAACCTTAATTCAATGAAGAAGAAGAAGAAGAAGAAGAAGAAGAAGAAGAAGAAGAAGAAGAAGAAGAAGAAATACTCTGTATATATGTGTGTGTGTGTACACACACACACACACACACACACACACCTTGTCCTGATTTCTTTGGGGGCTTTGGCTCATGTTTGTGCATTGCCTTCACGTGTTGGGCTTAGTTCACTGTGGCTTCACTTTTTCATCCCCCCTCCCCTTTTTCAGCATGGCTCTGTGGGCTGTGGTATCAGGCAGGGCTTAGGTGGCTGCCATTTTGGCCAGCCACGTGACCTTGAGCTGCCATTTACAACACAAAATACACACTGCTGTTCCCCTCTAGGCTTAGGTTCCTCCTGCAAGATTCCCCTTGGTATCTTGTTAGCCACAATAAAATATAAAGTGGTGGACCATTACCTGGTCCACAAGGGTGTTCTAATGTTTTTAAGCTATGCTGTTTCTCTCTACCTACTCTCTACAGTGGTATCTCGGGTTACGAACTTAATTCTTTCCGGAGGTCCGTTCTTAACCTGAAACTGTTCTTAACTTGAGGTACGCTTTTGCTAATGGGGGGCCCTGCTGCCATTGTGCCGCTGGCGCGCTATTTCCATTCTCATCCTGAGGTAAAGTTCTCAACACGAGGTACTACCGGGTTAGCAGAGTTTCTAACCCGAGGTGTTTGTAACCCGAGGTACCACTGTATTTGTAAATTGTAACAGAAACATCATAATTCTCTGGTGATATTTACCCGCAAAGGAAAGTCTGATACATGCTGCTTCTGAAAATGGGTGATCAGATTCATTAGTTATCAGGGTTCAGGTACCACTAACAGCTTTACCATAAGTATAAAATTTAGCCAACATACTTTATCAGGTATTGCTACAGGGGTGAAGTGTGTTGGTTGGGAAGGGGGAACATAGGTATAAAATGAGTATTCTTGGATGCCAAGATCCAGGTTTGGGGGAAATACACTTCTGGTTGAAGGAACCCCAGCATATATTTGCACAAAATATGCAGCAAAGTAAACTATGGGAATATAAGATGTTAGATCTTATGAGTTCCTAAACTCCCCTAGCACACGTTTGGTAATGTAATAATAATAGCTTACAAACTCTCCATTGGTCAGATTTAAACCTCATTGCATGCTGAACTTTTAAGGGAAACTGAGGGAGAACACTGTGCTTGATTACCTACCTCCCATTGCAAGAAGAGACGAGACCTGACTAAGCCTGCCAGGGCAGCTCACTCTATGACATTAAACCCTTCATGCATTAATCAGACCGAAGCATGTTAGTGATATGAGCTTGTTACCCCTCATAACGTGCTGTCTTCTTTTAAATAACTATTAAAGACAAAGGCAGATGCATGGTCTTCCCTCAGGGTTTGGCTTTACCTACTGGATCATTATATTGGGGTATCCACCTGGCAGGACAATTCAAAATTGTTTACAGATTTTCAGGTTCAATCGGACGTGGTGGGATCTCTGGGCTTTGGTGTTTTTTTCAAAGGACGCTGGTGTGCGCATCAAGCTGGTATGGTAACTATTACACGCGTCTAAACCTTTTTAAAGTTTTTTTCTCTTAGTAGGGGCAGTTCACCTTTAGACGGTGGACTTCAGAGATCTTTGCATTGGTTTTTGGACTGATAATCAAGATGTCATCAGTGTCCTGGCAAAGCAATCGCCACGTTCCAAGAAGATGGACCGCTTCCATTCTTTAGCACCAGAGGCGCAACTGCTGCTGGACCCATTCCCTGAGCATCTTTGGAACCTTGCAAACTTGAAGTGATGGAGGGAGTATGGCCTCAGTGGCGCCTTCAACTATTAGGTCTTAGAAGACGACCTGGTCTGATCTTATATCCTATCGGGTAAAATTTGTAGGTATTGGGCATAGTCTGCCCCCCCCCCAACAGTCCAAGTGCTTCAATACTTTGTACACCTGCGTGACCTGGGGCGTGCAGCTAAGACTTTAAGGATGCAGTCAGCCGATATTCCCTTCTTCAGTAAATCCATTTATTTTACGGACCCTCATGTTGAATTCGTAGTCCGCAGGGCGATTGAGGATTGGCACAGGTGGTAGATACCAAGTGGTGTAGGTTGTAGGCCTATCACGTTCTTCACTCTTTGCCAAATACATGATAGATAGATAGATAGATAGATAGATAGATAGATAGATAGATAGATGATAGATAGATAGATGATAGATAGATGATAGATAGATAGATAGATAGATAGATAGATAGATAGATAGATAGATAGATGATAGATGATAGATGATAGATAGATAGATGATAATTTGTTGGTTGAAATATGTATCTTGCTTGTACTCTGACGCTTTCTCTGTTGCCCTCTTTGGCGCCCTAAGAGTGGGCGTAGTTGTTAACAAGGTTGAGCCGGGATGCTCCTCTAGGGGGCTTCGTTTGGAAGACGTAAATTTATCTAGTGCTGAGTGGCTGGGCTGCATCCATCAATAGAAAACTGACCAAAGGGGGAAAGGCGCCCTTATTCAGCTCGCAGCATCAGAACATAAGGTCCCTGCCCTGCAAACGACACCAGGAGATACCGTTACCTTAGGCCCCCTGGTTCTAGCACATCCCTGATATATTGGGATGGTACCCACCTCGCCCGGCATCAGTTCTCGCGGGTGATGCATTTGGCCATGGAAGCCCGTGGCTTCCCAGCCAGAGAATATGCTGCTCATTCCTGCTCATGGGGGCCTGCCTACAGACATATTCAATGACATGAGTCATGTGTTGGAGGGGAGGTTGTGGCCATCACCTACAACTCCCTTTGAAGGGTATTCCGTTAAAGGAATCCAGTGGTCGTGGTTCCTGTCCAAAGCCCAGGTGGTGGCTAGGGCCATGGCACTACCCTCCAGTGATTAGGGGAAAACTTCCAGCTGATTTGCATCAACAAGTTCCCCCTAAAAGGTAAAGGTACCCCTACCCGTACGGGCCAGTCGTGTCCGACTCTAGGGTTGTGCACCCATCTCACTTAAGAGGCCGGGGGCCAGCGCTGTCCGGAGACACTTCCGGGTCACGTGGCCAGCGTGACGAAGCTGCTCTGGCGAGCCAGCACCAGCGCAGCGCATGGAAACGCCGTTACCTTCCCGCTATAAAGCGGTACCTATTTATCTACTTGCACTTAGGGGTGCTTTCGAACTGCTAGGTGGGAAGGAGCTGGGACCGAAGACGGGAGCTCACCCTGCCACGGGGATTCGAACCGCCGACCATACGATCGGCAAGTCCTAGGCGCTGAGGTTTTACCCACAGCGCCACCCGCGTCAAACATCCCTGATATATTGGGATGGTACCCACCTCGCCCGGCATCAGTTCACGCGGGTGATGCATTTGGCCATGGAAGCCCGTGGCTTCCCAGCCAGAGAATATGCTGATCATTCCTGCTCATGGGGGCCTGCCTACAGACATATTCAATGACATGAGTCATGTGTTGGAGGGGAGGTTGTGGCCATCACCTACAACTCCCTTTGAAGGGTATTCCGTTAAAGGAATCCAGTGGTCGTGGTTCCTGTCCAAAGCCCAGGTGGTGGCTAGGGCCATGGCACTACCCTCCAGTGATTAGGGGAAAACTTCCAGTTGATTTGCATCAACAAGTTCCCCCTACAGGTTGTTAACCCTTGTGTGACTTCCTACAGAGTGGACAGGAGTCAAGTACAGTCTGTTCAGATCCAATGCCTAAGCCAATACCACTCACATTCTGTAACCAATCAAGTTGTGGCCTTTTTTTAGCCAATTAACCTAAAATACTTGTGTCCATGTGTTTTATTCCATCACAAAGCGGGGGACAGGGCCTTGACTCGCAACTGATCTACATTTTACACACAGACATGAACATTGCGGTCTCCTGTAAGGCTTTTCCTTTTTTAAACACCCATTGGTGTTAAAGAGTCAAAGCCTTGTGGGGGCAGGGGAGACCATTTTTTGTCAGGATTTCATCTGGGAAAAGGTGAAACCTCCACCTTCCCCACACCCTATATTCCTAATGTAAAACCAGCCACCAGATGGCAGCCAGTATTTTTGTCGTATAGCACCCAGAGCCATTAAGAACCAGGCAAGACCCTCTCTTCAAAGTGGCATGTTAAACTGTACTAGAATGCTGGAAATTAGCTTTTCTAGATCTATGCACAATGTGCTTTTTTCTTAAGCAGGCACAGGTCCCAAGAAAGTGCACCTGGTTTCTACAGAGGAGGAAGAGGAAGAGGAATCCTTGGATAACAGTGACACCATCTGTTGATTCTGGTTTGGAAATTGGGATCAAGAATTAGGCTGTCACATAAGAACCCACATTCTGGCAGGCTCAAGCAGCTTGGGTGGCATTTCCATAATGAAAGAATTTTAGCTTTTTGAACATCAGGAAACGTTCTAAATTTTGACCATGATTTTGAAGAGGGTTGTCATGGTGGGAGGGTGGGATGTTTGCTCTTCGACTTAACTGCCATAGACTGATCACATGTACAATTGATTTCAGTGAGTTTTAATTCAAGGTAAATTTGCTCTGAGTAGAAGAGTTGTAGTGATTTTTGCTAACTACCTAACTGTGAAACCAATGGAGGAGGTGAAAATCCTCTCTCTGTGTGTATGGCTATTCTTGGAGCCTGTTTCAAAATAAAAAAGCACAGCTTCTGGCCTTTTCCTCACAAAACAAATTATCAAGCCTCATACAGCTATTTAGACAAAAAGAGTTGAGAGTAGAAACAGTCTGAGAAGCACCATTCAAGTTCTTAAATGTAAATTGGATTTCTTAGCCATTACAACCCGCAGAATATTTTCCCTCGTGCTACCTTGGAACCTTTTCCTTCAGAATTTTTCCTGAAGCTTTATGATCCATTGTAAAGCAAAGCAGTTATGTAGAGTGGTGATTATTGACTACAAAGGACATTGTAACAGAATGGATGCTGGCACAATGAAACTGTTTTTGGCAATAGAGTAATGTGCTTCTATGAAGCAATGAATTTCTGAGTTAGGTTACACTTGGATATGTTGCATGAAGAACCATTTATTTAGGAAAGTGAATTGTGAACATTCAGCGTGTTAACATTTAGAGGTTTCTGTAGTAGGTAGGAAAATGGAGAATAGGTTTTAATCCTTTCCAGCAACCTGTTTAAAATGGCAATGTGCAAGCCCAAACCAGGCATTGCCTTTGCTTGTAACGGCCACATAAAGCATTGTGGTTTCCCCCCCTCTCTGGCATCCATTTATACCAAGTGTTTGGTGTGATGTCGTGTCTATGTTGTATTGCTAGAGACAGGTGTTCAATCTAGCATAATATTTAGTTCTGATCTTAATTTCTTTAAGAAAATGTAGCCATCAAAACCAGTTTAATACTGGTGATGTACTAAATATACCCTTTGTCAGCTGTATCATAAGGTGTAAAACTAAGATGCTGATTGATCTGTGCAGAAAATATTTTTGTTTCCAGAATATGAGAACTAATTTGAAAGGTTAAAGTACTTGATTAGAAAACTATTTCTAGCTCTTTGATCATTTGATCAGTTTGTTTTGTGTGGAATTGTTTGGACCAACACAGCTGATGCATTACATCTAATTTTTCCTGATCTAATATGATAGATAATAAAAGTTAAATCAAATTATAGCTCTCCCTTGAACATCAATATTCAAAATGGTTAGTTACTAGACACTTTGTTCAATTGCTCTGTTTCTGTACGTTATTATGTTAGCACAAAGAGCTGTAAGTATGTGTAGGAAGAATTAGAGATGGCCTTAGAATCAAAGGGTATATCTGGATCCAGGAGCTGTGAGGGGCAGGTAGAGCCACTTAATCAGAAGAACTAAAAATTATCATAAAGTACTGCTACAATAAATACAGCTTTCCCTACCTGTTCACATAGCAGTATAACAACAAAAAGTAAGGTGAAGGAATCCCAAATGACTGTCTGATGTCAGATGCACAGGCATAATTATATATGATAGTCCCTTTGATATACTTATTATTAAAATTATATGCTGCCCTTCATCTGATGATCACAAGGCAGTATGCTTAACAAAATAATTGTTCTGTTGACAGTATTGGATAAATAGTAGCTATAGTCTATATCCTCCAACGAGGAGTAGCATTCTGTCACTGAATTGACAGTCTCTCTGGAAGCTGCCGGTATTAGTTGCAATGGTTCTAACATGCCCTCTGGTGCCTGCGTCCTAATTTCTAAATCCCCCTACTTTTTCCAGTTAAATATTCCCACTCCACATTGTCAAATGTGTAACAGTACAGTGCAACAACAGTTTACTCTATAACATGAATATGGCAGTAATTGTTGAGCTTTCAGTGTTTCACATAATTGACCCAAATGACATTATAACAGTTGGACATCTCTGTATATCATATATGCAATTAGATCAGAAGTATTTGGCTTAAAGTTGGATGTTGTGATAAACCCTTCTTAAGGCCATAATTCTATGCATGTAGTAGAAAAAAGTTCCATTGAGTTCAATGGGGCATACTCCCAGGTAAGCAGATAGAGGATTGCAGCCTTATTCGGGAGCTGAACTCAAGTAGGACCTGCTTCCAGCTAAATGTGCATAGAGCTGCACTGCCAGTGTTTTTCTCAGAGTTTGGCCTTTGCAACCTCCAAGACTGATTTTCATTTATACAAACTGTGTCAAAGAAATTGCAGGGAAGGGCTGTTTAACCCCTTTGTCTCTGGCAATTTTTTGCAACAAACATGTATCTTCTGTAGGTAAAAGCAGGATGTCAGGAAAGAAATTTGAATGGGTGGGGGAAACAAGCTCCTCCTGTTTATGTTTCCCTGCCAGTCCACCTATCCAATGTGGAACCTTCCTGCTGCTTTTATTTTGAAAATTAAGAAACTAGTGGTTTCATCTGCCATGTAAAATTTTGTTTGACTTTTAGCATAGCACCAGGGGCAACACAGCCCTGCAGTTTCTCAGAACCCTCATACAGTGAGTTCTAATGGAAAGAATAATATAGTGATTGGTGATGGTTTAAGTACTAGGCATTTCATATGAATAGTTATGGGAAAAGTTATTTATGCCTGTTAGAAAAGCAATAAAGAACACTCTTAAAACCAGCCTTTATGTCTCTGGAGTTTTTAGACACTATTTATTAATTAAATAGAAAATATAATAAAAATATACCAAAGGCATTTGCAACAAGTCACAAAATAGTAATGCTGGAACTTTGACTTTTCAGAGTGCACAAGGAATCTAGAGAAGGCCAGAGGAAGGTAGGGAAAGAACGTCTAGTGTTCCATTTACCAGCAGCTCATCCCATGTTTGCAGCAGTATAAAATGCTACATCTTTGGTTTTCCTGCAAATCTTTCATAAAAGTAATTTTGAAAAGCAACAAACATGTCTGTTCCAAGATCACCACCTGCTCAGTATATGAGTCCTGACTTTGACCCCTTTGAAATTATTTCCACTGTCTCAGTAATGAGACAACAGGTGAGCACAGCATGGAAAACCTAGCTTGCACATCCCAAACCAACATATTGTGGAACCCTGACCCCAAACCAATGGTAAGAGGAATGGTGGTAGCCAGATCAAAGATGTAGCTTCTTGGATCCAGCCTACACAACCACAGCCCATTTTTACTTTTACTAACTTCCCAAGAGGTAGCTGTGTTAATCTGTAGCAGCAAAGAGGCTTTTGGCACTTTTAAAAGTCGAACATATCCTGTAATAAATCTGCTTGTATTTATTTAATTAAAATATATGTAACCCACTCTAGTCAAGGATTTCAGAGTGGGTGCAACAATTAAAACAGCAAATCCAACTGCACAGGAGGAAGTGGATAAACAATAAAACATGGGTGACAGTTATTACAAATTAAACCTGAGTAAATAAACAGGTTTTAGTCTGGCACCCAAATTGAAATCTGTCTAGTGGCAACTTTGTTTTAGAGGGGAAGACATTTTGCAAGTAGGGAAATTGGTGTGGCAAAAGTTCTTTTTATGAATGTTGTGATAAATCCATTAAATCTTTAAGGTGCTACAAGTCTCCTTGCTGTCTTTCTTTGGAATTATATAAAAAATGTTGATTAAGCTTCTCTCTTTGCATGCACTCCTCAAAAGATGCAGCTGTGCAGGATACTGAGGTAGAACCATGACAGCAGCAAACCAAGCTGAGGCTCCCTGGGTGCAAAAACACACTTCCTATGGGCAGACAAGGATCTGCCCTTAAGCCTCATGCTGGACAGACTCTACACTTCTAATACACAAACCATTGTGCCTGCAAAAATCTGCTCCAGTGTTGAGATATTTCTCATCATCTGCTCATGTTTCATTGTGTCAAGGCAGAGTCATTCTTTGAGAAGCCTCAGCCTATTCCAATGTATTACGGTACTTGTCTTGACCTCTTCAACCGCAGGAGTCAATATCATACAGATTACGTCTAGATCACATGTCTTTCTCCCTCCCATATGTTCTCTTGTCATTTCGTTTGGGTTTCCACCCTTTATAAATCTGTGAGACATTTAATATATGAGATTTCATCTTTGCACTTCCATGTTTGTTTGCTGGTAGATGGCACTGTAATACTGTATGTTCTGTCCTTTCAGCTTGCTGAGAAAATAATGTGGAAATTCCATACCTGAAATCAAGTCCATGGCCTACAAATCCTCAGGTCTTTCCCCCCATTCAGATATTTTCTTAAGATGCTGAAAATCCCTGAATACAATGTGTTACAAAAATGAATGCATTTTACAGGGGGAAAGAACAGAACAGTGTCTTTTTCAGGACACTTACTGTCTCACAATCATCCACTATCCTCAGCATTGAGACCTATAGTTGTGGACATGGTGTATCATACCTGATGAACCATTTCCAGGATCTAGCCTTTTTAATGATGGAAAAATTCAATGTTATTCAGGAACGTCTTCTGGTGGAACTACTTCCATAAGCATCTGAAGGTGCATAGTGATGGGCTCTGAAACGCAGAAGTTGTTGAGGTCAGAAGCCTTTAGAAATGGCAATTGCACTGTTAGTACCATTTCTTTTCCTAGATCATTTCCCCTTTTGCACTTAACCACTTAGAAGCCTCAGTGTTGATTCCACAAGCCAGATTATGGGCTTTACTTTTCCTATAGCCAAATTAACATGGGTCTTGAGAATATTCCAGAAAGTGAGGGCATCTCGGACCACATTTCAAATGGTTTCCAGGACCATTACATTTGATGCCTTCCATTTCTTAAGTGTACCAGATGGTGTGTGCAATGCTGAGCACATCACGGCAACTGAAAACCAATCTAAGCAACATTTTCAATATTAGCATCTTGTTATTTCTGGAAACATTAAGAGGTATATTCAAAATCAGTATACACAGTCTTGTACTATTGGTGCTATCAGGGTAGAGTAGCATTCTGTTCTACTGCAACTCTGGTTCAATTGATTTATATTTACATGTTTATTTTTAACTTTGCAAACTATGGGCTGATTTTGGATAACCGCTTTAACATGATGAAATTATAAGTGGTCATTTGTTGGCATGGCAACTGGCAAAGTGAGGGCATCTTGGACCACATTTCAAATGGTTTCCAGGACATAATGAGCTGTAACTTTAGCAAAGTGTCAGAGTCCACTCAAAAGACCAGTTGCCACAATCAGAAGGATCTATTTCCTGTGTATGTCAAACTACCATCAAGTTTCACTCTTTAAAGAAAAGATGGCTAGTGGTTAGGAAGAAGCAGGCACAGGAATGTCTAAAACTCTTTAAAATATAGGGAGGCTTAAAAATTGCCTACCCTGAAGGAAGGGGGGAAATTCCAATTGGAATGTTTTTGTAACTGGAAACACTAGCACCCATGTGCCTGCAAAGGGCAAGTGGCAAGTGCGCAGAAGCATGCATTGTGTATGTAATCTCTAGCCACTCAAGTGATCTGAGGAGACCACATACCCCATTTCCAGCTCTATGAGCCTCCTCTATTCCCATAATTTCCTCTTTATTGTATCTCATGCACCCCACTGTTCCTCTTTAAGAAGCTCTTTCCCTTTGAATCAGAGTTAAAGAGCCACACCCAGATTATTTCATCACAAACACCTCTTTCCCTGGGATGGAAACCAACCATATACTCACTTGAGATTTTTTGAGCCCAGCTGAATTTGAAGTGGATGAAAAGTACATAAAAGATAAGTCCACTGATAATAAACAGAACACAATACAGATATGGCAGCTCAGGTGCAGTGATGATGGGTGCCAGGACCAGCACAATGGAAACCAACATCACAAGGATGGGGATGATAAGAGGGACCTGCGAAACAGAGCAGAGGGGGTGCGGATGTAATTGTGTGTGTTGAGGAATCCCAGATTGGAACGACCTAGCAAGGCCAAATAATATTCTCGCTCAAGATGTATTCAGCGCATGCTACAAAGATGTCTCAAAGTGAGTTAAGAGTTTTGAAAACATACATGATAAAAAATTTAAAACGCACCCAAAATATAATTGACAAAAAGTACCCATCTTGCAATCACATAAAATGACAAATCCTATCCCAACCTACTAAACAGTAAACACAAGGATTGGATATCACCATATTCTGACACTCCAGTTAAGAGCCAAATGCCTGGGGAAAGGAACATCTTTGCCAAAGTGCCTAAAAGTTGATAATGATTGTGCCAGATGCATCTCTCTCTAAAAAGAGGATTCCACAATTGGGGAACCACCACTGAAAAGGCCTGTTCTCATGTTGCTGTTTATTGAAGGGGGCACACAAAAAGGCCCTCAGATGATTACGTATTAAGTATTGAAGTATTGATGTCATGGGCAGTGTAAGACTTTATATGTCAAGAGCAGCACTTTGAATTGGGCCAGGGAGCTAACACATCCTATGCACTTGAACCAGGATCAGACCGCCTACTGCCAGTCAATTCTGGCCCCTGAATTCTGCACTAAGTGCAGTTTCTGAATGCTCTTCAAAACGGCACTACATAGAGTGCATTGCAATAATCTAACCTAGAGGCAGCACACATGTTAACCTAATTTCTCCCCCAACTCCAGCAGTAACAAAAGGTGCAACACAAGAGGAACTGCCAAACCATCCTGAACACTGATGAGAATATCTTCTGGTGGGCTACTTACACGGATAGGCCTTTCAAGATCTTTTCTTGTAAAGCGCATGACAATGAGTCCCAGCACAGTTAGACCATAGAATATCCAAACTGCAAAGCTAAAGTAGTTGATGAGGGTGTTGATGTCTCCGGGAATTATATAAATAATAGCTACTGCACCCTGAAAGCAGAATAAATGCATTATGGAGAAGGCATTTTTTTAAAAAAAAAAACCTGCAGATTTCAGTGTTGGGTTTAGAGGCCTTTTAATGGCCAATTCTAATTGTGGCTATGATGACTCCGTTGGAAAACTAATTCAGACATGCTTGCTTAGTCTCTCCAGTGACTTTAAATTTGCAGCCCTACTGCATGGTTGTTTCATTATAATACAAGGCCTCCATTTGCATACAGACCCTTTCGCATACAGATAGGAAAGCTGTGTGCAATCACAGAGCTTTCAAAAGAGTTTTAATTACAGCCCTAGATTGCTGAGATTTGTTTGTTTTTATTTTAAGATTTAAGATTTAAGATCTTATATCAAAAGCAGGAGATGAAGTGGAGGGGGCGTTATAAAGGTGTATGCAATTGCATTTTCCTCCCTCGCAGTATTACAACCCAGGGCCAGCCAATGAAGCTGAATGTCGAGAAATACAGACAAAAGGAAGGGCTTGTTTACACAGCACATTATTGAAGTGTGGAATTTGACCTCACGGGAGTTGTGATGCCTGCCAACTTGGACAGGTTGGATATTAGACAAATTAATGGAGGATAAAAGCATCATTGACTACTAGTCGTGACGGCTAAGCCCTGCTTCCAATAACAGAGAACAATGCTGGACTAGACAGGCCTTTGGTTTGATACAGCAGGGGTCTTATGATGCTCTTCTGACACTTCAGAAATCATACTTACATAAAAGATGATAGCAGGTGCCGGAGTTAAGCGCTTAATGCTGATGTAAGAGAGCACCTTTAACATGTGTCCTTCACGACCGGCTACGTAAGCAAGCCTGAGAAGGCAAATCATTCTCATTAGAGAAGCCATTGTGATGGGCTGACCGAGAGCAAAGGATGACAAGACTTCTGCGCTTTTCATATTTTTGGTGATGCATTCAGAGAGTATTGCAGAATCTGTGTTTACCATGTCATGCAGTAATATGGGCTATGGAGAGTGTATGAGGAACTAGTTGCAACGGCTGTGGTTTGAGAAAAAACAAGATCCTGATTAAGTCCAATGTTAAAAGCATAAAAATCTGGGAAATGGAATGAGATCAGCACAACTGCCACATGCACTGTGAATAACAGGGTATGGGATTTCCACCATCTGACATATACAGTACATCACTACTGTGCTCCCAATAAATGTGAGTGAATGTGCAGGTGTGATGTTAAATTTAAGCTGCTTTCCCCCTCTATACCATTTCCTTGCACCACCTGCCAGCCACTGAGCAAAGTTTAATAGCTTGGAGATGTCGATGTGCCCCTGTCTCCCGAGTGCTCCCATGTTACTTTTAATGAGAGGATGATGCAGACATGGGACCCGTTCAGAATGACTGTGAAGTACTCCTTCACACAATGTATCACTAACATATTGAATTATTTATTCACATAATGCTGGGGCAGCTTCCACCATGAGTTCCTTAAAAATGATTGGATTAATTCAGAGGAAAACTAATTCAGAGGCACATGTACTTCTAATTAGCAGATGATTTGGGCAGCTGTCTGCAATATGACCTGCTTTTAAGTGTCACCTGGGCATTTGCCTGTTGACAACTGTGATGCTCTTAACTCCAGGTACATATAAGTGCAGAAGTCTTGCAATCTGGACTCAGGGCTGGGGGCACATAAATCAACTTTAACCTTGGGCACACTGGAATTCCACATCAGAAAGTTTTGTTTTACCTGCCAGCAGTAAAGCAAGTCCCATTGGCTGCCCCGATGGTAGAAAAAGCCACAAAGAGAGGGACTATCCAGGAAGCAGGATAAAGAACCCTGTCTCCATATGTCTGTGATGGAAGGAATTGAAATAATGCACATCTTTAAAACCTAGAGGTCAACCAACTGGGCACGTGAAGATACAGCAGTAATGAAAAGATACTTAATAAAAAGCTTGCACAACTTTTTAGAGAAGCAAATTTTCCCTTGTGTAACTTAAACCACTTTCGCTCTTATTCTGCCATTTGTATCAAAACATCCTCTTGTGAATTGTACAGAGGTGAAAAACAACACATTTTCCCACTTGGACTCACCACAGCGACAGCGGGAGACTGCAGAAGTTCTGTTGACGTCATAACTGTGAAATAGGATATATTGATCAGGACGTAACAAACTGTGACCAGAGGGATTCCAATAACAATAGAGAGTGGCAGATTTCTAGATAATATAAAGAGATATGCAATCAGTTACACATCCAAGCTTTTACACAATTAAAGAAATATTTGTTGATTTACCATATAGGTTTCTGCATAAATTTGCATCTGAAAGGGGGAAATTATCATTTTTTAAATAAGCACTGTCTCTTATTTGAGTAACAATAACAAATCTTCTAAGACAACATCTGCCACCCTCTGGTCCCGATGAACACCCCCACCCCAACTTCCAGCAATGATATTTGCATTGAGAACATAAGAACACAAGCAGAACCAGAGGAGGAGCTTCCCAATGCAAATAGCAGCTTGGGTGGGAGGGTCAGCAGGACAAAGCAGTGGGGGAGGGTTAAGGCGGGGAAGCATCAGCCCCCGCCCTGCCCCACCCCCATGGATGCTGTTCATTAACGTTATAAAATACATGTATATTAATTGCATCTGTTCATTTGAACATTACATCTAGTTTGGCTCTAAACAGCTGTGTATTTAGACTTTAAAATTTCACTCTGTTGTTGGATGCAGGGCCAGCTCTACCACTAGGTAGAGAGGCAACTGCCTTGGGTGGCAGATGCTGGTGGCCAGAGGCAGTTGCTCCTGGGCTCCCAGGCATTTCCCCCCTGGTGGAGGATAGAGCTGGGTGTGCCACACAGCCTCTCCCATCTTGGGTGGTTCTGAAGGGCACTGTCAGACTAAAACAGCCAATCTAGTCAGCTTCCGCAGTTGGCAACCATGTTGTCCTTTGCCTCAGGAAACAAAATGACTTGGAACAGATATACCGTACTTTTCTGTGTATAAGACTAGAGTTTTTTTACTTTAAAATAAGGTTACAAATCTAGGGGCACCTTACACATGGATAGTGCATATGCCCATTTTCTAAATTTGGGGTCCCCAAAAATAGGGGGCATCTTATACATGGGGGCATCTTATACACGGAAAAATACAGTATTTCCTCCTGATTGTATAGATGCAGTTCACTAACATGGGCCTGGTTTCAGAAAGCAGCTTATTGGATTTTGTTGTTGCTTTGTGAAACTTTTTGCACACTGCCTTAGGGCTGTACCTTGAATGGCAGATTAGAAATCCTTGTTTCAATGGGACTGTGAGGGAGGAGGAAAAAGAAATGGTGTTCTGTCAGCGGATGCAGCATTTTTCTTACCTATAAGGATCTTTAAGTTCCTCTGTGATATAATTGAGTTGATTCCTGGAAGGGATGGGGGGGGGGAGAAGTACCAAAATGTTACTTTGCACCCTGCACATTCTTGAGAGAAAACCCTCTTGAACCCAGTGGAATTTAATTTCCAAATAAAAGAGTTATGGGATGTACGTCTTGGTGGCAATACATATTTTTACTGAAATTATAATTCCCTTTCAACTACCAACAACAGCAACATGAGACATTTCACAGAGCCAAGTAGAAAATGTCCGATTTTGATTTGTGTTCTGCATTTGCACAGAAGCAAGTGCCCAATACGGCTTTCAACAGTAATAGCAAGTACTGTACCAATAAACAATCAGGAATATATGCACCTGTTCTGTGCAAAAATAATCCTTTGCACATTAAAATATACATTAGATCAGCCTTTGGTAGCCTGATGCCCTGCATATGGCTATCCTGGACAAAAGGGAAAGCTTCTCAATTAGGTTTCTCTGTGACATGCTGTTTTCTATGTGCAGGGGTCTATTCTGAGGATTGAGTGTGAAGGAGCTGCCATCTGAAATACTACAGCCCAGACATAGCCTTACCGCTTCAGGAAAAAATATTCCCTTAACAAATATGAGTCCTTCCTCCTTTTGTAATACCTGGCATCCATTCACCTCCCATATGAGAAGCAACCATCAATTAAGACAACACACACCCACACCCCAACCTATGGAAACATCTGGAGAGACCTACTGGATTAGAGATTTTATTACCTAACCTTACAATGCTTAAGGTTCTAATGACCTTAGACTAGCTGATACTGTTGGTGCCTTCCAAAGCCATCTCAGCTATTGGCCATCACTGCATCATGTGGTAGCAAGTTCCACAAGTTAATGGTCTGCTTAGCTCTCCCCCACAAAAGTGGGTGGGCTCTGTCTCCTTTCATGCCTACCAGGAAGTCACCATAAGTTTAGAATAAGTATTCCCCACCCTACACTATTTCCAGGTGTGATTCTTCAGCAAGACTTCAGGTGCCAGAGTTTTCATGCAATATCTTTCTTAAAGTGCAGTAAAGACACATCAAAATAAGGCATGAACTCCCATTTTCTAACTGCTAATGACAGTCATAAAATTATATTACCATCCATCATAGGCCCAGAGTCCATTATAAAATGCAAGACTAATGGTACCCACAGAAAGCGGGGGACCATCAAACGAATTGTTGAAGTTCTTTGTATTTCCTGGGGGAGGGAAAGTGAAACATGTCATTTCTTGCAGCTGAGGAACTTGCCTCAGAGTCCATGAAAACTCCCACCCACCCTGATAAATCTGTTTGCCTAAGATGCCGCTGGACCCTTTGTGGTTTTGATATCATATCCTCCAAATTCATTCCTCAGAGGAAAATAAGAGGGACATTGATCGCTCACCACCCAACTGACCCTCCTCGACCCCTTCCCCATTTTTGTGGTCCCCTCACCGCTGAGCATTTCCTATCAGAAGAAGGGCAAGGGCCACCACCACTTCACCAGGGGCAATATGTTAAAATATATTGAAACGGAATGTTTCAATATATATTTCAAATGTTTCAAAATATATTGAAACGGAATGTGACTTTTTAGAAACTTGAGACTTATCTTTAACGTATGTCATAAACGGCTTTTAATTTATTTACAAGGAAGGTAATATTAAAAATATCAACAAACAGGTTCCCACCCACTCCCCCAAAAGAAAGCAAAAACAAAACAAGCAGTTGTATCAATCCCAGTCAACTGCTGCAGATACATTATAGATAGATAGATGATAGATAGATAGATAGATAGATAGATAGATAAGATAGATAGATAAGATAGATAGATAGATAAGATAGATAGATAGATAGATGATAGATAGATAGATAGATAGATAGATAGATAGATAGATAGATAGATGCTGCAACTAAGACTTCAACATAACATACCTTGGGCTAGAAGAACAATCCCACTTACAATGATAATTATGACAATCACCATTTTAGCCGCAGCGAAAAAGTTCTGTACGTAGCTCGCCCACTTCACACTCAGGGCATTCACCAGAGTAATTGTAACTAAGAGAAAGGAAAGGGTGGAAGGTTCACAAGAAATGTCACCTCAACGAATAAGCCTCTGTACCCCTGGAATCTGTCCTTTGCCTTCCCAGTTCATTTTCCTGCCACTCAGAGTAGCCAATAATGGGCTAGTTGGACAAATAATCTGACCCACTGCATGGTAGAAGAGTTTGGATTTGATATCCCGCTTTATCACTACCCTAAGGAGTCTCAAAGCGGCTAACATTCTCCTTTCCCTTCCTCCCCCACAACAAACACTCTGTGAGGTGAGTGGGGCTGAGAGACTTCAAAGATGTGTGACTAGCCCAAGGTCACCCAGCAGCTGCATGTGGAGGAGCGGGGACGCGAACCTGGTTCACCAGATTACGAGACTACCACTCTTAACCACTACACCACACTGGTAGCTTCGTATGTTCCTCTGCATTCAAAGTGTCCAAACCATTTCACTCATCATCATGTGCACTCTTTACAGGTAAGGTAAAGATAAAGGACCCCTGGACGGTTAAGTCCAGTCTAAGGCAACTATGGGGTGCAGCACTGATCTCGCTTTCAGGCTGAGGGAGCCAGTGTTTGTCCACGGACAGCTTTTCCAGGTCATGTGGCCAGCATAACTAAACCGCTTCTGGTGCAACTGGACACTGTGACGGAAACCAGAGCGTACAGAAATGCCATTTATCTTCCCACCGCAGCGGTACCTATATATCTACTTGCACTGGTGTGCTGGTATGCTTTCAAACTGCTAAGTTTGCAGGAGCCATATAGAAGATGGGTTAGTGGTACTACGTATTCCCAAGTTCCCAAAAGGAAGAGGGGAGTTTGACCAAGGCTTCACATGGGGTCATGGCAGAGGTGAAAATTGACCTGTGATACCTAGCAGCGTCTCGCTTCTGTTGCGCAGCAGCTGCCTCCAGCTTAACCCAAATTAACCCACAAATTTGCACGGTGTAAAAGGAAAACTATTCTTTGCTGTTATCTCTGTATGCATTTGGTCTTAAATTGCAAACTCACCCTTCCAGATACCTTTGTCTTCCTGATCAAAAGCCAAATACTCACCGAGGGCTGCTGTTGCCAGACACTTGATGACAACTGTGGGGGGGTCACAACCTGGATAAAATGGAGCCGCCGTGTACTCAGCAAAGCTGAGGCAAATAATGGCAAAGGAACTGGGCTTGATGACGATAAGACTTGCCCAGGAAAACAAATACGCAGGGATTGGGCCAAAGGCTTCCATGAGGTACGGATATTCTCCTCCTGATTTTGTTATCATTGTGCCAAGTTCGGCAAAACACAGTGCCCCTGAAGAAAGAAGTGGGAGTTTTCAAAATAACGTTCTGCTACCACCACCACTGCCACAATCACCCATCTCCATTTCAATATGGCTTCTGGAGGGCTCTATATGCACCTGATCCTTCTAGCCTGTTTCAAGTCACCAGGGATTTTGTTCCTATTAAGTGCATAATTTTGTTATGGTATATGGAACTAGTCAACATTTCTCTCACCTAATGAGTGCCTCTCTTGTGAGAAGCTCATCTGGTCCCAACCAACTATAATTTTGAGTTGCTGGAGAAATGCTTTTCCCCCTCTCCCCCACAAGCACGATTGATTATTTTCATTTATGAACACTGTGCTTGTTCTCTCATGGTGTTTATTAGACACTGTCCATAACATCATCAGCGGGTGCCTTGGGACTCAGGGGGCATCGATAAAAGAAAAGCCAATGACAAAAAAGTTATTTTTAGAGACAGTTATCACATATTTATTATGTTTATATTTATCTCTCATTCATCCTTTCCATTTTCTTCAATACATGCAAAAACCCTGTGAGGTAAATCAGGCTAAGGGATGGTGACTAGTCCAAGATTACACAGAGAGCTTCATGGACGAGTGGAGATTTGAACCCTGAACACCCCCAATTCTAGTCTAACCATGACAACATGCTAGGATATGGTTGCCATATACTAAACATAGATCACTTGGTTCTTCATCACATGGTGATTTGCAAGAGAGGCCAGATGAAAAAAAGGAGCTTCAAAATACAGTGATACCTTGGTTCTTGAACTTAATCCGTACCGGGAGTCCATTCGACTCCCGAAATCATTCAAAAACCAAAGCATGGCTTCCAGTTGGCTGCAGGAGCTTCCTGCACTCAAGAGGAAGCCGCGTCGGACATTCAGCTTCTGAAAAACATTCGCAAACCGGAACACTTCCGGGTTTGCGGCATTCGGGAGCTGATTTGTTCAATAACTAAGCTGTTTGAGAACCAAGGTACCACTGTAATATAACATGTTAGCTTCGGCTAGTATTTCCCCCAAACAAATTATTCACCTATATCTTATATGCTAGTTTCAAACGCAAAACTAGCAAATGCAAATCCATATTTAAAGGGCTAAACAAAATAACACATAACAAGGAGCTTGTAATAATCTGGGGCGGGGGGGAGAGAGAATAAGCTGGAAAGAGCAGTAGTGATTTACCTAACGTAGCAAGCACTCCACAGGCTGCCCAGATGACTAAGCAGGGCCCAACAGCTCCAACGTTAGCCAGAACGGCTTTTGGAGAAACAAAGATTCCTGAACCAATCACTGTTCCAACAATGACGCAGATTCCACTGAGCAGGCCCACCTGGGAAAAGAAATTGAGGTTAGGTGAATTCAACCGGAGTGGTTCTTTCAGTCTTCTATAGGCAGTATCATGAGGGTGGAGATGGATGGGGGACAGGGACATTGAAGCAGATGTTAACCCAAGAATATGTCAGAAAGGGTCCACTCTTATTGCAGAAACACTGATTTAATACAACAGTTACTGCCATGTATCTTAAAGGTAAGGTAAAGGGACCCCTGACAATTAATTCCAGTCACAAACGACTCTGGGGTTGCGGTGCTCATCTCGCTTTACAGGCTGAGGGAGTTGGCGTTTGTCTGCAGACAGTTTTTCTAGGTCATGTGGGCAGTATGACTAAGCCGCTTCAGGCGCAATAGAACACCAAAACCAGAGCAGCACATGGAAACACCGTTTACCTTCCCGCCGGAGCAGTACCTATTAATTTACTTGCACTTTTTGGAGTGCTTTCAAACTGCTAGGTTGGCAGGAGCTGGGACCAAGCACTGGAAGCTCACCCCGTCGCAGGGATTCGAACTGCTGACCTTTTGATTGGCAAGCCCAAGGTTTAGACCACAGCACCATCCACATCCCACTATGTATCTTAGGGGGACCTTATTTTCCTAACAAACACATCTGTAGGATCTACAGTTTATTAATTGTACTTCTTAGCCGCTTTTTAAATTAAAAGTGAAGTCAAAGCAACTTGGAATGTAACACAAAAATTAAAATCAGCAGAAAACAAATGAAATAAAGACTAAAAACTTTCAGAAGCCTGAGGTCAGAGTTAAGGTCTGTTCTGGGAATGACCTTGGTAAGCCGCCCTAGGAGCCTTCTTCAGCTTGGAAGTGGGTGAAAATGTTTAAAAAGAATATATATGCTACTTGTTGCCTTGGCAAGGGTAACAAGAATGTGGAGGAATAAGCGCTCAGTATTGACCATGACCATTTCTTCATATTCGGTGCCAAGGAAATAGTCTTGCTGTGATAGGAATTTTTAGGTCTTAGATATATGGTAATGTTCATAACCGCACGTACATAGATCAGCACAGGAAGACCGACCTGAAGCCATTTTGATTCCTAAACTGAGCAAATGTTTTCTCTGCAAGGTCAAAGTGGAAATGCCTCCCCATTGTCTTTTCCTTCATAAATCATGTATTAAGGGTATGTCTGTGTTTGAATAGGGTGAGCCTGTGACATGGCCCAGGAACAAAGTATTTATCACTACAAAAGAATGGCCAGGCTCCCCAGGCAATCCAATCTAGTAAACTGCCAGACAGAAGATAAACAACAACAGGAGAAAAACGATATTCAAATTTCTGTTTTAGACCGCCTTTTCTGTGATGTAGGTGTGATGTATCTGAGGGGTGGCCTTAGGTTACACCCCTTCTTGATGTATGTATGATGTTTCTGGGGGTGGTCTTGATCTACAGGGTGGCAATTTCAAAAGTATAAGGCCTTGCACACCATTTTTCTGGGTCCCTCCCCTCTCCTGTGGGTGAGGGGAGCACCCTGTTGCAACAGATCAATAAAGATCAAGCATACTAGGTGCTTTGCTTCTCAATATTCTCTGGTTGGCCTCTGTTATTCTCTCCTACCAATAGGGAACCTATGTAAGGACTCTATACGGGCTCTTGGATACCCCATAAGGGAAAAGGGCAATTTTTGTTTACAACATTGCCAAGGGAAAAAGTAATGAGTGTGAGGGGAACACAAACAGGGTCTGCTGTGCTGAGACTTTCAGCGCCATTAACAGGTGAGGTGACACCAGGAACAACTTGTGGTACAATGCAAACATTAACCTGACATTCTGGGAAAAGAGGCTTTCCTTTTGTACTTCACTGAGCTTCCTGATTATCTCCACATTTAGCAAACAACACTCTACTAATTAACTCAGGTGTTAACATCACAGAGCATTTTACTTCCCCACTTGGGGCATTAAAGCTGGACCTAACTAGACTATTCCCTGTTTTTACAACAGGACATGTACCAAGTGCAATTGCACCTCCTCTTGAGAGTGAGGATGTGTTTAAGGACGGAATTCTAAGTGTGGATGGGCAAATCTGTCAAATTTAGTTTCTTCCCCCCGTTTCTCATTTTCCCAGTATTAAATTCAGTTCTCCTTTACTGCAGCAGCAAAAACAACGTGCAAGGCAGCCACTGCGAGTTACCAGTCTTTGCAGCCACAGCAAGCGCCATCGTTCTCCAGAGGTTTGATTTCAACCCCAGAAGCACACTGGCATTGTCTCTTGAGACAGACGGATGCCAACCATGCACACTTTCCCCCCGGTTTACACAATTTTGCAAACATTTGGTATGAGAACCGAAATGCAAAATTCAGAGAAGTGTGAATTTTGAAGGATAACTGGTTATATTCAGGTCCTGGTTTGGCAACTGCAAATGAAAGCTGGCCAAATTTCTACCTCATCCCTAATTCTAAGCCTATTTACAGCTAATTCCCATGTTTTGCACGGTGCACATTTTGCCGCAAACAAAATCCAACAAAGGGTTAAAAGTAAAGGTAAAGGGGACCCCTGACCATTAGGTCCAGTCGTGACCGACTCTGGGGTTGCAGCGCTCATCTCGCTTTATTGGCTGTGGGAGCCGTTGTACAGCTTCCAGGTCATGTGGCCAGCATGACTAAGCCGCTTCTGGCAAACCAGAATTTAAGCATACTTAAAGCACATTGCTTTCATTGCTTTCAAAAATGCTGACTGTATTGTAGTGTCTCAAAGTGAATTCCCTAAGCCAGGAATGGGGAATCAGATGTTCCTGGACTTCATTTCCCATCAGGCCCAACCAGCATAGCTGGAAATTGGGAACCAATAACCTCTGAAGGATCACAAGCTCCCCATTCCTGCCATAAACTATGCAAACCTATAAGCATCCAGGGGAAGGTATTAGGCTTAGAAGAGACAATTTGGTTGAGGCCACCTGGCGCTGTTCACTACCTCTTTGCATATGTGAATCTCCTCTTAAGACTATTAATTCCAGAATCTAAAATTCCCTAACTATGCTATTGTGAGACGGATTAAGGCCTCTCTACTTGCGCGCACACACTAAACATTAAAAGCATCCCTCCCTCCAAGAATCTTGGGAGTGGTACTTTAGCCCCTTACAGAGCTACAATCCCCAACACCCTAAACTATCTACGGTTCCCAGAATTCTGTGGAGGAAAATGTGTTTTATATGTATAGTGTCTACACAGCATCTGTCTGTGCAAAAGGGCCCAACAATTGCCACCTCAGACCTTCATTAAGTTTTAGGCAAGACATCTAGATGCATCAGGGCTTTGGTGCAGTGGGTCAGAGTTAATCAGAGCAGTGATTTTTGAGTTGCTGCTGTGAGGGCTTCCTTTTTCTGTAATTTTAGTGGCTTTTAATTTCTATTGCTTTAACTATATCTTTGAAAACCACTCTGGGATTGTATATGACGAAGCGTAGTTTAAGAATCGCAGTAAGTAAGTAAGCAAACAAACAAACAAACAAACAAACAATAAAATGATTTTTACAACAGAATGGAAACTATATTTGAGATCTGGGAGGCTAAGAGCTTCTAGGACTGTTTCCAATGTAATATATTACAAGTCTTGCCTCTTTCTGTAGATTCATAGATTTGCTTTTCTTGATGGGCGTTTCATCAGGTTCTTGATTTGAACTTCGTTTTCTGATGCCTTCTTCATCCATTTTGCTTACTTGATGCTGATGTGCCTATTAGTGAATCCTGCAAAAAGCACAAAGTTAACTATGAGCATATTATTTAAAAGTCCGTTTATCTTTTGACTTCAAAAAAGCAACAGGGTACCGATAGCGCTCTTACACAGTTAATTCAAAGTAATGGTGGGATGTGCTACCTCACTCCGAGTTGGCTTTGTAATGTTATAGCATAATCGAATCTAAGCGTGGGACACTGTGCTATCACCTCACTGGTCCCATGATCCCTGATTTTCTAGATCATGTAGCCAGCAAGAACCACCCTGTTTTTAATGCCTGCCAAGAGGGTGAGGCAGTGTACCTTTCGCTTCCACACTTACCTGTTATGGCTAATCCATTTAATTAAGCTTGAATTTTGGTAGTAATCAGTATTCAACTTAAGAGGTATAAATGCCAATGCCTTGCAGCACTCCATTTTTTGAAATGACAGTTTGCCATTTTCATGACGATTAGGAGAAATGTATAAGCAATATAAAGGTGGCTTATCTGCCTTGATGGGAGCTCAAAGGTTGGAAATGAATTTGCTGTACAAAACATGATTTGATGTTACGGATAACTTATTATCAGATGGTTTGCTGGCCACCAGTGATTAGATGACTTTGTTATCAGTTTGCTCATTTTATATTGTAAACTTTATAGCTGCTTTGATGGTTTAACATGCCTATTTGGTGTTCTGCAAGTCTATAATGTGCTTCCTTGTTTTGCACTTGCAAAGAGAGAAATGGACATAATAAGCCCATTATGTGTTCTGAGGTCTTCCTCTCTTTGAATGCATCTCAATGTATGATAAAATAGGGCAGATGGAACTGGTTTGGAGCAAAGGACCAGTGGGAGGAACAAGAGCAGACATGGGAGGGTGTATGCATGTCTGTGTGTAAGATTTATAGGCTGCTAGTGATAATGGGGGTGTGGAGAGGAGGAATTGGGGACGGGATGTGGTGGGAAAGTGTCTGGATTTAACAAGGGCATTTGAGGAGGAGCAAGAGGAAAGGAGGACATTAATCCATGGACTTGTAAAGCAGAGGAGTATTGTCCCTTTTCTTTCCTATTATTCTTTCCCCATCAGGTTATGTACTTCGTGTTTTATGCTGCAAACCGCCCTGTGATCTCTTGATGAAGGGCAGCAAATGAACGAATGAATGAATTGTTTAGCTTGGAGAAGAGAAGACTGAGGTTAAACTAGCAAACCAGAGATTAAACTAACCCCTTTCCAGCCCCCGGAGGAGCGACCCACGACACACCTACACACTGCAGCCGACACACCAACGTGTCCCATGACACACAGTCTGGAAAGCTATGCGCTAGAATATAACACAGAGGAGGAGCACAACACATTAAACTGAGAGGGGAGAGAGGGCAGAGTTGTGGTCGCCCACAGGCAGTCACAATGCAGGATGTGAGCAGCTTTCTTTGCTGGGCAGCAGTTCTCAAAACAAGAAAGGTGCTGTTTTGGGGAAGCCAGAGGCGTTGCTTGCTTATTTTTGGGAACAGTCATCACAAAGATGGAGAACGTGGCCTGTGGTCTGAGCTATCATCATGATCTGAGAAAAAATCCTTGGGAAGAAAGGTGGCCTTAGTGAAGATGCCCCCTGCTCATGCCTTTTGCCTGGGCTTTTAATTTTTTCCTGAAACAGAGTGGGGGGGGCTGCCTTTGCATAAGGATAGAAAAAGCAGGGGAAATTGTTGCTGCACATACCTGGCTCTCTCCTCCAGTTGGTGTTGCTTCCTTCCCTGGAACTCAGCTAGACTCATGTTACTGAAGAATACACACACACACACACACACACACACACACACACACACATATATATACACATATATATATATTGGGGGCAGGGGGCACGGCTGCCAACTCCAGCTGCGGCATTTGAAAGTGCAATCCTAAACATGTCCACTCAGAAGCAACTCCTGTTGGATTCAGTGGGACTTGCCCACAGATAAATTAAATTAGGATTGCAGGCAGTGTGCTGCACTGGTTAGAGCAGTGTGGTGCATTTGGGCCCACAGATGCATTTGCAAACTAGGGGGACTGCCATAGCCACTATGCACTGATGGCAAGCATGCAAGACCGGATGTGGTCATCGCACACCTGGGCACACCTTCACACTTTCCCTTCATGGCCAGTGCTTAGGCAGGAAGGAAGTCCTGGTTTTCTTTTAAGCCTAATTGCTGGCAGCGGGGTGATCTTCTTGGAGAGTCCAGCTGGGGTGGCAAGCAGGGCAGTTCCCTCCCTGCTTACAATGGTTTTAAGATAAGGAACATCACTCACCCCAGAAAAACAATAACAACACACTATTAGGATTTGGTGGGGGAAGTCTTGTAATGGAGTCAACAGAAGACTCTCCCACCCCAAGTCTAATTGCAGTGGGAGAGCCTTCTATGGACTCCACTGGAGTAAATAAGCCATACCCCTAATAGCCTGAGAAGACCAGGGTCCAAATCCACACCCAGCCATGAAGTTCCCAGGTTGACCTTGGCAAGTTCCTAATTCACACACGAATCTGCCTCACAGAGGCTGTTGTGTGGGGAGGAAGTGGGGACAGTGAGGGTCACTTATGTCACCTTAAGCTACCTGGAAGGAAGGTGAGATGTAAAAAACAAAGCAAACTGGGGAATTGTGGTTTAATCTTACAGACTATAAACCAGGATAAGAACCAGGTTTACTTGACCAAGACTGCTGCGCCTGAATTTTGAACAGTAAATGAAGAAAGAACAACAGAACACTTGGATGGATGGATGGATACACCGAGTAATACAATGACAGTTCTAGCAAGTCTATTCCAAATACTGTACACAAGAATCTACAGCAAATATTTATGCAAGTCTCTCTCTAAATATATATAAGCCTCTAACATGAATTGATTTCTACGGGAGAATTTGGCACACTATTTCAGAAATTATTAAGGCAACCCTGAGGATGGTATTATGATCCCCATATTGCAAATATGGGAGTCTGGAGGCTGAGATAAGACCACATCTAGTATGTTCATAGGACTGAGATTTGAAACAGGCACCCCCAGATTCACAGTAAGTTACTATGTATGCATTTTTATGCAGACTTTGCTATACACATTACAAGGCTAGAGAACCACATTTCAAAATTCCAAGGAGTGCAGCTGTATTGAATTTCAGTTTGCTTATTGTTCCAGAAAGCTCAAACTAGGCAGGTTCATTTTTAAGACCGAATCTATTTCCTCCCCCATCCTCCTTCCCAATGAAGTGTGCATAGGATTTCAGGCTTAGATTTCCACGGATGCTCCGAACTGCACAGACAAATTTCACTGGCAAAGTTCCACGCCAGTTGTTAACTGTTTTTCACTTAGGAGTCATTTCACCTGGAAGGAAAGCATGTCAACATCAAGAACAGCCCATAAATTTGCTGGAGTCAGGGGCAACCCTCATAATTATCCCTGTGAATCTTTTCACATTTTCATCCTGGAAGCGAGAGTGGCACTCACCGTGTTTCGCGTAACTCTTGAGTCATCGAAACACCTTCCTTCACTTATCTCCTCCTTCAGCAGACAATGCCCGCAACTGGAAAGCAGAATGCGGGGAAACAGCAGTCGCTTAAGTACAGAGGTTATAAACAAAGGTAATGATTAAACTAGAATGCTTCCAAGAAGCATTAAGAGCCCGATTAATTTATCGGCCCAAAAAAAAAAGAAGAAGAAGAAAGGTAGAGTTTTTGGTTCCATTTTGATGTTTCTCTCCCCCTACACACAAGCACTGAAGTATTTGCGGCACTCATGGACCAAGGCGCCAGCAAATTGCAGGTTGCCGTGATTTTATAAGACATCAAGGTCTTTCTGCATGATTAAAAACAAAAGCAAAACCCACTGAACTTGGGGAACGGGTCGTTTGGCATTTCCCAAGACTACAGCTGCAGCTCAGGGCAGATAGGGGCTTCTCAGAGACTCTGAGGCAGTACTGGAGAGCGGTCATTATCCGCATGGTACACATTTGCCCAGGGCGGCCCCAAGACATTATGCTGCCCAGAGGGAAGGACAACATGGCACGTAGAGGAACTGGATGAACTGGCAGCTGGGTTTTATTTCAGCCCTGGCAATGGGACAGTCTCCTCCTCCATCCCCCTTCAGGGCAGCAGGCTGGCTTAAGGGCCACAAGGCAGGATGTCCAGAACACAGAGCCCAGAACATCTTGAGGCTGCCCTCTGTCTCCCAAGATTGGCTCCCATCAGGTGGCTGCCACATTCTATCTACTGGTAGGGCCAGTCCTGCATGTTCCTCCTGCATTTCATAGCTATTTGGCCCCATTTACTATTTACTACACACACATACACACTTTCCTTAACAAACAATAAGTCCCCAAAAGCCTATCAGAATAAAACCACCTTCACCTGCCGGCAAAAGAACCAGGGTACAGAGAACCAGTTTGGGCAGAATGAATCTGCTTTGGTGTGATTGTCTTGAGTGTATGTTAGTTTGGCCCATGGGAACACTTATTCTCCTCCCAATGGGATCAGGATATAATCTGAGATGAAATATATATTTTCAAAGCGAAGTGCATGGACGGATGCCAATATATCACAATACTTTGCTTGCATTGTTCTAGTTTGTTTGTTTTTTAAAAAAATATTATTCCTTCACTGTTCTTAGGGTTCAAACACATCTTGCAATGTTAGTCCTATAGCATGGATTATATGAGCCAGGAATGGCATGGTTAATGTTTGGTCTCCTTGGTATTTACAGCACAAGCACGCTCCTCTTTAGATCAGTCGCTGCGCTGGCAACATCTCAAAGCTGCTTCTCGAGACTCAAAGGAGTCCATCTAGTCACAGCTAGACTGTAGGAGTCGTTTAAAAATATTGCTCCCTACCTCAAGGACACTCCTATCTCAGTTTCATCACTTCACTGCCTGTTTCCTGCCTTTAATCCCAGGTTACTGTTTGATGTACTGTAAAAGCCTCTTCCTTTTACTAGCTGTGCTCTGAAATAACTAGACCATACCCAGGGGTTTCAGAGGAACAACCCAGGGGTGAGAGAAAAATCCTACTGTGAGCCCGCTTATTTTGTACTTCCTGAACCAATACATGAACTAAAACCCAGGTATTATTATTTTTTAAAACACACACACACTTATCTGGATTTTGCAATGCAGACATCCAATCAGAAGACACGTGAAAAAGTATATATTAGGCAAAAATCACATATAGTAAGTGTCTATTACCCACATCATCATGGCTGTCTATGTTCTGGAGTTCTCCAGGTGTCTTGGCCATCTAGTTGGGGAGGGTGTGAATCACTGCACAAGGGCCAGGGCAATCACCTCCCCCTTCAGCCCCTCTAGGGAGGCTTCATAAGGGGCAAGAGGCTATCTGCTCACCCTGTTCACCAGAGGGCAGTGCCATACTCGCTATGGCGAGCCTGACAAATCCACTCCACTTCCCAGTGGGGAGGAGTTGCGGTGGTCCGTGTGGCCACCCACTCCCCACCAGGGGCGGGGGACTTTGTCCCCCATTGCCTGGGGGATCCCACCCACGTCAGAGCCCGGCCAGCCAATCCACTGGTCGGGGGGGCGTGGCTGGGGCCATTTAAACTGAGGAGCGAGCCAGAGGACTAAGCCAATACCGCTCACATTCTGTAATTCAATAAAGTTGTGGCCAAAATTTCCCCAATAACATGAACCTAATATCTGTGTCCTTGTGTGAGTTATTTCCAACGAGGGGGTGGCTGCGGGGTCTTGACACGCAAGTGGAATTGTTTGAGGCTGCTGGCAAACAAAAACATCAGACCCTCATATTTGCAACTCGGGTGTCCAGATTGGTTCTTATCCATGGGATACTGGTGAGCAGCCAGCTTTTTAACTAGGAAATCTCTGTGGCAGAATATAAAGCTATTGCAAACGTTCAAAAAGGAAAAGCTGTACAGGATTTCACAACACATAAAAGAACACTGCTCTGAGGCCTAAATTGAGTAGTAAAGACAATCTGTACCAAAGTTCTGATGTATTGATGTATTTCTTTGAATTTTAGCTTCTGGTGTTATACTGAATTTATTTTTTAATGATCCTATTCTGTTTAATGTACACCATTTAGAGACGTTGTATATTCATATGTACATAAATCTTATTAATGATATATTAATGCTGTAATGTGGAACATGGCTGAAAATTGCCTAGGAGCTCAGCACAAGGTGCCTTTCAGTAGTGGCTTGATGTGCTGGGAGATCTCTGCTCCTTGGGGGTGGGGGCGGCAGACACAGTTGATAACCTGCAGGCACCAGGTAAACATTATGCTTTAAAAAGTGTTTTCCCTTGCTCAATCCCTTCCTGCAGATAAACTTGGGAGATTCGCCCTCTTCCGAGCTTTGCTTTGCAGGAGACAAAGCTTTCCAAGTTGCATTCTGAACATATTTAGCATTCTTGTTGTTCCAAGAGTCCTTAATTCGCCTTAGGCTGCAGATAGTTTCAGAGGCAGCTGAAGATACCCAGGCTACCCAGATGTTGTTGTTGGTTTTTCTTTACCTTAAAGTGGTCAATGATGCTATGCAGGAACGGGGTTGGCTAACTGAAGCTCACAGATGTTTGTTTGCAGTTTGACCTACGGTACTTAGTCAAGAGACCACAGGTGTGCAGCTATTTGACTAATTAAATTTCTGCACTGGATGCAGGAAGGGATGTATAGGATAATTATTTGGCAACTGTATTTAAGTTGATTAAATGTTTTGTATGCTGCTGGTGAGGAGTGATGGCTTGCAGTTTTTGACTGTTATGTTTTCAAAATTAAAACTAAGCAAAGATATTGCGGGCAGCCTTTTATTTCTATGCTCCAGTTGCTGTGCACACTGTGTTGGCGAAAAAGTCCAACAGTTGTTAGACTCCAGCTCCTATCACCCCTGATTATTGGCCTTGCTAGCTGCAGCTGTTGGGAGTTGAGTCCAACAGCATGTGGAGGGCTGTCAAAGTTTCTCACCCCAGCCCTGGATTTTTAAAATGTCTCCAATGTTGACATTCACACTCTTTTCTGAAGAGACATTCAGAACTTCTATCCGTATTTTAATTCGTCTTCTTTATCTGTGTGTCCAGAACTAAAGTTAAATAAAATAGGTTGGAGGCTGCCTAGTTCTTAGACCTAGGGAAGCCCAACAATAAAGCTGGGCTTTGCAAAGGTGAAATGTAAAAGGAACATTAGAGTCCCTATCTATAGTTTAAGGACAATCTTAATTCATTCATACGCACTTTGGACTCCCCCCAGGGCTAATCCTTGAGCATAATGAGAATGAAGTTCAACATTCTGAGATAGGCACAACATGTTCAATGCAATGTTTCCTTATAACTCTATGGTCTATTGCAGGTAAATTACATTAGTCAGGGATGGAATAAATAGTTCTTTAATACAAAATGACAACACACCCAGATTGTGGTAACTACCTGCTCTGAACCTACACGGCTGAGCTATAAAGGCAGCACCGATGCCAACAAGCACAGAGTCAAGCCAGTATCTTGCTAATCTCTCAAGGTAAAGTGCACAATGAGCTATTGCCAATCAGCATAATAATTTTTAAAAAGTTACCTCCGTGTAAGTCCTTTACACAGCACATTGCTAAACTATGGAATTTGCTTCCACAAGATGCACTGATGGTCCCCAATTTAGTTTCGGCATGGGACTAGGCAAAAGATAAGGCTAATCGGTTGCTACTAGTCATGGTAACTAGTCATGGTGACCTCCAGCATCAGAGGCCACAGCCTCAGAATCCCAGTCGCTGGAGAACACGATTGGGAAACAGTGATCTCCCCTCACCTCCTGCTTGTGTGCTTCCCAGAAGCATCAAGTTGTGCCCTGTAGGAACAGAATGCCAGACTAGCTAGGCCTTTGGTCCTATCCAGCAGGACTCATCCTCTATGCTTTCCAGGCACTAACTGCAAGTGGGCTTGCTGTCCCAAGTAGCATCTTGGCTCTGTTGTCTGAGCCATCTGCTTACAGGAAGGCCTGCAGCTCAGTGGTAAAGCATTTGTCTGGCAAGCAGAAGGCCCTATGGCTTCTTCTGCTGTTGCTGCTTGGAGACCACCACTGTTTCTGCCCCCCTCCTTCACAAGCCACCTCTGCACAGAGGACTGTCCTCCAACAGCCTTTCAAACAGAGGACACCTTCAAAGTGTGTCTGTCCTTCAAAGATGACCATCCTCTGGCAACGCTTCAAACACCCACCTGTCCTTTGTAGAATAAGACATACAGTCCACCTTAGGGAACGAGTGGGATCACTTTTAAGAGAACAGATTTGAGAGGGAGAGCTTGCTGGGCTCTTACAGCAGAAACAAAGAAGCAGAAAGAGTTGCATGGCATGAAAGAAGATTCCACCTAAACATTAGGAAGAACTTCCTGACAGTAAGAGCTGTTCGACAATGGAATTTGCTGCCAAGGAGTGTGGTGGAGTCTCCTTCTTTGGAGGTAAGTGGGCACCTAAAAGAGAAGGTAGCATGGTGGATTTTTTTCATGGAGCAGAGCCTAGTTTGGCAGGTGCATTAAATGTTGTTCTCAGTTGGGAGATTCTGGAGCCAAAAAACCATGCCCTACAA